GATAAATTAGCATTTAATGATTTCGTAAAATTGACTTTAATTTGCCCATAACTTTATATGCTTGTGCTCTGGCAAATTAAACACAAATAAAGAAGCATTTTGGCTGACGCAATAACTGCCAATTGCATCAGCATTTTTGGCAATCTGCGCGCATGCGCTGCGTCGATTAGTGGCATCGCGACGTCAGCGCTGCGTCGACTGCAACATTTTTTCTTTACCTTTGCGCTTTTACAGTTTACATCGCAGTGTTGCTAAGTACTGCATTTTCTCTCGCCATTTGCTGTGACTGTCTCTCGTTCTTGTTGTTGTTGTTTCTTTTTATCTGCTATGGCTGCTGAGAGCTGGGAGAGCAGCCGCTGCCCGCAAAGTCTTGGGGGCTCGTCTGTTGTGCTGTGTTCGTTATTGTTGTTGTTGTTGCGCGAATTTTTGCCTTTTTCTGCTTAGTTCGCTCTAAAAATAGATAAAGCGAGAAAAGGCAAGCGAATGCCGTTGCCGATTGGCTGACTGTGATTCGAAGTTTTTGCTCGGAAGAATGAGCAAGTGGAATTTTCTGTTGCGTCATGCTAATGGTCAGTTTTATTACAATGCGCAAATATATTGTGACAATTAAAAAGAATTTCTATTAAAACAGCAGCGATAATGATTAATGATATCTTTAAACACTGCACACATAATACAATGAACACTTCATGAAGCAGCACTATTTAAAATTTGTCGAAGAAGATGAAGTACTTTATGTTCAAATTTATACCGATATAATACATCATGGTTCACTTTGCTGCTCTTCCTTTAGAATGGGCCAATCTACATTTAAGTTGAATGCACTTTCTTTTAGCATCTACTTTTAGTACCATATTTGGCAAGCCAATATTGAGTTCTCTTTTGAAGTTGCTCTCTGCACTGGGAACAGCTTTTTTTGGCTGGCAATAAAAAAACCGGTTTTGCACTCGTGACGGTGACTCGTGTTTGACCTCCCCTGCATATTTGTTGTGTGTGCAGGTGTGTGTGTGTGCGTGTGTGTGTGTGTGTGTGTGTGTGTGTGTGTGTGTGTGTGTGTGTGTAGATATAAATATGGTTTTTACTTTATTGCTTTGCAGTGAAACCTTGATAATTAAAATATAATTATAACTCTTGATCTGCTGTTGTTTAAATGTATTCAAATCAAATGTCAAGGGCAAATGACGGTCATAGGCTAAGGTGCAAATATTTAAAGCTGTAGCGATTGATACTTATCTGTTAAATACCCTGTATGAACGAAATATACAAAATATATTATCTAAACAATTTAAGTAAATTTAAACAATAATAATTAATAAATATGCCAACCGGTGTTAGACGTGATATTGAGTAAACACTATGGTAAATGAGTCACAGATTCTGAAAAAAAAAATTTCCGCTTATCTATGTGTGTAGATAAACTATATATATATATACACACACACACTCACACTCATATCTAATATAATATTTATTTGCACACACAACTCGTTGAAATGGCAGCAACAGTTGGAACAAATTATGCGGACTCATTGAAGAAAGAGGCAATGCTTCTGGCATTTGTTGAAATACATAGAGAGACGAGCCCCCCGTCCGACAATTGGGGGCGCGTTATTTGCACCAATAATAGCAGACGATGATGCCACAATTATTAGGAACACAATTGATGGGGATAGATTTTTATTGGTTTTCTTTTGTTTTTTGGCAATGAAAAATGAAAGAAGTAGCAGAAACTGGCGCAGAATCAGAAGCAGAAGCAGAAGAAGCCACGCAAAATGCGCTTCAAGGCTGAGCAGGAATTAAAATTTGCACGCGCCCTCAAAGTCAATTTAATAATATTCAATTGAAAATATGTGTAAATAGAAATCAATTGGCTCAAACAAGAAACGCATGCGAGGCAAGCAATTAAAACGACTCCAAAGTGGAGAGAGCGACGACAGCAGCCAAAACAAATCAATAAAAACCATTGATGATGGTGCCACTGTGTCGCGTCACGTCCTCCAGCCAGAGATGCCCAAAATGCGTCATAAAGCAGCGCAGCAATGAAAGCGTGGCATTTGCGGGCAGCGCAGTCGCGCCGGCGCGCACCAACCACCCGCAGCAATAGCAGCAGCAGCCGAGCAACAACAACAACAACTCCTACACCTTTGACTTTGCTCTCCACTCATCTATCATCTAATTTTGGCGTCGTCATCACACACACACACACACACGCCTAGTTTCATTCATGCCTTCTTTTCGACCTTCGCAGACTTTGCTCTCGAAAAATTCAGTCAGTTTCCTTGCTCACCAGCACACAAACACACACACACACACAAACTTACTGAGGCGCGCACAGTGGGAGAGCTATGGCGCTCTCACTCTCTCTCTCATACTCGCCTGTTTTACCGTTCAGGCAGCGAACAGTGTGTAAAAAAAGCTCGAACGAGTTTCTGTGAATTGCTGTGCGCTATATAAACGTTGCGCATTCGAGTCTCGTGCTTCAGTACACAATAGTGGATATCACATTTAGTAGTTTGTTCAAAAGGTAAAATAATTCAGCGTTCGCTTCGCACACAGCAAAAGCGAAACTATGCAAAAACTACACGTTCATTAAGAAAATAAAATATAAAAATAAAATTCAATTAAATTAAAAAAATATTAAAATTAAAGATACAAATTCAGTAAAATTGCAAAAATTATTTAGATTCGTTGCTATCGTAAGCTATTGTTATTTATTTATAGTTCTTTTCATTTTTTTCGCGCTCCAAGTTCCGGTCGTAGTCTTATAAAGTTGTGTGTGTCGCGTCGTTTTATATCTTCAACACTAACAAAATTAAACAATTACATTTGACAATAAAAAAAGTCTCTAAGGTGTCTGGTGTAAGAAATTTATGCGTCAATCATTAGTGTAAATTTATGCGCATTATTTGTAAGCGTCGCCGTCTGGAAACTAGTCTGAAGTTATTTAATGCATTAGTTTTACGTAATTTGTGTGATTTTTTTTGGCAATTTGGCAAAAGTGATGCACAACAAAAACAACAACAACACACACATATGCGAGGCTAAAACAAGTTGAAAGAGAAAAAATTGCAAACAGTCGAAACAATTTTAGAGAACGCCTGACCATGAAAAAATTGTTAATTTTAGAATTTGTTGTTGTTTTTTTTTTTTCGCAAATATACACAACAGACATGATATTTAGACAGCTAGAAAGTTGTATGCATATGCATATAGACAGATATAAATATATATATATATATATATATTGTTTGTATTTCTCGGGCATTGCAAATTTTAGAAATGAGGTTTTTGAACGCGCAAAAGTGAAAAGGTCGCAGAAGCTTTAACAGCAATGACAATGTGGGCGCCTCTCAATTGCAACAAATGACATATGTAACAAACAGGATTTGTCTTTGTTAATTAACAAAAATACAAAACAAAATATATACAGAAATAACATACATAAATTTGATATAAAAATAAATGTCCAAAAACAAATTAAAAAAAGAAACGTAAAGATACAGCTTGAAATTCGCAACGTTGCAATGTTGACAAAAGAGCCGTCACAGCAACATATTGCCTCTGTGTGCGTGTGTATTTGCTCGATGGAAGAGCGTATGACGTTCACGGCACGTGAGCACAATTTAAGAGAACGCAAGCAATTAAGAGAGCGCATTTAAAGCTAGGGTTAAGAGCATGGCGTTGTCTATATACATGTAGGTTTGTGTGTGTGTGTGTGTGTGTCTGCTCTTTATCGCAGGCCGATCGTTCATTAGCGATAGTTTGTCTGTCAGCAACAACGTTTTATCTAATTATGCGTGTAAGTGTGTGAGTCTACCGTGATTCATTACCTGTCCGCACAAACATCTATGTGCACTTTCAAGGCCAATTCACACTACTTGGTAAATTGAACAAAAAAGAAGCAACAACTAATGTAAGCCAAATGCAGCAATAACAAAGGCAGACACACAAATATATATGTATATGTATATATATATATATACAAATGTAAGTCAATCGCACAATGTTATATCACTGCTGGGCAAACCAAATAACAGAGGAGAGAGCGCAAAAGGAAGGCAGCCACAAAGGCGACAGCGGCAGTGTCGGCGTCGGCGTCGCTGTCGACGTCATGGCGCCCACGCGTCCCATCAGCATCAGAATCGGCATCAGAATCACATGACGCAGGAATAACAAATGGCACAAAACACAAAACGAGCAAAAATTGGCCCACGAAAATTATAATTAACTGTCACAGCTAATAAATAGCACTGCAAAAATATTTATATAGAGATAAGTTGGAAATTTGTAGGTGGAAAATTTTTTAGAACAGACATATTTTTGCCAACTGCCGCCACATGCCAAAAACAAAAAAAATGCAAATATAAACAACATTTTCCCCAAACTATTTTTGTGAAAGTGAAAAAAGGCGCCAAACAGTGGGCAGCGGATGTGAATTGACACAACTGCAAATGTTTGGCAATAAAAAAGCAATAAATATAAAACGACATCACTTTGAAATAAAGGAACATTAAAAATAGACTGAAAAGAGCAAATATTAAATGTTGATAAAAAAAGAATTTAAGCAATTGTCGAACCAAAAAATAAATCAAAATGTTTGCATATTTGAAGATACTTTTAAGAGCAACTGTACACAGGGCAAGAGTGGCGCGTGCTCTCAAGGACAAATAGTTGTATCTTGTATATATCTATACACTTAGTATATATATATATATATATATATATATATGTATATGTATTGGAAAGTGGGTGTGTTTCGTTCCATTCGTCGCAATAATTATTTAGGAGGGTTCGCACTATCAAAGAAAAAAACACTTGACGCACTTGATAAGACTGCAGACATAATTATAGCCAGACAGTGTCTATATAGTATATACAAACTGATTAGTTTGCACCTTTCGATTGGGTTCAAGTGCAGCACTCGTAAATTAATATGGATTTACATACACTATAAATATATATACGACTAACTCTTATCTCTTTCACTCATTGCAGCAAAGACAAAATCCAAAATACAAACAAAGAAACAACAAAAAAAGAAGCAAAGAGTAACGGGACCTTGTTAACAATTACAACAAACAAGTCGAGTCAAGTCAAGTGTCTTGTCACATATTAATAAAAGTAGCTGAACTGCCCAACCGAAGGTTACGCAAAAAGTTCAAGTTCAACATTAGCCTGGCAACAATCCACTGATAAGATGAGTGGACGCGACAATCGAGCCGCCGGCGCCGGCGGTGGCAGCGGTGGAGGTGGCGGCGGCGGTGGTGGCGGAGGCAACCATCATCATCACCATCAACCGCTGAGCAACGCAATGGGCAAATTAAAGGAGAAACTAACCAGAGCCGGTGTAAGTATTCTAATTTAAATATAAACATTTTCCATTGTTTTTGATTGTAAATTGTTTTTGAGCGACAATTTTGTTATTCTGTGTAAAACGGTGTAAAACAATTCCGGTTATGTTTTTGGATTGCAAATGGGTTACAATAGCTGATCGGCGGTGCTGATAGCATCACAGCCAACACGATCCGAAAATTTGTTGAGACCTCGTTGCCAAAAGTCATTGAACGTCTGCGATAAGCACGCGAGCACGAGCTACAAAGATTCAATTGAACAATTTGTCTTTATGGCATTATCAATTTGGAATACTCTAGGCTGACAAAAATGCGGATTTCCGAAAAATAAATAAACACTGAGCCGTCACAAGATACCCTAGCAAAAAGGCATATTTGTAAAGATGCATATTAATAATTGGTCAAAGACAAACGTCAACAACTAGTCAAGCACAACGCTTAAGGACAGCCTAATAAAAGGGATTCAAAGAAACAAGTATTGCAGCTTATTAGCCGAATAAATTCACAGAAATTTCAATTATTTATGTTTGTTAAAACGTTTATTATTTTATGCAGATGATAGTAATAATAATCATACTTTAGATAGCTAAATTTTTAAATGAAATTGTTAAAAGCGAATCTTTTACTATGAATTAGTTTGGTCTACTTCTGAAACCGAGTTATTAACCAAGAATAACTGGACTAAAATAGTAATCATTTAGTAGTCGATGAAAGTGATCAAAATTGTAAGGTAGCCAAAGACTGACGCAGAATTGAGAGCTGATCGAGCTGAGATGGGTGATAAGCAGGCAACAGCTAAATGCTGGCATTTGACCTTTGACATTGGCAAGCAGCCAAGAACAGCCTAGAATTATAATCGACGGCGAGAGAAAGAGAGAGCGGCTCAGTGCGTAATCGAGCTCTGATTTGTTGACTATATCAATGTTAATGCAAGCAAATATGTATATATATTCAATCATAATTCAACTCTAACCGCATTCAACAGGAGGAGCTGGGCTATCATCGTGTCGAAAGCAATCTGTCGGCATCGAATACGGCTACCAGTTTGGACACAATATTACCGGAGGATCCTTTCCCATTTCCCCAAGCGGCACCGCAACGCCATCCGCAGCAGCAGTTCCCATTTCTGCAACAGCAACCACAACAGCAACAGCAACCACAGCAGCAGCAGCAACCACAGCAGCAACAGCAATTGCAACAGCATCATACACAACATACACAATATCAGCAACAACAGCAACAACAGCAACCGTTGCGTCTGTTGCATGACATTGATGACGAGCAGCCGTTATCATTTCGGCCACTGCTCGAGGACGATGACATTCACGAGCCACCACAAGAAATACAACAGCAGCAACTGCAACAACAACGTGGCAACTTGCGTGCCAGTGGCAGCTTGGAATTGACGCCACTGCCACCGCCACCCACATCCTTGGAGCCGCATCGCGATCGCCAGCAGCGCAGCGTTGTGAATGAGGAGCTGCAGCGCAGCAAGCAATCGTTGAAGGGTTCGCGTGTCTCCTTTGAGAGGGCGCCGCAACAAAGCAACAGCAACAACAACAGCAAAAACAACAGCAAGACAACTGTTGCCGCTGACGCCAGCGATGACGATAGCTTTGAGGATCGGCGCGTTGGCTACCAGCAGCAGAAGGCGACCAGTGTGGATCACAAGGGCATCCTGAAGGATTTGCGTCACATACTCGCCAGCGATAATCGCCGCCAGTTTCAGGCCAAGAAGCACGTCTCGCTGGACATTAAGGGCACCCCATTTTTGCAGGATCTGCTCAAAGATTCGTCGTCGGAGGAGGAGTTTCACAAGACCCGTCGCGAGTTCCAGGGTCGCAAGCATCAGAGTCTCGATCCACGGGTCACATTCAAGTTAGACAAAGTATTACACGGCTCCAGCACCGACAGCGACGAGGAGGGCGAGGACGCCGAGCATAAGCGTCTGATACATCGCCCCAAGGACATCACCAAGCCAGTCATTATCGACCTCAAGGATCTGGAGAGCGAAAGCGACGAAGATTTCCTCAGCTCTCGACAGAATTTCCAACAGCAGCGCTCCATCAGCACCGATTCGCGCAAGAGGTGAGTCTCAAAAACTCAAACTGAATTCTGTTTTAAAATTCATGAATTAACCAACACTGTTTTTCTTGATTTACAGCCGTCGACTCTACGAAATGGATGAGATGGGCAACAAGCGGGGCGAAAATATCCGCCATGCGGTGCCCTTTGTCCGACAAATTACCGAGGATGGCAAACCCAAGCTGGAAGTCTACAGACCCACAACGAATCCCATCTACATATGGACACAGGTAGGTCAAATCGAAGCAACTCAGCTTAAGAAACTAAAGAGGCATCCAAAACTAGTCGTTGATGAATGCGCAGCTTGAATTGGAAGTGTAGAAATTGCTGCGAATAGTTTGATTATTGCAAAGACTTAAGAAAGCTAAACTCAATTTAAGTTCAAATGAGCTCGGATGAGAAGAATTTGATATACTTGTTAGGGTGACGCAAAACTGTTTAAAAATTTCAATAAGAGTTACAATTTTATGTTGTTCAAATCTAAATCAAAATATGCTTTAGCCAAGAATTTTTAACATTTTTTGGCTGTTGAAATCATGAAAAGGAGTCAAATTTTCTTAGTTAAATTACTGAAAACTTAATTGTACTTGTTTCAAGTGTTATTCAAATGCTAATTGAGTAATTTTAATCTTTGTGCTCTACAATTTTTCGTTTGTTTTGGTTCCTCAACATCAGAAATAATTAAATATTTGTAGTAAATATTTTTGGCTGATTAGAAGCATAAATATTTGGAATTTCTTATCATGTTAACACTTTAGTTAACCGAAAAATAGCAAGTTCTCGAAAAGAATCTATAAATAATATAACATAATGGATTAGTTGCGATTTCAATTGTTTGTTTATGCTTCAACGCTGACGTAGGCATCGAAAATGTGACCCGGTCTCCATTGTTGGCTTGTTAAGCTAAGCTAAACTGGCGCCTCCAAGCGAGTACTCACGAGTGTGAGTGTATGAGTGCATGAGTGCATGTGAGTGTGTGTGTGTGTGTGTGTGTGATGGGTAATGGCCTTATGAATGCCACTCAAATTGCCCATAAAGTAAATACAACAGAAACCGATTCAAGCTCGCATTCAATCTTTGAACAATTTAGAGCGCTTCGTTTGTGGGTCACCATTGGGAATAAGACGCGCGTGGCTGGGCTATTTTCGCACGCCTAGATTACTGCCACCCCCCGCTTTGCCACCCCCCTCGCTCTTTAATTGAAATTGAAATAACGCACTTAGTTGGTTACTTATGCCCCGACTAAAAATATAAACACTCACGGCACAGAGAGGGAGACAGCGAGCAACACACAGAGAGAGGGAGAGCGGGAGAGAGAGGTGGAGAGAGAGAGAGAGAGATATAGAGAGAGAGAGAGAGAGAGAGGGAGAGAGAGAGAGAGATAGAGAGAGAGAGAGAGAGGGAGAGAGAGAGAGAGAGCGGGAGAGAGAGGTGGAGAGAGGGAGATAGCGCCTTGATAACTGATGGATGAATGGATGAACGGCCTCCATAACCTACCTTTTTGATACACTTTGTGCCGGGGTATTGTAATTATGTGTGCAAGTCTGTGTAGCTATCAAGAGTATATAGTTCGTGATCAGCTTTTATAGCTGACCTGATACGGGTTTAATGACAGTTGGAATAGATCAGTCTAAAATATCAAACGGAAATTATGTCTATTCAAATTACTATAGCTGCTATAGCTGTCAGCGGAATAAGGATCATTTTCTGTATGATATTATTTCTGTAAGATATAGAGTAATATATATCATCTAAAAATTGCCTAGAATTTCCTAAGAAGCAATTAACAATTATCTCATAGGAAAACTGTCTTTTTACAAAAGAAAGATCAACATTAGACTTCGATAAGCAATCGATTTTAATTTTGAACTGAACAGCTTTAGGCAAAGAGCATCTAAACGTCGGCTTGGAGAAAGTCCGAGTTTTCAACCATGGAAGAGAAGTGCATATTGCATCTGTTCTTGCTGCTGCCTGCTGGCCAAATGTGACTTAGTTGCAATTTGCATATTAATCGAGTCGCATCTAGTTCTCTCCACCGAAGAACAAAAATATAAAACGAAAAATTAATACAAAGAAACCGCCGTAAACTGAATTTTTGCACATTTAACTCGAGAGCAAGTGTTTTGTGTGTGTGTTTACTAATCTTGAGCCGGAGAATCATTTGGTGGCACACGTAAACAGCGTGATAAGCTGATGTCAACAGCTGTGCCTCCGAGCTGATCATAATTGAAGCCGTGGCTAAAGCGTCAGCCGATGTTAAAGCTGATCTGCTGAGGCTGCTTGCTTGTAAAGCTTCAACTGAGACATAATCAATTGTTGCGCACTGGCCACCGATTGAATACACATGCACTGATAAGCCCACCCGTATCTATCAGTTATTGCTTGGCAAATATACATGCATAAATACATAAATACATTTTAGTTTATGTATATGCATATATACATATATATATATATATATATATATAGTACGTGACTGCACAAATCGCACTCGAAATTCTAACGGCCTAGCTGAGTTGAGCTGAGCTGAGCTGAGCTGAGCTTGTGTCTCTGAAATCGAGAATTGAATTCGAATTCCACTGATTTTCACTTTCAGTTCACTTTTGTCCGGCAAAGCGCAACAAATGCGTTAGTCCAAATTCAAATTCAAATTCAAATTCAAATCCATTTTTTTGCTCCCGCCCACGTTCTGTGTGTTCCGCATCGGGCAAGGCTTCGAGCAGTGTTTTTGTGAAAGGCGGCAGTGCTTGTTGCAACAGCAAGGTTGCCCCGTTTGCTCCATTTGTTGTTCTGAAAGCTAGTTGCGATCTCTGATCTCTGATCAGATCTCAGTTTAACATGAAGATCCTAATGCGTGCGGACACTCATGTGTCCTTCTCGGTGCCCATGGAGGAGCCCAAGGCCAAGTGCACCGACTCTCAGGTAGACTTGGACACAGACACAGACACCGACCTCCATTTAAATCACTGATCATTTTAATTCCTATATTTGTTTTCTCTTTCATTGCAGGTGCTCGCTGCGCTAAGCGTCTCCTTGGGCTCCCTAGTTGTGGGTTTCTCCAGTGCCTACACCTCACCCGCCCTGGTCTCCATGACAGATCGCAATTTGACGTCCTTTGACGTGTCCACTGAAGACGTAAGTTGGAAATGAAACAATATTCAAACTCAAATAACAACAGCAACAGCAGAGAGGAATTTAAGTGTGTTTTTTTAATTTAGATTTAAAATCTGCGATTTGATCCCAATTACTAAGCAGAATTAAATGGGACAGGAATTGACGTCACTGATTCCTAGAATATGTCATGATAACACTTAAATACAGCATTATATTTCTATTTGAATTATTTGCTAAAAAGGTTCTTAAATCTTTTCACATTTTGAACCCAGCGAAAACTCTGTTAAACAAAAAAATATGAAAAGAATGTCAGCATTATTTGAAAGTACACAAAATGCTTCACTCTAATTAAGTTTTATAAATAACAAATGTAATGTAAAATTTACTTGAAATGCTTGAAAAGCATGTCGAAAATTTGCGTTTTGGAACGTGTTTGTTAAGTGAAAATAGTTGGCAAGTTTCTCATTTTTATACTGCTGCGGAGGGCATATTAATTTTTTGTTGTGACGTCTACATGACACCAGCAAGAATATATATTCTTGATCAGCATACCTATAGACCTGTAGACTATAGGCAAATTCATCGTCATAAGAATGCTTTTATATAGTGAAATTTTAGAGAAGAAGAATTGCACTTAAAGTGGCTCACAAAATGTTGTCAATTTGAAAACGCTTTAGAAAATAATTAGTTGCAGGCCTAAAAAGCAACCCCTCAGCAATAAGTGCAAGCAAGCAAAACCGTACTAAGACTATTTTGTATTGATATCTTTTACAGGCTTCCTGGGTAGGCGGCATTATGCCACTTGCTGGCCTCGCTGGCGGCATTGCTGGCGGTCCACTGATTGAGTATCTGGGCAGGCGCAACACGATTCTGGCTACGGCTGTGCCGTTCATCATATCGTGGCTGCTGATCGCCTGTGCCGTCAATGTGCCCATGGTGCTCTCTGGACGCTTTCTGGCTGGTTTCTGTGTGGGCATTGCGTCGCTGTCGCTGCCCGTGTATCTGGGCGAGACTGTGCAGCCGGAAGTGCGTGGCACGTTGGGCTTGCTGCCGACGGCATTTGGTAATATTGGCATATTGTTGTGCTTTATCGCCGGCACGTATATGGATTGGTCAATGTTGGCGTTCCTCGGCGGCGCATTGCCGGTGCCGTTTCTCATTTTGATGTTCCTCATCCCGGAGACGCCGCGCTGGTATGTGAGTCGCGGTCGGGAGGAGCGGGCACGCAAGGCACTCGTTTGGCTGCGTGGCGTGGAGGCCGATGTCGAGCCGGAGCTGAAGGGTCTGATGCGCTCCCAGGCGGATGCCGACAGACAGGCGACACACAATACAATGTTGGAGCTACTGAAGCGTAGCAATCTGAAGCCATTGTCGATATCCCTGGGTCTGATGTTCTTCCAGCAGTTGAGCGGCATTAATGCCGTCATTTTCTATACGGTTCAAATCTTCAAAGATGCCGGCTCCACTCTCGATGGCAATGTGTGCACCATCATTGTGGGCACGGTCAACTTTATAGCAACATTCATTGGCATATTGCTGATTGATCGTGCCGGTCGTAAGGTGAGTGCCATTTAAAGTGACATGCCAGTCAACATGGATTACAATTGGGATTCCCCCCTCTCTCTCTCTCTCTCGCTGTCTTTGCAGATCTTGTTGTATGTGTCCAATATAGCGATGATATTGACGCTATTCGTGCTGGGCGGCTTCTTCTATTGCAAGGCCAACGGCATGGATGTGTCCAACGTGGGCCTGTTGCCCTTGTGTTGCTTTGTCGTCTACATTCTGGGCTTCTCACTGGGCTTTGGTCCCATTCCCTGGCTGATGATGGGCGAGATTCTGCCGGCCAAAATACGCGGCTCGGCGGCGTCGGTGGCCACAGCCTTCAATTGGACCTGCACCTTTGTGGTGACCAAGTCGTTCCTGGACATGATAAGTAAGCTCCTTAAACTAAGCAAACAAAATAACAAAAACAATATACCAAAACTCAAAGCAGAGCAGCAAATTGTTGGTTCAAAGGCATTTCTTTCCTGAATGCAACTCGGGCTTTGGCATTCAGATATTTCTTAAATCAAGAAATTGATTACCTATTATAAGCATGCCAAGTCTAAAGTAAAACTGAATCCGTTTAAATCAATATTTGCAAGTTCTTACTTGAAGAACTAAAACATTTTTATGTATGTCTGCATTGAAAACATGCTTGAAAAGTGTATTTGGTGCTTGATTCAAGGAATATCTTGAGCGTTATACATCTACTATATATATTTATATATCTGACTATATATCTTTTGTTCAGCTTATTAATCAACAATCATCTATTTGCTTTACAGAATTGATTGGCGCACATGGCGCCTTTTGGCTGTTCGGCGTCATTTGCTGCATTGGCATGTTCTTTGTGATATTCTGCGTGCCCGAGACGCAGGGCAAGACGCTCGAGGACATTGAGCGGAAGATGATGGGACGCGTGCGTCGCATGTCCTCGGTGGCGAACATTAAGCCATTGTCCTTTAACATGTAAACCCATAAAACCACAACTACAACTACAACTACAACAGCTACAACAGCAGAAAGCAGGATCTTGAAACGATCAAACCAAATATTAGTCTAGTGCCTTAGTGCTTAAGTTGTACAACTATCGCTATCGATATCGATAACATCGATAACGATAATTAGAGAGAGAGAGAACGCGCATGTTTTTCTTAACAAAAAAAAGAATTTCCTTTATTTCTACATATATAATTATTATTGTTATTATGATTATTATTATTTATATCGCTAAGAAACCTCCCCCCACTCCCCACCCCACGTAGTTTTTATGATTCTGTAAATTATGAGTTTAGCACTAATTCTGTTGACTAGATATGACCGAGACATGATAAAGTTTTGTCGCTATATAGAAATGACATATATAATCTTTTAGTAGATAAGCGAAAAAAAAATACTATCCAAAAAAGCCAAGAGCCCCCACCTTAAACAAAACAAAAGAAAGAAAGATATAAAACCCATTGGCTATTCGAATATTACCACAGCATGTAAAAATAATGATAATGAATCTCTACAGAGAATATCACATAAATATCTATTTAAATGACTATTGTAAAATAATTAATGAGAAAACAATATACATATAAATATATAAAACATATGAAATGAACTGTCTTTAAAGTTATCTCCATTAAAACGGTTTTGAAAAAGCCGTCGAATATTTGCATGCGACCTTCGAAATGCGTTTTACAGTTGCACAATGTCGATGCATACGATACGTGATCAATATACATATATTATTTTCTTTTTGATGCCAACTGGCGTGCATGTCATATATATAAATATATAGCTATATACTTAGTTGCACATGAGACGAATGCGAAAGCAGCAACAATCAGTAACTGTTTGTGTCGGCTTATATAGTGATCTTTATAGAACACTGGACAAATATACGTATAGACAAAGTGACCGAGTTAATCAACAGCTTGTGTCAGTGGGCTTATCTGCAGCATTACGGCAATCCAAAAACAAGTCTGGAAAACCCAAACTGCAATGCGATGATAATTAGATTAGATGCACATGGGATACTTATTACAAAGAACAAATACAATTTGTATATATACGAATTTGATTAATTGATTGAAAAACAATTACATTTCTTAAGGTTTATTATATATACAATATATAACATGCATTTTGACCACGAATCGTGTTTCCAAATTGAAATGCAGTTTTAAAAAAGAGTTCAAAATATGTTCAATGTGCACTTGCTATTGAAAATCGTGTAAATTTGGACAAAGACCAAATTTAACTCGTTTTATATTTCTTTATTAATCAAATTAGTTTTAATTTGTTTTCCTAAAGGCCTATCTGCTATCTGCATTCGAATTCCAATGGTTTCAGTTTCAGTTCACTTTTGTCCAGCAAAGCACAACAAATGCGTTAATTATTTCGTCGTTGTCTAAATCCAAATCCAGATTCTGTTTCGTGTTGAGCAAGTATTCGAGCAGTGTTTAGTGAATGGAGGTGGTGCTTGTTACAGCAAGGTTTCCGACTCCAATTGCTGTGAAAGTCTGCAGCAATCTCAGATCTCATCTGAGTATAAAATTCATAAATTCAAATTTGATTGTCATATTAAATTCGCTGTCAACAAAGCCTTTCAAATTCTTTGTTTTACCAAGCGTTGGTCAAAGGAATTGGATGATGCTTATTCGTTCAAGATACTTTTCACTTCTCTTCTACGTCCAATTGTGGAATACGGATTTTGTGTGTGGTCTCCTCAATATCCGATTCACCAAAGCAGATTGGAATCTGTGCAGAAGAATTTCATACTTTTGGCTCTTCGTCGCTATGACTGAGGTGTATTTCTTGGCACATGTTAATAGTACATATAAATCATTGAACTCTTGAAGTAAAGAGTGATATTCAAATGTATTTTTGTACGTTTTGCCAAAAAATCGAATGAAGACTTCCAACTGAATTGGACATAAAAAAATGCGTATTAAACTGGCTCATTTTACTCCCATTGCTCTACATCAATTGTGGTTGAAATAAGAAAGCGCCAATTTTCTATTGTTTGTGTTTTCCAAAAACATGACGTGCAACTAAAGTGAAACAGATACAATAACAATTAACAATATCTTGGACACTTACCCATTACTTGGACGCGGCAAATAGCGCAAATATCGCATTCGACATCCCAGCTCCACATTGCGACTGCATTCCATTTCTTCAGCGTGAACATTTTCTCTGGTTTGCTATCATCTGTTGCTCGATTGTCCACTGAGTTTTCACCATCGTCGGCCATTTCTTAAGCACACAATTTAAATAAAATATATTGTTCGAGTTATTGTTTATTGTCAGATGTGATGCTGTTTTGCTTCTTCTTCATTGTCTGCACAAACAGCTGATTGACAAGTTCCACACCATCCACACAAAACAATCACCCTGTGTGGAACAAATCGATACAAGTTTTCCACAGGGTGTTTCATCACTTATGGCGCGCAATTCAAAGCAGCCAAATGAATGAAATGCATACTAAAAGTTTTCATTGCTTGCCGCACACGCAAAGCATTACAATTGTAATGATTGCAGTTACGAAACACAGTCGTGATTAATGTGACTGTTAGCACTTGTGCCAAAAAACGAGGCCATTAAATAATTGAGCGATCGTATCTTGTACTCGGTTCGACCTGCGTTGCGTTTCAGCAATAAAACTTAAGCTGCACAAATTGCACACTTGTTGGCAATACACTGGCAATAAATAAAATTGCAAAAATCCTCAATGAACAAGAATGGATACTCTAAAATGTGCAAAACGCGCTTCATGAACAGTTAAAGAAAAATACAAAAAAAAAGAGAAAATCAAAAACAAAAATGTTGCGAAAAATGTTGATATTTACCAACTGATTAATGGCTTTGCTAGCAAATTTTGCGTTTGTTAGTTGCTTCCTGTAATTAGTTTTCAGCTATGATGCAATCGCAAATAGCGCCTTCGTTTCACTTGCATAACGAACTGGCCAAGAATACACACAGCAAAATTGCAGACACAGCAACAGCAACAACAACAACAGCAGCAGCTCTTAACTGGTTTTCAGTCAGTTTTCAATTTTCAGTTTCCTTTCAATTTGTTACGTTCGCTTTCATCGTTAGCGTGTTTTGCTTCAGTTGCTTTTCACTTTCACTGGGTATTGCCCCGTTTCCCGTTCCGCCCAATTTAATGCAATTTTCGTTTTTGTTGTTTTTTTTTCAGTGTTTCTTTCGCTTATAATTTAAATAAAAAACTTACACAATGATACAAATAAAAGTATAACACATTTGGCTTCAAAACATGCGAAATTCCGAAAAGGTGTTTTTTTTTTGTTTATCTTTTTCATTTTCTTTTTTATGGAATGATCGCAAAATCTCGCTTAACCAAGCAGCTAGTTAGTTTGTCCTCTCACTAGCTACCTGTTCTTCTCCTCCTTTCTCCTGTTTCTTCTCTTTCTCCTCCTTCTGCTCTGACTCCTACTCCTCCTCCTTGTGTTTATCACCCGTTCAACGTCCAGCTCAACGTTGCCTTGTTGCGTGAATGTGATAAGGACTCTTCTGTTAGATGTCCTTGTGTCTTCTCTCACATTCTTTTCTCTTTCTCGTTCTGGTTGTTCTTCTTGTTGTTCGTTTACTCCTTGTGCTCGCTTTCTGTGCTTTCTGGACTTTCTGTGCTTTCTTTAGTAGTGGTGACCACCGTGTTGATGGTAGTCATGATGCTCCTCATGGTGCTCGTGATGCTTGAAGATGGGAACCTCTACGGTATATTTGTGTGGCACGGGTATTTCCTTGTGAATGGGCACCTTCACCTCCGTGTAGACGGGAATTGGCTTCTCAATTGGCACCTTAACCTCATAGGGCACTGGCTTCTCGACGGTGTAGTGTATCTTCTTCTCAACGGTGTAGGGTTGTGGTACGGGCACCTTTACGTGGACGGGATATGGTTTCTCCACCTTTTCGAAATGACATATATATATATAGATATATAAATATTTCAATCATAGTAAGATATTTTCGCTTCAAGCTAAGACATACCTCAACCTTGTAGGGCTTATCGACGGGCACCTTAACCTCATAAGGCACCTTCTTCTCGACAACGACCGTGTATGGTTTCTCAACCTCAACATCGTAGGGCTTCTCAACCTCAACGTTGTAGGGCTTCTCCACCTCGTATTTCACCTCATAGGGCACCTTCTTGATCACTTCATAGGGCTTGGGCACCGGCACTTCGATTTTCACCTCATGTGGCACCTTCTTGATCACTTCGTAGGGCTGTGGCACTGGCACCTTAACCTCATATGGAATTTTCTTGATGACCTCATACGGTTCGGGTACATGGACTTTCACTTCATAGGGCTTGTCGACGGGCACTTTCACCTCATAGGGCACTTTCTTTTCCACAATGTAGGGCTTTGGCACATGGACGGGCACCTTCACGTATTCCTTGACATGCACTGGATACTTTTTCTCCACAATGTAGGGCTGTGGCACGTCCACTTTAACTTCGTAGGGGATCTGAGGAAGGTAATTCAATTTATGAATGTTGGCAAACACCTTCTTTTTTTCGTTTTGCTTTTCGCTTTTTTGACTCTCGCTAATTAATATCTTTTAGTATCTCCAATTCTTTCTCCTCTCACTGTTTTCTTTTTTTCTATTTTTTTTTTAATTTTTGTGCTAAATAAAGAAAATGAATTGTTTATTTACCTTCTTTTCAACCGTGTAGGGCACATGTTTGGTCACCGTGTAGGGCACCGGCACCTTCTTCTCAATGGTCACCGTCTTGATGTGTTCATGGTGATGATGATGGTAGTCACCCAGATGTAGGCCACGCTTCTCCACCGTCTTGCCATCATCGGCAGCGGGTGCAGCAGCAGCAGCAGCAGTATCCACTGCCTTCTCATCTTTGATGGCAGCACAGTTGGCCATTGCCAAGCACACGGCGAGACAAGGAAGTACGAACTGCAAAAAGGATAATGCGGAAATGCCATGTCATAAATATCTCTCTGTATATATGTACATTTATATGTATATTTCTATATCTATTTCGCATAGGGGTATTCCTTCACGCACACACACAGACCACACACTAAATATATACACTGTGCGAATTAATATGCTGAGTTTTACCAATCGCATTGTTGAGCTGTTGCTTTGACGTTTCACGAGGAAAACGATTACTCCACAATAATCTGTGTTATACCAATAACGAGATACAAGTTGGTACTGATTCGCTGACTTGCTGCACAAAGCTTATATACACCAAAAAATTGGTCTATCGCAACGCAATTCACTAATCTCCATTCCCCACCACTCCCCCCGTGACTTTACCTCCTCCTCGGTAAGACGACAGCAACAACAACAACAACAACTTTAGTTGCGGCTGCGCGCAAAGCACATTCGCAACTTGCTGTTATTGTTGTTGTTGTTGTTGCTGTTATTGCCGAGATACCCTGTACCTATTCAAAATGTGTAAAATGAGTATTATGCGTCGAATTGTTGTGCAAATAGAAATGATAGACACCATTTTATAGATTTATATATATATATATATATATTACCATAAGGTACTTATAATAAACTAAAATTGATCAATTGTATACATTTCATGAAGGTCGATTAAGAGACACAGCAGTTGTTAGGGATATTGTACATTTATATAGATAAAGAGATACACATTTACTGGGTATCTCTCAGTTCAGCCATCTCTCTCTCTCTTTCTCTGTCTCTATCTCTGTTCGTCTGTGTGTCGACTACACTCTTACTTGTTGTAAGTTGCTGGTGTTGTTGGCTTAGTAATGAAATGTTGGGGAACGGTGTGTGTCTTGTTATATGAACAACTCGTTTCCCAACGGGATGCCATCCAATGGACTGCTAAGGAGCCATATGTATGATATATTATTACAACAAGGTAACAGGGTCGTTATCCTATAACAATAGCTAGGAAATCGTTACACAGACCCAAATAAATAACAAACCCAAACATACACATTATATTCATATGTGCTGCCATATTTGGTAGTAGCTTTGATTTTCATGATATGATATGATATGCAATTACTGTGGCTATTATCCGATTACAGGCTTTATATAATGCATCATCTAGACATTGACATCTTGAGTTTTTGAGTTCCGTTTTGAGATACGAATGCAGACATATCAAAAAATACCCACTACAATATCATATCATATGGAAAACAACAAAACAAACAAATAAAGATTATGTAAATCATGTGGATTGCTTGCTTTGTGCGTGCTATTGACTCGGCGGCAGCAGCACTATGAAGATGTGTGGCAAGTGGCAATAACAATAAGAAGGTTAAATACAATGCGTTTGATATTTGATCCGAGACATACATATTTTATGGTCAGTATCAAATTTTATGATCGCTCGCTTTGTAATCGATATAAACATGTATCGAGGCCAGTCTTGGGTGTTGAGTAAATGTGGCTGCCAAAGGGTTAAATCTCCATCAAAATATAGGTACGCAATAGCTAAGTAAAAATTGCCAAAAACTAGCCCAAAAAAAAAAAACATTTTCAATTTGAGTCGATGTGTGGCATGATGTTGTGGCATGATCGTGATTACAGCCCGCAGGAGCTGTCAGCGTGACTCTGTATATGTATACTTTTGCGCTTTTTATGTGTTTTGTATATATTTGTGCAATCATAGTCATTAAATTGAAGAAAAAAAATAAAAGCAGTTGGCTATTTAAAAGCTAACATGCAACTTACTCTTTGTGCTAAAACGAAAAATCGAATTTAATTATACACATGTAAACATACACACACACACATAGTATGTATATACGAGTATATATATATATCGTATATATATAGTCGCTGGCATGAGGCATTAGCAGTGCATTAAACAATAATGATAAAAAATAAAAACATTTTCGTACATACAATTTTTCGAAACTCGCCAAACAGACGCGGAAGACAGTCTGAGAAAGAGAGACGGTGACTGGAAACGAGACAACAAGTCTGAAATGAACAGTGTACGAAACAGTAGCAACAGCAACAACAACAGCAACAACAAAAACAACAACAGTAACAACAACAACAAAAACAACAACAACAGTAACAACAACAACAACAATAACAACATTTACATGCCTATTCTATTTCATAATCAAACCGAGCGCCACATTTCGCGCACTAATTGCCCATTATTGCGTTTATAATTATAAATTAGAGATACTAATTCGTTATTACACTTCTTTGTCCCATACGCGCAATACTGGTTAACTACTTCGAACCGTTAACAAGCATAAATAACTGTATACAAGTAGCAACTGTCGCTTTGGTCACTGACCTTCAATTTGAGTTGGTGGATGCCTCTCCCTTTGGAGAGAGTTCAAATCTGTAAGAGTTAAGATCGGTTGAGGTCTGTGTGTGCAACAGCATTAACCTTGACCCAGTAATTAGTTTTCCCGAAATAACAGTCATTTTTGCTAGTTAATTGCGCTCAAGAGATTGTCTAGCCCTTTTGTTTATAATTAAACTTCAAGTGGAGTTCGTTTCGACTGTTCATTTTGTTTTACAGTCGAAAGTGTCTGTAAATCAGTCAGAAACAACACTACTAAGCGGTATTGAGTGGATTGTGCAACATCTTTGTGATAAGTCCTTGAAAACTGGTCAACATTTACATAAGTACGCATTGTGGCACTTATGATGAACATTTGATTTTAAATTACAATACAAGATGGCCACAATAATATAGCATATCTTCATCTTTTACAAATTGTAGTCAAAAGTGTGCGCAACAGTTGTTTGTGTTATTTAGTTTATTGTTCGCTTGATTTGTCCAAAATTAGTTGACTTAAATTAGGAGCATAAAAAGATGTCTGTATTTATATGTTAAGCCACAATAGAGTACAAAGACAGCAGATTTTTTTAAACTTGTATTATATTATTAATTTAAGGAATCTGCATTGCGACCTAGTAGATCTATTGTGGCCTCTTCTGAGCCTATAGCTCCTCATCAATCAGCTTCTGTACGTATGCGAGAATCTTTGTTGGGTTTGAGAACTTCTGTGTTTTTTAAACTTATATTTTTGCATTATGTTGATTTTACTATGCATGATAGTCTATTTGTTTTTTGCATGATGGTAGCAATTCAAATTATGTCGTGCCGCGAACGAAGCAAGTGTGACCGCATTTCTTATTCACTCTGCGCGCTCTATGCAACACTGTTGCTACGCAACTTTTACAGCACTTATTACTCAAGCGCTGCTGTCATTTTTATACGCAAGTCATTTTGGCATCAAAAGTCATTCCGGCATTTGGAAATTGGTTTGTTTGTCTTCATTGAGACGTTTTGAAAGAACAGTAAGTAATTATTTCATGCAGCACAAAAAAATATATACAAAGAGGCTTGGACGACTAATTTTCTACGTTCTTGGGCTACTTGCAGGCGAAATACAGTCATGTTTCTAACACGCTCCGAGTACGATAGAGGTGTAAACACCTTCTCACCAGAGGGCCGCCTCTTCCAGGTCGAATATGCTATTGAGGCCATCAAGCTGGGCTCCACAGCCATCGGCATTTGCACCAATGACAGTAAGTTGGGACTTATCGAATATTTAAGTGAAATATTACATTAGTATACATTTTGCAGGCGTTGTTCTCGCCGTGGAGAAGCGCATTACCTCGCCGCTGATGGTGCCAAAGACTGTGGAGAAGATTGTTAAGGTGGATGAGCATATTGGTTGTGCCACATCTGGTTTGATGGCCGATGCACGCACATTGATTGAGCGTGCACGCGTCGAGTGCCAGAATCATTGGTTCGTCTACAACGAGGAGATGACCGTGGAGTCATGTGCCCAGGCTGTGTCCACATTGGCCATACAGTTTGGCGATAGCGGTGATAGCGATGGCGCTGCGGCAATGAGTCGTCCCTTCGGTGTGGCCATACTCTTTGCCGGCATTGAGAATGGCAAGCCGCAACTGTGGCATATGGATCCATCCGGCACTTACATACGCTACAGCGCCAAGGCGATCGGATCGGGCAGCGAGGGCGCCCAACAGAACTTACAGGATAAATACACACCAGAGATGACACTGAGTGATGCCACCGATTTGTGCTTGAACACCCTCAAGCAAGTAATGGAGGAGAAGCTAAATGAGACGAATGTCGAATTGATGACCATGACAACAAGCAAGAGGGAGTTCACCATGCTGCGCGAGGATGAGGTGAAAAAGCTCATCGAAGATCTGGTCTAAAACTTAAATGCTACTCCATATTTTTACACACAGCAACATTTTGGTTATTTGAAGAAACTATATGTGAATAAAAGGGGATTATAAATCAATCTGCTTAGAAAATAACAATCATTGCTTTTTACAGTTATGGGAATAATGGGTTGTAAAGCAAATGGAATAGTATTCTCGTCGGATACACCACAACTTGGAGCGACAGGACTACATATTTCCTGGAAATGTATTGCATACTCTTGGGCTGCGTACAAAAATTACATTTGCAAACTCACGCTGCATACTTTTGGAGATGCCAGGTCAGAGCGATGGCTCACAACTATTTACAGGGATAGCTCCAAAGCTGGGCCAAAGCAATTCTATCGAACTGCATTCAAAGATTATGAGCTCATCTAAGGACCATAAAATCCTTATGTGGTCAAGCGAAATCCTGAAAATCGAATCAAATCAAGGTGCAACTCAATCGCGCTGCATTCAAGAGTTATAGAAATCCAAATACACCAAAAATGTTTGCCCGCCCAGCAATAGAAATTAATAGAATCATTTGTGTATTTTATATACAGTTGACTTTATTTTACGTATTGATTTATTTGTGTGTATATACTAACTAAAACATTTTGTTGGGGGGAGACCCCTACAATACAATTGTTTTTAAATGTCTGTATATTTATGTACTTATTTACTGTGTATATACTGTATATATATATTTATTAATTTATATGCTAGACATGAACTGTTGAGCAAATCAAACAGCTGTCGATTAACTTGGTTAATCGCATTATAAAGGCAAATCATAAAGAATTTTCATTACTATTCTTTGCTAGCTTGTTCTTTTCTTTTTCATTTCATATATATATATATATATATATATATATATATATATATATATATATATATATATATATATATTTCTACTAAATATTCTCTTCGATGCACAGACTTTTTCATTAAATGTGTGTAATACAAAAAGTTATTGAACGAAAATATCGTAATGCAAATTAAGGCGCATATGCAGTAAATCTAAAGATATTGTTGAGTACAAAAGGATGTGTGTGTGTGGAGAAGTTGACAAAAATAGTACACAAAATTTGTTAATATATATGTATATACCTATAACAATACGAGTATGTATATATATGTATATATATATATCTGTATAGTATATATAGAGCATTCACAATTGTTTACATCACACCTAGGTTTGATGTTCGCCGCCACTGGGACTGTTGGTGTTGCTGTTTGTATTGGTGTTATTGGTGTTGTTGCTGTTGCTGTTGGTGTTGTTGTTGCGCAACATGAGTCGAGATAGACTCGTATTTGGCTCGCTGAGCGAATAAATTTCCGGCTCAAAAACCGGCGGACATTCCATATTGGGATAGTCCGGAGTGGCGGCTTTTGAATCTAGAGAATTGGTGTTGGATACTTTTGGTGTTGCTGGCTCCACTGCTGCTGGCGGAGCATCTGCAGCGGCAACTGTAGCAACAGCAGCTGTTGTTATTGGTGTACCTGCTGCCGATGCTGTTGTTGTTGCTGCTGCCGCTGCTGCTACCGCTGCAACTGTTGCAGCTGTTGGTGGCGGTGGCGCCGGTGGCAATGGCGGCTGCAACGCTTCAGATGCACACAGATTGGTATTGGAACGATAACTACGCTGACTATTCTGTGTGGGAAGGATGACCTGCGAGAAGATCTCATGATCACAATCCGCATCCAGATCAATGCTGCTGGGTGAAGGCAAATGATGATGATGTTGCTGTTGCTGCTGCTGTTGTTGCTGCGGTTGCTGCTGATGATGATGGCCAAAGAGCGTGCGATGCAGCAGTGGAGATCCAAGGAAACGATTCTCCTTGGAGGGACGCGTTGGCGTCGCACTGGAACCCGACGATGTCGCCGATGATATGGACAGCTTGGAGAAGATGGGTATCGGTGCCGAATTCTTGCGATGCGCATCATATTTGGTGCCAACGATCTTATCACGCAAATCCTGATTGTATGTCTGACTCTTCTTAATGCTGTTGCTGCCACCACTGGCCATGTGGCTGCCGACGATGGCATCGCTGCCCAGCGCATGATTCGACTTGGATTTCTTGTTCAGTGGCAGGGTCATTGTCATCGGCGTGAAGGGAAAGCGTCTATCGCTGCTGCTGCTGCTGTTGGACTTGCTTTTGCTCTTGTTCTTGCTGCTGCTGCTGCTCGACGTGATGGAGTTGACATCGCTCGACTCACTGTTGTGGTGCTTCTTGCTGCTCTTGTGCAGAAAACTGGACAAGTGCTGCGAACGCAAAAAGTATTTGGGTCGTGTGCTCGTCTGCTGTTGCTTCTCCTTCTCCAACTGTTGCTGCTGCTGATGGAGCAGCAATTGTCGCTCGTACTCATTGGCACTGGTTTGCCGCGAGATGCCGTGATTGCTGTTGTTGTGATGACTCCCGCTGCTGCTGCTGCTCGTTGCCGGCTCATCGCCAAAGATCAGCTCGTAGCCAAAGTCGCGCAGTTTCTGTCCCTCCTTGGTGCGCGTCCGCTTGATGCTCTCATCATCTGGCTTGAAGCTAAACTCATAGTCCGGCGTCTTGGGCAGACTCCGGGTCTGAAACTTTGCGGGCTTCTCACCATTGCCGGGTGGCTTGGCCGCAGCACTGGCAGCCGTTGACGTTGAAACAGACGTCGATACCGTCTGTTGACTCGCATTGGAATCGGTGCGCAAATGACGATTGTGCTTCTCCACACCGAGATGGACGCGATTGTTGTACATCTCCTGGGATTCCTCGTGCTGTTTGCGTAACATTAAATCCTTTAGGGTCATATAACCCTGGATATTATTTGTCTGATGATGGGGATCCAAGGTGCAACCATCGTTGCTAACGCCGCCGCCGCCACCAGTTCCACCTGCCTTTTTGGTCATGAACGTTTTCGTTAGCGGATGATGATATTCGAAAACCTCCAGATTGGGATTGGAGGCGTGCAGATATTGATAGGGCACTTTCTTCAAGCTGGACTTGCTGCTGGGACTCTGACTCTGGCTGGGACTGGCACTCTGGCTTGCACTCTGACTGGGACTGGGGCTGTTGCTCTCCTCATCCTCCTCCTCGTAGCTCTGGCCCTGCTGCAGTGAACTAAGCGTGGGCGCTGGCGAATTCGGTGGTCCCTGGCTGGTCGACGAGATGCTGACTACCGAACTGCGACTGGAGCTTCGCGATAACTTGCGCGAGAGCGTGCCTCCCGACGTCAGCTGCTCCTGCCCCGACTTGACTGGCGGAGGGACGAGTGTAGTAGGCGGTTGTGCCGGATCATGATAGCCGGGAGTATTGGCGCCAATTTGGATGCCACAGCTGCCGCCGGGCACCTTGCGAAACGTTTGAAAGTTGGCCGTGGGCACGGGTATATCGCTGGAGCTGCTTTTGGCAGCATTGCTCTTGAAGGTGCCCATGGTGAACTTGCGCAACGAGTCAAAATAGCCACGATCATGCTTCAGACTATTGCTGCTCAGGCTGCTCGTAGGCGTGGAAGCGTTCGAGGCAGCCAGCGTTGCAATCACATCCTTCGATGCCTGCGGTGATGGTGTACACAGATTGGTGTTAATCAGCACATCGCTCTCCTCCTCGCCGGAGCTCTCGTTCTCCGAGTAGAGATCCTTGCTGGTGCAGGACTCGCTGCTCACCGCCGGCAACTTGAGCGAGGCCAGGCGCAAGAACTCCACCCACTGATTGAGTGCGTCCAACGACTCAGCGGCAAAATAGAAACTCTTCGCCGTATGATACACTTTAAAGGCGTGCGGCTTCGAATGGACCTCCTTGGCCAGCGACACTGTGAAGCCGGGCAGAAAGATGACCAGACTCGCATTGGAACTCTGCTTGCTGCGAAACCCGTACAATATCGTGTCCAGCATCACGAAGTAGATGCGTGCCCAGTAGGTGACGCCACGTAGATTCTTTGTTCGCCTGTAGAGATGACCCTGGATATCACCTGTGCCCAGGTGTTTTAGGTTTGTGTTGCGCCGCTTGGCCATCAGGCTGTGCTTCTTCTTCAGGGTCAATGTGCGCGTCTTGCTGGGCGTGAGCAGCTCACTGATCTCCTGCTCCACGGGTGCAACAATGGTTGCTGTTGCCACAGTAGCCGCTGCTGCTGCTGCTGCCGCCGCTACTGCTGCATGTTGCATGCTCGCTGGTTTGGGTGGTGGTGGTGGCACCATCGGCGGCGTCAGTTCCCTTTGCTTGCGTGGACGTGGCGGCGGCGCTGGCGGCGTCACCAGCAGAAATTCCTTGCGAGGCTCAACGGCAGGTGGCGGTGTATCGGATTCACCACCTCCACCGCCACCACTGCTGCCGCCAGCCTCCTCACAAGAATTATCATAGGCGGGCGTGCTGTGACTCTTGTCGAGACGGCCGCGACGATTCTGCTGCTGCTGCTGATTTTGGATTAGGGGCGTATTGATGGCCTCCGCCAGCGGCGGCGTCTTACGCGTAGCCAGCTCCATGGCCTGGAGCAGCTCGGCACTGGTCTCGCCGGCACAGCTGCGCAACGTTTCCAGCGCATCCTCGTCGCCCTCATCCGCAAACGGAATCGGCTCGAACGTCTCCAGTATGGTGTTCTCCACATTGCACGTAAATTTCTCATTCTTAACGACATAATCTTCCACCTTCATGTTGGCATCGAAACGCACCACTTTGCTAACGCCGGGCTTGTAGCGCTCGAGCAGCTGCAGCTGCTGTTGCGACTCCAATCCGGCCTCCGTCAGCTGCTTCAATTTGCGCGCCTCGTTGAACAGCCTCTTTGCGGTGTCCGCACTATCGCTGGCTGCCATACCGATGCATGTCGTCGGCCTGGGCGCAATCTCCAATCCATAGCCAAAGGAAATGGACTTGTCGCGAATGCTGGGCGAGCCAGGATCACAGATAGCATTGGTATTGCCGACGACGCCACTTCCGCCGCCACCGCCGCCGCTGACGCCGGGTTTGCGCTCATGCCACGAGGGTATCACCAAATGCGGATGCTTCTGACTGAGAAACTCATCGCCGCAAATTGTGTTGCGTCGCTGGAGCAGTGCTCGCGGCTTTGGATAATACAATCGCATCTCACGACTTACCGACTTGGGATCGGTCGGTGTGGGTATATCACTGCAACTGGAATCCGAATCAGAGCCGCCGGCATGCGCCTGCACCTGCTCTGCATCATCTCGCTTACGTTCCCGCTCCCCGCCCACCAACTCGGGCACTTTGACGCTTCTGCCCTCGGATTCGCTGGATGGGACTTTGGGCGCCGTATCGAGGGTGAGGAAAGTGGCACGCGGACTCGGACTGGGCAGATTATCTGCCCAGCGACTGGCCATGTTGCGTTTCTTGCTGGGCAGCCGATAGGGCTGCATATAGATCTGACCGTACATTTTGGTGTGCTTTGGTCGCTTCTTCACAGTGAGCACCACGTCGGGCAGCGCCTCGCACAGATGATGGAGCACCGTTTTGTGCTGCCAGCCAACAACGGTCTGATAGTTGATCTGCACAATCTCATCGCCATCCTCGATCTTGCCCGAGTTGTGGGCTGGCGAATTGTACTTGATGTCGGTGACCCGATGGATCCTATTGTAGCTGGCCTCAATGTTGAAGCCCAGATCCGATTCGCGTTTCTTGAGCGTCACCAGATTGAGAGAGGCGGGCTGCAGCACCATCGGATCCGAGATGTCCTGTATGATAAAGTTCGCCAGTCGCTCCAAGCGCTCGGCCGTTGCCCGAATCTGTGCCACCGGTCGCTCTGCAAAGCGATCCCTGTGCGCTATCGTCGCCAGTTCCAAGCCACAGCGCAGCACATTGCCGCAATACTCGCGATACATGTCTTGGTTCCGAAACGGCGAACGCTCCAAGTTCCCAATCAGCGGCTTTAGTGTCGCAATCGTTCGCGTTATGTCGTGCAGCATCCGCGTGTCAATCTTCGTGCTATCCGCATGATTCTTAGCCAGCTCACGGTGTAAATTGCGCGCCGCGGTGCCAACATGCAACGCCATAAACTGCAGATTATCATTTTTCAGGTGATAGTGCTAAAATGTATAAGATATCATTAATTTCTGTAACTGTTAAATATACAGCATGATGACCAATAGTGCTGTGCTCGAACGTGGACAGTAGTCGACAAGGCTTCAACTTTGTGTGTTCATTTGGTATGTATAGATATATACATAAGAATGTTAATCAGTCCATCATAGTTGATACTGATAGTTAACTGACAAATTTCAGGCTCTAATTCCAGTTTAAAATTAAAATTACACCAAAGCAAATTAAATCCAATTTAGGATTATTTTTATTTTCTACTCCTTGTCCCTCAGTTGACAAAAAAAAATGGCAAGCACTTGTTGGCTACCGCTGGAACACAATTCTCACCAGCACCTCTGATGCATTTTGGACACACTTACAAAGTTGCGCAGGTTTTCAACGGCTTCAAGGACAATTTCCTGACGGCCAATGGCCTTCATGCCCAAATTTTCCAACTCATATGGCCGTATATTAAGCAGGGCTCGTCCACCGATATTGTGTTTTGAAAATTCGTATAAATAGCCTTCCATGGACTCGTCGAGACCTTTTTGTGGGGAAATACATTAAATATTAAACGTACACAAATTGTAATTACATTGAAAATGGGTTGTGAAAGGAATGTGGTTGTTGTTGTTGCTGCTGAGTTGTTGCTGCACTTTTCCTTGACCTGTTAATGGGAGGGATCCATAGATTTATTTACCTCTGATCCAGTCTGTTACTTGGTCGGGCGTCCATTCTGCTATGTTTATATAGGCCATACTAGTTAATAGAAGCACCAGCAAAGCACACAACTACTCCATTTTAATTTCGACACAACATAAACAATTGATTAATATAAAAGTTTTTGTCCACAGCCAGGGCTGGCAAACAACGAAGATATCTGATATTGTTGCGTCCACTAGCTGCATTCGAGATGGTACGATATTTGGGTAACCGCTATCACTGGATCACCGTTCATTAAATGAGTACATCCTTTCAAAAATTGGGTCCGTTACTGGTGCTCGCTCGCCTGCTAAGCAATTATCTATGAAATATTGGTATATGGCTGCAGCACATTTCTGATATTCTGATATTTCCGTTCAGAAGTCAGAGAAATCACAGTTTCGCATCCACAGGCCGTACTTTAGATTTAGTGTTGAAAATGATTAATACTGACAAATCATCTATCGGTTATCGCAACTTATTGACCAACCACCACAAAAGGACAGCTGAGTGCTTATGCATATAAGTGTTGAGTAAACATTGCTATATTTGCATATGCCTCTGAGAAAAACAGCTGAGCAAGGCAATCCCGAATTACCATTTCATATAATGCTTCAATTGCTTTAACTTTTAATAAATGTATAATTTATTCAATTACTATTCACACATTACATACAGTTACAGAGCATGCACCATGGCCATTTTACAGAAACAACGCAACTGCGCACACATTTTTCAAGACCTGCGACATGTGTACACGATAAATCATTCACGTTGAGAGAGAGTGAGAGAGACAAACGTCAAAGTAATCACCGCGTGTTTTCTTACGTTCTCCACGCATTGCAATTGCAGCCACACGGAAAACTGGGGAAATATGTCTGCAACCCAGACAAAACAAATCAAATTTTACAATCCAGCGAGTTCCGCGAGTTCCGACAGGTAAACACAAATGCATTTGAAGTGAAGTGGTGATAATAATGAAGCTTACAAATCCACCAACCAACAAAATTCATTCATCACATTTTAAGCAGTTGAGCACGCAATAAGAAATTCGCTTAATCACAGCAGCAACGTTCCCATGTATGCAGATACTCACATGCATGTTTAAAGAAATTCATATACATAGATTTACATAGATATAGACATACACATACATATTGTATATCTATATCTATATATATAAATTAAGCGTGTGATACAGCGTGGTTCTGTTAGATATCTAACATACATGTAAATATATACACACACACACATATATATATATATATATGTACATATTCTCGCATACGTACGTGTATGTCAAATTAAATTTCATTCGCTACTGAAATTCGACGTCGAACGTCGCAGCAGAGCGCTGCAGCAGAATTAAAAAAAAACCAACCAACCAACAGACACAAGCAGAGTTATAACGCAACGAAGCAGTGAACACAACAATAACAACAACAAAAGGTAGCTGCTCTACCTTTCGGCTGTACCTTTGTCGACGTCGTCAGTTGCTTAGCTCTGCGAATCGACAGCCAGACACTCTGAAAAAATAGACAGTTCCCCGATTGCGATTTCTTCACACGCACTTCACATTTTTCAGTCATTCTGCAAACGCGCTTGCTGTCTGATTGCTTCTATATTTTAGCCGACGCCGGCAATTTAAATTTCTGCAATACATTGATATAAAGAACAACAATAATATAAATAAATTATAAAAATTAAAAATAATAAGCACGCTATTCAAAGCGCCAGTAAAAACACATCACATGCGAAATCTGCCATCGCCGTAGTCGTCGTCGTGTGCGTGTGGGAGTGTGTTGTATGTGTGTGTGTGTGTGTGTTTTTGTACGTGTACGTGCGTGTCTGTGCCTGTGTTTGCGAGAGTGATTGACCCATTTAGCAAGTAAAATTCTGCTACGTCGAATTTTGACTCCTTGCCTACAATGAGCAGCATCACGTTTTTATGCAGTAAGACGAATAATAATAATAACAACAACAAGAATAGCAGCAAAGATGTCGCTACTAATGGAATTTCAGCCTCATCATCTTCACCAGTATTTGCTTCTGCCGGCTTATTAACACAAACAACAACAGCATCAGCAGCACACCACCAACAACAACAACACCAGCTACAGCTGCACAACCAGTTGAAGAAGACGAAGGTGAAGGCTGCAGCGAAAAGCAACGGTCACAGTCACATGTAAATCATTTGCATTTTTATTCACATATTCTACATATTTACAAAATGTATGTGCATATATGTAAATGTTCATATGTGTATGTTGTATGTCTATCTATCTGTCTATGTTTTATCATCTGTATGGTTGTTTCTTTCGTATATATTTGCCCAGACCCACAAATGCATACATACAAACATGTGTGTATGTGTGTGTGTGCGTAAAGCATGCTCTAATTGTTCTGTTGTCACTGCCCAGTTTTTGTTGCTGTGTTTAATTAACGTTATTTTTAATATCGTTTATCATCGTGTCTGTCTAAATCGACTGTGAGTCGTCGTCGGTTTGGAATTACAAAAATAAAAAGAAGACTACATGTATGTTCATACAGTCACACACAAATTATAGCGTCAGCAAATGCTGCTGCTGCTGCTCTTGTTTCAATATGGCTGCGATCAAGCCACGTTTGCAGCTCTCTTCTCCTTTTCTCTTAAACATTTCTTTCGTCTTGCACAAAATGTGTATTCGTATGCACTTTTCTCCCATTTCTCGCTCTTTGCACTCTATGTGTGTGTCCTGCAGACCTGCCAACCTGTTGGGCGCAACACGTGAATCGAGCACGTTGCGACGATGTCCCCTTTCCAATCCATTCTGTTTCTCACTGCTGCTGCTTCATCAATGCTGCTTACTTGTGTACATCTATATATATATTTATGTATGTATTTGCTACAGACGTAGTTGAACTATAAATAACAAGCAAAATTGCCGCAGTAGCTGCAGCAGCACCGAATATTCATTAGAAAGAACTTCTTTGTGAAATTCACTGTCCGCACGATGACTTCATAATGTCGTACATATGTATGTGTGTACGATTAATATATGTATAAATGTATGATTGCAGTTGGCAGATGCTCTCATCTGAAATAGCGTCCCATTGTCTGGCTGAATAGAGTGTGCATAGGTTATGTGAGGTTAGTCTAGCCAGGTCAATCAGGGATGGCGAATCTATGACGTCATAACGTGTGCCCACTTTTATCGCAGCGTAATTAAAATAATAAATAAAGGAAAGCAAATAATTATTGTATCGTTCTTAACTTGGATAAGTGAGTTGCTATCAGTATTTATATTTAAGTAACCTTATCGACATTCGCTGCACATGCATAATTAGGGGATTTGCATTTAACAAGTGAACTTATTAAATTTCAGTGTACTTCAGTTTATTTGTCGACATTTATTCACTCGCATTCATTTTTATGGTGCATCTGCTTTAATTCAGGGAACGTGAAGATCCCTATTTACTTTTGTGGCATTCTCACATTCTTTTCTGAGTGTGAAATCATTTTCGCATATATCTATTTACATTTGTTTTTGTTGTACTTTGGGGCACTGTCTAGACTGTGAATATGGAAGACAAATAAACAGGCGAAATATATAATTTGGGTGTCGGTTTGTTGTTTATTTTCTCTAATATTTATATGTAGTCTATATATTTTGTTGGACATGCTCTCGAAACTCTGAGGTCAGCAAAGGAAGGCAGTTAATTGAAACAGTTGCTGCTCATATTAATTACAATCAATTCAAATTAATTGAAATACATTGCACAACACAAAGATACTCTACTTTTGTCTGTGAGTATAATAATATGCAATTGTATTAATTGCACTGCGTATATATGAATGTAAATTCCTAAAGTAAAGCATTCAATAAGATAGAACAGAGAATAAAAGAAGAACAATATCGAAATTTCACTATACATTTTGAAACCGACCGATTTTTAATGACATCTTGTTAAGAGCCTATAAATAAATGGCATACATAGTGAATGTGATCCGCAAAAGCTATTAAATAAAAACATCGCTATATGAAACAGAGATCCGATCCAGCCGACTCCAAAATATGTGCTATCTTTAATAATAAAACGATTATATTCCAAATTTCATCAAGATTGTTATAAAACTAGATTGGGCTAGGAATGTTGATCAAATGTAGATATGTATTGGGGTCGACGACCTCTTTGCAAGCGTATAACAATCAGTTCTTCGAATTTAGCAACAGTCATAGAAATGCGTAAGACACTTAAGCAAAATTTATAGATAAATTTGTTTATGGATTAAACAAACGTACTGTAATCAAAACATTAATCTAGTTAGTCATCGTTTATCCGGTGATTTCGTACAAATTGCGCATTTTTTCGTCTTATGCTGATAACTATAAGTATATATACATATATATATATAAACGTGTGCAATTTTGACCATGATGTGTACACAATTTCGTTAGTCGCTTAATTTACGCTCTCTTGCAATCTTTATGATTAGCACTGGAACTGCTTTTATATTGAACCGAAAATGACCGATAATGTTTTAATTGTCTTTTTTTTTTTTGGTAACAGAACTACAGCTAACTGATATATTTTTTGTTTTGTTTGTTAACTTATTTAGCGACGATCGGTCGGATGCAACAGAACCGATATTTATTGATGCCACCGCAACGGGTGGAGAGCTCAACTGCTGTCCGGCATCACCGACAACGGTGCCGGCGAAATCGTCACTGGAATCGCCGATGCGAAGATCGGCACGAAGACAACGCACCACATCCATTGGCAATCAAACGACCACAGCCAATCCATCCGAATGCATAATACGGGCCAATAATCGCACTATCTATACAGCCGGAAGACCGCCATGGTACAATTGTGCCGGACAGCAGGTTGAACCCTTTGTCATAGGTGCGTCTGATTTATTTGACTCCCCATCTGTTTCTCTATTAATCGTGGTCAATTACTTTTCAGGCATTTGCGGTGGCAGCGCATCCGGCAAGACGACCGTCGCTGAAAAGATCATCGAGAGCCTCGATGTGCCATGGGTGACCCTATTGTCCATGGACTGCTTCTATAAAGTGAGTGTACTTAGATTCTCGGCGCTGAGAATGCAAATCAAGTACAGTCTCTAAACTCATTGCCAGATCCTAAATGGGAAGCAGCATGAACAGGCACTCATCAACGAATACAACTTTGATCATCCAGATGCTTTCGATATCGAGCTGCTTATCGATGTCCTTACCAAACTGAAGGAGGGCCGCAAGGTTGAAGTGCCAGTTTATAATTTTGTGACGCACGGTCGCGAAAGCCAGACGGTGAGTATCCCACAAACTGGAGAAGGTTATTCAACTTTGACAATTGATTTCCCTTTCTAAACAACTGACCATTTTTTTTAACTGAAATTATTTATTACATTAATAACATATTTATATAGAAAACCATGTACGGTGCCAATGTCATCATATTCGAGGGCATACTCACATTTCACAGTCCCGAGGTGCTGAAGCTGCTCGACATGAAGATATTTGTAGACACAGATCCGGATATCCGTCTGGCAAGAAGGCTCAAACGGCAAGTGTATTTTTCACTCAAGTTGAGAGAATGGGAATAATCTAATTGTGCATTTACAGTGATATCTCGCAGCGAGGACGCGACCTGAAAGGCGTGCTGAAGCAATACCTGAATATGGTGAAGCCCTCATATGCTAATTATATAGCGCCAACAATGGCGCATGCGGACATAATCGTGCCACGAGGTGGCGAGAATACAGTGGCCATTGCCCTGATAGTGCAACACGTCCACACCCAACTCCAACTTGTAAATGAGATTTGCATTATTATTATGCATTTGTATAATTCGACTAAACCTTGATGTATTTTAGCGCGGCTTCAAGCTTCGCGAAACGTTGGCAAATTCGTACAAGGATCAGCCGATGCCTGATTCATTGCATTTACTGCATCCGACGCCACAGATCAAGGGTCTGCACACATTTATACGCTGCAAGAATACGTCGCGGGATGAGTTCATCTTCTATTCGAAGCGTCTCATCCGACTGGTGATTGAGTATGCGTTGAGTCTGTTCCCCTTCAAGACGACGCGTGTGGAGACGCCACAGGGCGTCCTCTACGAGGGGAGGCGTATGGAGTCGCGCAAAATATGTGGAGTATCAATTCTGCGAGCCGGCGAGACCATGGAACAAGCCGTCTGTGATGTCTGTAAGGACATACGCATTGGCAAGATTCTCATACAGACGAATCTGAAAACTGGCGAGCCGGAGCTGTACTATTTGAGGCTGCCCAAAGACATAAAAGACTTTAAAGTGATACTTATGGATGCCACGGTGGCCACCGGTGCTGCTGCAATGATGGCCATTCGAGTTCTGCTCGATCACGATGTGCCCGAGGAGAACATCATTCTTGCCTCGCTACTAATGGCCGAGATCGGTGTCCATTCGATAGCCTATGCTTTTCCCAGAGTATGTAACATTTATTTAAATACTAGTTTATTATTAATATTGACTATAATTGATATTTTCGTTGTTTTCAGGTTAAAATTGTTACTTCTGCTCTGGATCCGGAGATAAATAGCAAGTTCTACGTTATACCGGGTATTGGTAACTTTGGCGATCGCTATTTTGGCACCGAACCCTCCGACGAGTACTAAGTTTGGGGCCAATGCTTAATATTCCTAGGCTTAAATAAATGCAAATCGTTACTTAAATTATCAATTCAAGAACTAGCGCCTTGTATTTTATTATAATGTCTACTGATCTACTGATTTAACAATCGGACGAGCAGCTGCAGCAGGAATGCGACGGCGCCAACTACTAAAGCTATGCCTATGTAGCGCTCTCTCCGACTGCTGCTGCTATTGCTCTTCGTTTCCAGTTGTGTCTGTTTCGTGTTGGCGCAACGTGTCCATTCCTGCTCCTCGTCCAATATCTCACCCATCATACTGAACTTGCTGGAGGATGTGATGCGGACACGTACACGCGTGCCCAGCAAATTCTTACGCATGGGTAGCAGCACTTGCTCGTAGCTCTTGTTGTGTCCCACATAGTGCAGTTTATCGTGTGAGATTTCCGTTACCAGCACCGTATATAGTTGACCCTCACGTCCCGCATACGGCTCGTAGCTGTAGAATAGATCGGTTAGACGTTTGGTGCGCTTCTTTACTAGATTCGCCGGTATGCGTTCCATTTTGGCAGCTGGTGTGCCCGGTCGCGGAAAGAACTGATTGATGAATAGGCTGGGAAACTGGTATTTCTCGCACAGCGTCATTGTCTCCTCAAAGTCTTGTTCCGTCTCCGTGGGAAAGCCACAAATAATATCGGTCGCAATTGTCAAGCCCGGCACACGAGAGCGCAAAAAATCGACCACATGCTCAAAGTCCTTGCGACAGTATTCGCGCTTCATCTCACCAAGCACTGAATCGCTGCCGCTCTGTGAAGAGTTACAGGATATAGTTATTGTTATAGGATATATATCTTACTGGTTACCTGTACAGGCACATGGAGAAATGCGTAGACACGCGGATGCTGCAGAACTTTGGCGACTTCTTCGAGATGCTCTAGAATATAGGGGGGATTTGTCATGCCGACGCGCAGCATACAGTGCTCGGGTATAACCTCGACCAACTGCCACAGCAGCTCTGGCAACGAGCTGCCAATGTCACGTCCATAAGCGCCCGTATCCTCGGACGTAAGCCAGATTTCGCAACAGCCCTCGTCAAAGGATTGACGTGCACGGTCGACGATCTCAGCGGGGGGATAGCTGGCGAGGTCGCCGCGGGCATGTTTCGTTTTGCAGTAGGTGCATTGGTTGAGGCAACCGCTGTTGATCGAGATGATCTCGATGAGCGGATTCTTGCGCACCTTCGGTAGGGATAAGGGGGCACCGGCGACTCGACGCCCGTGCACCTTCTTGTTCTGCAGCAGGCGCACGCTATGCCCCTTTAGCGTCTCCTCGACCACCTCGACAACGCGATCGATTTGCTGGACACCGATTACCGATAAGCCACGGAGATAATCGGACTTGGGGGCACCCTGGGGCACACAGCCGGCGACAACAACATGCTTGCCATTTCGCATGCCCGCCTCGATTTCGTTGCGGAACGTATCTTCCGAGGGATTCTTTACAGTGCAACTATTTAGCAGCCACAAGTCCGCCTCATTCTTGCCACTCAGTTTATAGCCAAATGACGCCAGTTGGCCGGCCATGTACTCTGAATCCGAATTGTTGTGTGCACAACCCCAAGTCTTCACATACACCTTCTGGGTGCCAGGAATAACACTCTCGTGGATGATCTTCTGTGGCTTCGTCTCTTCCTTTTCGTCATCGCTTAGCGTTGGTTTAATTGGCGCTCGCTTCTTGGCGCGCACTGTGACATTCTTCTTGTTCTCATAGCGGTCACGGGGTTTAATATCGTCGGCCGATATTAAATCCTCGATATCGTCAATATCGTTGCCCGGCAAGTCCGACTCAAATTCCATACTTGGATTTTGTTATTTGCAGCACGTGTGCGCATGCAGGCAGTCAGCTGTTTACATTTGACGAATCAATGTGACCAAAAAATGTTTTTGTGGGGTGTTGAAAAACGAATAATTGTTGACAACTAAGGAGCTGGGTTTTAAAGTTTAAGTTAATACGGGTCTGAAATGCCCTTTAGGTTATTATTTTATATAACAATAAATGTATTACGAGCTGAAGGTCATAGTCCGAGCACATAGCTAACTATTTTTTTTTATATAGTATTAAGTTTCATTAACAGACATGAGAACCACCCGACTCTAAAAATGAATATGCCGCAAATTTTCAGTTTCACTATACTTTTGGCATCTTATCAGCATCGAAACGCTATCAACGCGGAGACAGTGACAAGTTCCATAAGCACACTTTAACCCGAATTGCGGCTATATTGCTAATCCGGCGTTTGTTACGATGATACACATTAAATGTAAAGATACCAATTTGGACCCGATTCCAGTAAAGGTGAGTGCGGTTGTTTCCATGTACACACACACAACACACGTTTTAAGCCCAACACACACCTACACATATTACATATAAATATATGTATCTATAGATTGGCATCATTGGTGGCTCTGGTCTGGATGATCCCGATATCTTGGAGCAGCGTCAGGAGAAGGTAATTGAGACACCCTACGGTGCACCATCGGATGCGTTGATCGAAGGCGAAATCGGTGGGGTGCAGTGCGTCCTCCTCGCCCGTCATGGACGCAAACATGATATTATGCCATCGAATGTTAATTATCGTGCCAACATTTGGGCTCTACGTCAAATTGGTTGCACACATTTGATTGTGTCCACCGCCTGCGGTTCGCTAAGGGAGCACATTCAGCCGGGTAATTTAGTGGTGCCACATGACTTTATTGATCGCACCACGAAGCGACAACAGACGTTCTATGATGGTGAGCATGCAGGTGTCAATGGCGTCTGCCATCTACCCATGTATCCGGCTTTCTGTGAGCGCACTCGGAAGACGCTGCTCGATGCGGCCAAGGAGCTGGAATATGCCGCCCATGACAAGGCAACGATTGTCACCATAGAGGGACCACGATTCTCATCTCGCTCGGAGAGTAATATGTTCAGGCAGTGGGGCGGTGATCTGATCAATATGACAACCTGTCCGGAAGTTGTGCTGGCCAAGGAAGCGGGCCTATTATATGGCTCGGTGGCAATTGCCACTGATTACGATTGCTGGCGCATGGGCTGCGAGGGTGTCAACGTCCAAGATGTGCTCAGGACCTTCTCCGAGAATGTGGTGAAAGTGAAGCGTATCTTGGTGAATGCTGTGGGACGCATTGCCAAGGAGGATTGGTCCGAGGATATTCTAAATGCTAAGGTATAATCGAAATTTTTAAAATGCCACAATCGAGTGTAATAAATTCTCGTTTTGAATTTGCAGCAATGCGTCTGCAACAATACCATGTCCGGTGCCATGTGACGCTTTTTAAAGCTATGCACCGAAATAACCAGAGACACGATTAGCCGCCGGAAGCCGGTCATTCTGCCAGCGTACCCAAAGAAGAACTCCAAGAAGCGTCTGCCAAAACTTTTATCCATCTCCATTACCTATGAACTAGAATCAGGCCGTGGCCCCAAAGAATTCACCATCAAGCCAGAAAATCAAACTCAATTCCAAACAAAACGAGAAACACAAACTCCGGCAGCTGCGAGCGCTTCAACTTAAACTAACATATCCCGCACAACGACTACATTAATTAATTGAAATACTCTTAAGGCATTTGGCTTGTGATGTTTTTTTTAGTATATATCTCAAAATGTTTGCCGAAACTCAAATAAACCAATCACAAGAGGCGTACGCAGAACGTTGAAATCTATTTGAAAATACAAATTTTTAAAGCATACTCTTGGGGTCAAAAATTAAAATCTACGATCTAAAAACCAAACTCTTAAGAAATGGCTTACAAGGATACAGCTGAAATATGAGCATTTTTTTACGCAGAAGTATGTTCGTACTTTTGAAAGTGTATTCTACTTATTATCGCTTTAAACTATATATTTTCATAAATTAAAAATCAGAAATATAATCAGAATGTGTTAACTTTAGGATGCTGGAAAAGTTGTCAAATGTCTGAGGTAGTTTCGCGAATTTTTTGAATTGAATACAAAATCGAAATCTACAATTCTCGAAATAATATTATTATTACAAAATAGAGGAGCCGCCCATTAGGAATTGGGTGCGCATTAAATAGCTGAATAATAGCAAGTAAAATTATCGTCGTATTGGTTTTACTAATTGTACAATTAAAATTGGAATTCGTTTTGCTTTGCGTGTGGTGTTTGGCTTAGGGACACTTGCGCTCCACTTGGCTCTTGCCAGCCTCCTCGTACTCCTGAGACGATATCCACATCTGCTGAAAGGTGCCAATGCTGGCCAATATTGAGCCACCAATCCAGGCGCCAAATCGTCGCTCCACACTCCCATTGGCTGAAATCATTTTTAAGCGTGTGTTCGAAGGTGCGCGTAATTGCAGATCCCGATTGAGTCGCTCGGGGAAGCCTTGCAGCAAAGTGTTACCACCTAAAAAGCAGCCACATAATTAATATAAACTATTTGGTATTTGATTTATTATACCTGTGACCACAACGGAGCCGAAGAGTGACAATCGGACATCGGCATCGCACATGCCAACGCTGGTGGAGGCCAGTTGTCCCGCGCCGAGCATCGCATTGTCGAACAGGCTCTCGGCAATTTTGAAACGCTCCGATCCGAAGTCCTGATGATAACCATTGGGGAACTCATAGTGGACCATTGGTATTTGGGAGGCGACACGCTCATCGAATGGATTCTCCAGCACCTGCAGCACATTCATTTGAAAGTCCTGCATCATTAGCTGCACCATATAGTTCTGCCACGACGACGTGAGATTCTCCGGCAGTTTCCGCAGTGTAAATCGGGCATTATCGCGCTCCTTGACCACATCCTTGGAGGCAATCTTATACACGGGCGACAAATCAATGTTGTGTTTCTCCAAATGTTGCCGGCATTGTCGCGATAGAAAATCACCGCCAAGCGGCGACTTGACCACAGCCTGTGACAGCACATAACCCTCGTGAACGGGCACCGCCGACGTGTGTGTGGCGCCACTGTCCACCACCAGAGCGGTCGCACGTCCGCTGGAGAAGGCGGCGAGCACAGCGTTCTTTACCAGAAAGAATGCCGGCACATTGTATTTCTCGAACATGAGCTCCGTCAGCTTCTCGCGATTGTTGCGCACATTCCACGATGCCTCCGAGAAGAGCACTGGATGGTATTCCGACTCCGATTGGATGACATTTGCGTACGCATAATCGATAACCTTCTCGAATAGCTCCCAGTTGTCAATCATGCCATCCTTCATATACGTCTGCACCTCCATTTGCGCTCGAGGCACGTTCACATAATTCGTGTCCACATAATATTTTCGCGCGTCGGCGTCTGAGCAGTAGAGAAAGAGAGAGAAGGGGTAGGGGAGGGGCATGAAATTGTGTAGAATGAATGGGCAAAATTGTACTCACTGTTTGATGTTACGTTGTTATCTGTTTTGGTCTCTGGATCGAGATTGGTGTCGGGTGCATTGTTGCTGTTGTTGCTGCCACTACTGCTGCCGATGCCAACCACAGAAGGTATTTCGGCTTTGGGCGAATCCTCTTGAGCGTAGCCCACGCGCAGCGAATGATGGCCGGGATCGAAGACTAAGGCGCCAATCTCATCGCCGCCATACAACATTGTGCCGCCACTCATCTTGGCGTTATATTTTCACCTTTCTTACTGCTTTGTCGCACTAAAATAATGTGCAAAATGTGTGTAGATTGTGTATCAAATCACCGGCAGATGCCTAAAAACTAGTGTTGCACAGCGCGCCAAAGTAAGCAAAACAAAAAGACAACCCTGAAATAAGCGAACTTGTTTAATTTTTGTGGAATAATGCAATTTATTTTATTATTTTTTAGCATCTATAATTAAAAGCACAGCTTTGTGTATATGCAATTAATAATCAAACGAAATGAATAATGTTATTGGAAGCAACTAGTTCGCTGTTGATTAATGTTGATCTATCGGTCGGAATGTCCATCTCAAAGGTCGCCAAACATACGAAATGTACGATTGCTACATTAGGAGCATTCAAGATAAAATTATTAGGAATATTTTGTAAGCTAAATTGAAACAAGTTAGAATACTCTAGTCGACTAGTAGATGCCCTATAAATGTTTTTAAATGGCACAGGAGGCTTGATGAATATGAAAATACGAGTATTTAGTAAAATCGGCTCAGCATTGAATGCTGAAGAAGAATATATACTCTATAGGGTCGACATTTGAATTTATTTCAAATAACAAAATTACAACAGCAATTGATGAAGAAAACTAAATTGAATTTCAAAAGTGTTAGCTTAAGTTAAATTTTTGATTTAATAGAGTAAATTTAGAATGATCCTGCTGCAGCTGATCAAATATGTTTTCATTCGTAAATCCAGGGATGAGGGTCAATAATACTGCAAAAATACTAAAAAGCCGAAATGCAAGTGGAGTCCATCTCTAGAAATGGTTATCGATAGTGTGTTCCGCTACTTTTGTACTCGTTTCTTATGATATTCAATAATGAGCGCCTGATTTAAGGGAAGAACAGGAAAGTCGTCGCCTAAGAATGTGTTATTCAGAATGGACAACGAAAGAGTGGCGGATGTATTCCAAGTGGAGATCCATATCGGCAATATAAATTCGAATTCTCAGATAGTGCTAAACGATCTTCGCCTGCTCGAATTGCTCCACAAGTATCCGTTTCTATTCGGCAAAGCTTTAGCTCCCCAGGCCGACAAGGATTATGAGGAGTGGTGCTGGAGGGAAACAGGCAAGGCTACGATGACTTAAAGCTCCGTGCTCCTTCTCCGTTGAGGAGCTCCAGTGGCGTTGGAATCTTCTGCGGCCCATCTGCCATCTCGCAAAGGCGAGCCAGGCGAAGATTATGTGAAAAGAGTGCGAGTGCGTCTAAAGCGTTTCAGTCTCGGTGACTATCTGCCCCTGGCGAGCTTCCGGAAGAGCAGCACCAGCAGCTCCGCAGCCTATTGTCTTTAGGATGCGTCTTTCTTTAGTTTTATATCAAATGCACAATAAGTTTATTTAAAAAATACATTACTATAAATTACAACTTAAAGCTATGTTGTTTTTTTCTTTCGTTTTTTTTATCTAATTTGATTTTGCAATATTTACTAAACAAAACAATTTCCAAAACAAAATAGTTAAATACAAAATAAACACACACACACACAAAAACATTGCTCGTTGCCCAGCAGCAGCAGCTGTCGGTAAACATTTGTTGTCCCATATACGAGAGATATAGGATATATATGTATATATGTAGGATGTGGTTCCTTTTTATCTCATTCAAAACGGGCGGCGAGCAAGGAACTTGGCTGTATACTTGTACAATGCATTTGTTTGCCTTTCTACGTATATATGTATTGGTTTTCTTTCTGTTTTCTTTTTTATTATTATTATTATCATTATCAACAAGAGTTACAAGAACGTAGTAAATCAACATGTCTACAAAATACAGTCCATGGTAATAAAAAAAAAACAGCGCAGCTCTAACAAGTTAACTAACAAACAACAAAGCCACACAAAACCCAGCAGTCAGTCAGTCAGTCAGTTTGATGATGATCTGGGTTCCACAACACTGTGGCATACTTTCAAATGTGGTAGGTAGGGGGAGGAGCGGAAGGGGGCACATATCCAGTCTAAGCATTTAAAAGAGCTGATCCGCCAAATTGCCAATAAACGTGGTGAGGTTCATTGAGGAACCCTCCTTGAATTTCAGTCCAATCGTTTTTCCGTACGCCTGTATAAAGATCGCTCGCACAGCATTCAAACGCTGCTTGCGTCTGCAAAAAGGACAAAGGAAATCGAAATAAATATTCGACTTTTCTATATAGTCAAGTTAAGTCTTACAAATTTATGCTGTGCTTGGAGGAGTTGTTGGCGGCGGCGGCGGCGATGCCATTTCCCACATCTTTGGCGGAAGAGGAACCGTTGAGGAAACCGTGCGTGTTGTTGGTGATGCTGCTGTTGCTGTTGTTGCTATTGTTGCTGCTGCTGGTACCGCTGGGCATGTTGATGTTGTTGCTGCTGCTGCTGTTGTTGGTGTTGCTGCAGTGATAACCATTGCCTCCGTTGCACATTGGAATGTTGTTGTCTGCCGGCGTCAGCTGCTGCTGCTGATTGTGTTGTTGCGCCACAAAGCGCATCATGTAACTGCCATTAATCATGGAATCAATGGAGCCAGTGTCCGTGACAACCTGCCAGCTCCCATTCGACGATGTCGACTCCTGACGCTGCCTCGCATTCGAGCCAGGCACAGAAATGGGACTGGTACGGGATCTGGTCAAAAGTATACACATAAATATATATAAACAGTAACTACTTTAAAAATGTATATATTACCGCTTTGGATTTGGCGATCGGCTGGTGAGTTGATTAAGGATTGATGTTGTTGCTGCAGTTGCTGCTGGCGTTGTTGTTGTTGCTGTTGTGGCATAGAAGTTATCTGTTATCGACATATCACAGTTGGAACAGTTTGAGTAGCTATCGTTGCTATCTTGATCGAAGGCCAAAATGTAATCCCTGCAAGGTAAAAAAAATAAAAGATTCAATTATTAGTGAATCGCTCGACTAGCAGATACCCTGCACTTAATTGTTTAACTAACTTTAGTACACATAAAATGCTTCGAATTGTAATTTGTGTCATATGAAATTTTTACAAATGAGATGATTAGTTGATAATTAGTAAGATGTATATTTAAAAGTACTCTTTGTAGTCGGATATGCCTTTTTCTGCCTGTTACATATTTATTATTAAACGCTTTCATTTCCTTAAATTAACATTTTAAAGGCAATTAAGCCCGCCCAATTGTATCTGGGCTCTACAATAAAAATTATTTGTAGTGTTAGTCAAATACAGTAAAAATGCACGAACTTTTTTAACTACATTAAGTTCCTTTTACGGATTTATCCTCACTTTACCCTATTTAAGTCATTGCTCGTTATTTATTTACTACCATTATTTGTGCGTGCTTTTGCCTTACTCATAAATCAATATGTATAACTATTTAATTCAAGGCACACGTTCAAGTTGACAAATATATTATATATATTTATATATAGAAAGTTTGAGTTGGCGAATTGGAAGTTAGTTTAGAAAGCTGGACAAACAAGAACATTAAAATAATATTTTAATGAATCGCTTAATTCTGTTAACAATCGATTCATTAATGATGTTCAATCTAGTTGAATTTGGATTGTGTTGAGTGTGTGTTGTAGATAATAATTCAATTGAGATTTTCAACTCACTCCTTGAGGGGCTCATCGTCGCAACAGTCGGACTTGATGACGATGATGCTGCTGCCGCTGCTGCTCGATGTCTTGGTGCGTTTGCGATGCTCCACAATGCTAAACTCCTCGTCGGTGATGAACTTGAGCACGTGAAAGCAAAAGAACATAATGTCCTCGCCGCGCTTGAGGCGATCGGGCAGTTGATGGCCAAACAGATACCAGTCGTACGCCAGTGTAAAATATGCCATTTGCAGGGCGTTCAGCGATTGATGAATGAGGCCATCGGCCCACAGCGAGAGACGCACCAGGGAGACGAAGAGCGGCGTCCGATCCCAGCCGCTGATGCAGTGGATGAGCAGGCCAGAGTTATCCTCCTGGATGTATTTGAGTGTGGCGCGCAGATAATTCTGTGTGATGGTGACCAAATCCCAGTCACGATATTCGGGCCAAATGATATCGATGTCGGCAGCGGGTCCCAAATTGGGTATATTGATGTTGGCATCGTTGAACGATTGCTTCCAATTGTAGTGCAGATTCTTGGCCATGTAATTGTTGTCCCGGAACTTCTTGAAGAACTCACAGCCCGGATACGGCAGCGATAGTAGATTAAAGCTCTTATAGTGCTTGCTCGGATCGGCCTTCTCCGATGAGGAGACGCTATAGAAATAAATGTTCATTAATCACTGCAACTGCAGCACATTCTCAGACGAGACTTACGCCATAAAGTATTTGATTTTGCGATTCTCGACCATGAGGTCAACAATTGTGGACACATTGAGCGTGTGCAGCAGCTGAATATCGCTCTTGATGACCTCGTCATAGCTGAACTGAGACTGGGCCGCATCATTGATGTGATTGATTAGCGATTCGTCTGTCGTATCCGCCTCGTTCTCCTCGCCATTTGGTGCCGCATAATTGCCGCTGAGGCAATCGTAGGCATAGTCCACCACTTTGCGTCCATATGTCTCCGGCATGACGGAGAGGGTGGCGGAACGGCAAATGTATTTGCCACGATACATAATGACAGGAACGGCGAAACGCTGCCGGCAGCGTGCATATTTCGCCATGGTGACCAATTCCCGCATCCGCTGAATATCGTACTGATCTTCATAGATGGTGTTCTGTTGCTGCACGGCAGGTTGTTGCACCGCTTGCTGCTGCTGCTGTTGCACCGATGGCTGCTGCAACGTTTGCTGCAATGGATTGGCAAACGTTACAAATGCCTGAATGCCAACGCCGCTGGCTGAACTGTTGTTGATAATTCCGGTGCCGCCGCCATTGCTGCAGTTGCTCCCTGCACTGCTGTTCAATGGTGTCGCTGTCGCAGTCGTCGCACCCGTTGAACAACCTCCATTTCCAAATCCATCTGCTCCCACTCCGACTCCCAGACCAGTTCCAGCTGCTCCATTGCTGGGTATTAGTGTTTTGGCCATGTGGCCATGCTCGAATTCCGGTATGAGTATGCGACCAGGATAACGGGGACTGAGTAGCCCGTTCGTATTGTCCAGCTCGATGAGGCTATAGTCAAGCTTGAACAGAAATTCGCATTTTTTTGAGATGCCATACTCCTGGAATGGGGGGAAGAGAGAGAGAATGAGAAATTCGCTGAATTAATATTAAATATCTCGCATAGATTAGATTGTTGAGCATGTTTTGTATTCAAAAAATAAAAATAGCATTTAAAAATAAACTGGGGAAAAAAGGCACGCGTTTCACAAATTAAATAATAAATGATAAGCAGAGCTGTGAGATTCAATTAAACGCCTTTGGACCTCGCACTCTGGGGGTTATCTTCCATATAAAAAAAACGTCAAGTAACCATTAAATTGTCAATTCCTGTTGTCAAATTTCCATTAACAAATTGTACAACAAAAAAATTTTTAACGCTAGATTAGAACGAATGAAAATGGAACACGCTGTTCGCAGATCATTCTCAGTTCTCACGACTCGTTCCATTTCATCGTTTCCAACGGCAACTATTGCAATTCCAACAGCGAACAAAATCTACAAAGCAAAACTACAATTTATTTCTGATACGCATTGCAATTGTGGCAAAAAGCGAAAACACATTTATTAACGCCAATCTGGGAAAATTGTAAAGGTTGTTTAGCCAACTAAAAATAGATTACAACAAGGCCAGAGGGGAATGGGGAGGGCCCAAACATCTATCCCAGACGACGACGACGACGAACTAGATAATAAAAAGGAACTAATACACGCACAAGTCAAGCCAGCTAAAACCTTGACAGAAATGGATGCCGTCCACCAAACAGGTTTTAAGCGCAACAACAACAACAGCAAGCAAAAAGCATAGCAAAGAGAAATGCGAATAAATGCAAAAACAAACACGTATCGGAAACTGCGCAAAAAAATAAAAATAACTGCGGCGTAAACTAGCAAAACAGCGAATCACATACCAAAACAAACATGGCAAAAAGATACGCCCACATACACACAAATTGTATATATATACTCTTGCATGTGTGTGTGTAAAGAAAACTATGCAGAGCGAAACAAACGAGCAAAACAACTAAATCGCAATTACTAAATGCCGCTAGGGGCTGTCAATGTGTGCGCATGTATGTATGTGCGTGTGTGGGTTTTTCGGTGAGAGTTTTGTGGTAGAGGCTGGTGGGCTGGTAGGCTGGATTAAATTCAGTTTGTAGTGTTAGAAAGTTTCTGCGGCGAACGTCGGCACAAATAATTTGTGTATGTGCGTGGGCAGCGAAAGAACAAGAAATAATAATTGTTGTTGAGCAGCTGTAGAAATATATGCACATACAATTATAGGTAATTATTATGTAAATATTTTCTCAACACCTACACATGTCACACAATAGTTGGTTGTTGTTTACATTAGCTAAATGAGAATGAGACAAACGTCTTCTTTCACCAACAATGTAAGTGTGAAGAGAGGCGCAGTCGCCAAGGAGCGTCATTGTATATATGGTGTGTGTGTGCACATCTTGGTGTTTTTATCGGCAACTTGTTCGCATCATCTCGCACTGTAAGTGTGAGTGAAACAGTGAGTAGAGGAGGGAAATTGCTACTTGCTCAGTTTGTTGCATTTGTTGTTGTTGCTGTTACACTCGCTCGCCTCTGTTACAAGCACGAGCAGATTAGCTTGTGTGCGTGTGTGTGCATTGAACTGCTTGCTTGTGCTGTTGCGCTCATGTTATTGTTGTTGCACTTTTTGTACTTGTGTACTGTGTACTTGTTGTTGTTGTGTAGTGCACATATTTATTTTCTTTGTAAGCACAGCATGCATGCAGCTGTAGGGGACTGAGCTTTTTTCGCTGTGCGCCTGTTAATAAGGCGCTGTAAAACTTAAAAACAACAAACAGACGCGAGAGCGCGCGAAATCAAAATAGTTTTGCAGACTATTGTGGTTGTTGCTTTTTTTGCTTTCGCTCTTTGCGATTACAATGCAATAGTTTTGCTCTTGCAGTTGCAGTCGACGTCAGCGTCGTCGTCGCTGTTAGCAGCGATCAGCATCGACTGCTGTTGCTTTTGCTGCCGTGACCCAAAAAAGAAATACAATTTAAGACGAAGACTGCTGCTGCTTACAACATTCGCGTCTTGTCTTCATATATCTCAATCTCTCGCTCTTCCTCTCGGTGTCTCGCTCACGCCAGGCTCTTTGGCTCAGGCAAATGCAGTTTTCTTACAAACCCGGATTTTGAAGACTTTGCCAGTGCTGGGCAAGCAGAAACATACGCTGCTGCCTGCGACACAGTTAAGTTTTTTTTCTTTGCAGCGCCGCGCTGCTGCGCTTTCTGCAATCAAGAAACCAAACAGCACCAACAGCAACCAACACCAATGCGACAGCAACAGGGACAACGACAGCAACACCGACGCCATTATAGACCAAGACCAGGCCAACAGCAGCACCAGCAGCAGCACTGTTAAGAAACCAGAAAAGAAATGAAAAGAAGAGAAAAACACAAAAAGGCAGGCAGAAAATATACATTTCTCGTTTCGTTTGGCTTCGCTGCCATTTTGGCAAAGGCTTATCAACGGGCATCTTATATACATATGTATATATGTATGTATGTATTTGATTCATGCATATTCATCAATTGACGGGACACGGAAAATGGGTTTTCTTGAATGAATTATTCACAGGGCAGGCACCACTGAAAAACAAGTTGACATCGAGAGTTCGGGCCACTGACCACACCTCGACTCGAGCATGCATTCTGTTAAGTTCCGTTGTTCTTGCTTTTGTTGTTATTGCTGTTGTTGTTGTTATTGCTGTTGTTGTTGTTATTGCTATTGTTGTTGTTATTGCTGTTGTTGTTATTGCTGTTGCTGTTATTATCAGCCTTGCTTTGCGTTCAAAGACCCCAACAACAGCAGCTTAACAGCCAAACACGTTTTCGTTAAACACTCCTCTCTGTGTGTTTATAGTGTTGGGAATTTGTTTTTTCTTCTTCTACATATTCAATTTTGTGAGTAAACAACACTATGCAAATTCTTCAACAAGTTCGTTAGTAAATAATAATAATAAATTATAAGCTTCAGCCTTTGACTACTAATAGTTTTATCATTTGGTATATTTATGTTTTTTGTAAGTTGAACGTTTACAAAAAAAAAATAATAATTTCAGACTAAGCAACATATTGAATATGCACCATTAGTTTTATTAATATGCAGTTGGACAAGGTCATTTTCTAACATAACATTTACAGATTTTTGTCTCTACAAGTAGACAACTAAATTTGACCATGAATTAAAAAAGACGAGCGATCTTCCCTATGAAAGCTATATGATATAGTTGTCTCCAATGAGAATTTTTGGTCCATGATGATAGATGGAACTGATGAATTAGGTCTGGATAACTTTGTAAGCAAACAAGTAGTTTTAACTAATGTCGTTCCTATCATTCGACTCCAACATATATACTATCTACAGCCAAAAGACGAATATACTCCAAGTTTCATCAAGATAACTTTAAAACTAAGGTAATAATATTGTATGGGTTAGTAAACCTGATCAAGATATATAATATATATTCAATGCATTACAAACTTTACAACAAAATTGTAATTACCTCAGCATGCGTATAAAGACTGTAAATAGTTGTTTAGCAGGAAACTGCAATCTTGCATACATATATGGAAATATGCATTGCACATTGAACATGAGGCTTTGTTTTAATTATTTGAAAGCAAATGACATCAAGCTGAGGTCGTTTGCAATCAGGAAGAGTTTTCGGTTTCAATCTGACAAGTGTTAAACAGTCACACACACACACATACATGATAAACACGAGCAAACAGTGTATGTATGTGTGTGTGTGTTTTTTTTTCAATTTGGTATCCGATCACAGTCTGCTTTTCATGTTCGCCTGGCAATCAGTTCATCCAAAAGTCCCGCAGAGGTCATTGTTAACGATGCCCGTCACTGATGATGATGATGATGAGCTCCCATCATTACTACCGTAAATATCATTTGAATTTTGTGAGCGTGTGCCACAGTGATGGTGCAACATTCATAGGGATTGCTTAATAAATATTGCCTACTAGTTGCGGAAACTAATTTAGTAGTTAAATAATCATTAAATTGCTGTATACAATTAGAGATAGACAGCTAAAAAAGTAAGCAGAGATATCGGTGTTTTTATCAAAATTTGTATTTAATGGATTGTTGGATGTGGAAAACGGATTTGAAATCGGAACAGCAACATTACCGATTGAAATGCAATTCACCCTGATTAATTTATAATTTAATATAAGGCATTTTTGTGCTAAAAAAAAGAAAAACATTTTACTTGAAAATAATAATACCTAATAATCAAAATATATTTATAAAGTTTATATTCCCATGAATACCCGTATTCGCTTCAGCTATATATAATAAACTTCAAATAGTTTGGCAACTGTTCATAATAATAAACATAAATAATTATTGTCGACGAGCGTATTTAATGCTTAAAAATACAATTCAGCTGTGATGTTTGTTATTTTGTTCCATTTCCTAATATATTTAAAAGCGAATTCAAGTTCATAATGAAATCTTTTAATGGGTTTTTGTTGTCCATCAAAGTCACGCCAAGCACACAATTTCCCATTGCCAGCTTTGGCATTGATTAAATTTGATGTGTTAAGCCCAAGCGGCAAACACATTCCACAATTCTGTGCGCCCAGAACGAATCTCTCGTTGCTTTCAACAATTTGTGGCCGATAGATGTTAAAGAAAATCGCTGGCCCGCCATTTAAATTCTTATCGATTTTATCTGCTCGCTAACAGGCATTCAGGATGCAATAGTGAGCAGTCGAAGCATTATTCTCATTATTATCAGGCGATGGGGGAAAAGTTTAGCAGGAATCATTCGGCTTCATCATGCGAACCCAGCGCTCAGCTCTGTGTCTGAGTCAAAACTCAAAATGCCCGGTCAAAGCATCCAAATCCAGGCGACGGTCCCTATTTACTGGAAAAATTGGAAAATTTCACAGCAATCGGTTTCGAATCGACCTCGCTTGCTGCAACAATAAAAACAACAACAGTTCCAACCAACTACACACCCACCAGTGCATTTCCAGCTTCAAGCCATCAGTTTCAGTTCCTGCTGCAGCCACACACACTCTCTGCCTCCTCCCTCCCTCTCTATGTCCCACTCTCTCTCTATATGCCGGTCATGCGCCTACGCATTGAGTTGCAGTTTGCAGTTCCCGTTAGCATTTCTTCCAATTGGCAACCGCCACGACTTTCATGCGCACCTGTCCCAAGTGTCGTCTCCAATTCGAACAACGCACGTTGCGGCAACAGTTGTCAGCTGCCACTGGACAAAGGCAACAAACAAGTCTTCTAACACAACTAAGCGACCATCAATCCAAGGCCACATAACTTCCATGCCCGAAAGTTCATGCAACAGGCAATCATAAATGTTCGAGGCCAAAATCTCATTTGCACAGTGGGTTTAAAGTTAAAGTTACGAAAAAAAGAAACTAATAAAAACATTGGCACTTTTAGATTACCAATGCAGAGCTTTAAAAAGATACGATTTTCTTCATCTTGGGCAGATTATGAAATATGCTTATTTTCGATGTTGCTGCATGGAAACTCTTCTAAGGATAACATCAAGAAGGCTCCAAAGTAGCTGGAGATCAACTTATTTCACTTACAGTACAGCTGAAGCTCAAGAATGAGAAGGAGCGGACAATATAACTTCATTCATTTAAGGGAAATAATAACTTTATTTAATTATTAATTTAATTTCCTATTCGTAATATAGACCTTTTTAAAAACTGTTAACCATTTTTAATTAATCAAATAAATAAATATATATAAAAAAATTTGGGAAAATAGTTTTGATTTGCACCAATCATGCAAAGGAGCCATTTTTATCTGGCTTTCGGTCGATATAAGACACTGAAAGAGCTAGACTTTTAAAATTATATTATAAAGAATAATAACCTTTACGTAAAGAGATTTTTCAGGTTGTAAAAAATTTTGTTTATAAATAAATTTAAAAAAAAAAACAGTAATGTATTTCTAAGTATGCAAATAAAAAACACAACGCTTTAAATGGTATAATTTAAATACAATTAAGCACAAAGCAAGGCAGTTTATCATTAAAAATTTCAGATTGCAATGGAAGTAATTTGATTTGCTTATATCCGAAAATGATTAAGCATTTTTGCAATAGTTTCCAGTTTGAATTATACAGCAATAATTTGACAGTGTGCTACGAACGAGTTGCAAGTTGCAACGACTGGAAATCATTGCCTGTTTGATTTATGAGCGCCTGTCCGTAATTTCCATGTCGCCCACACAATGACAACGGTACAGTGGAGCAGGCGCGAGAGATGAACGCCACTGTGGCACTGTGGAGACTCGCTAAAAACGTAGTTGCATCCACACACACAGTTGATGCCAGACGGCACAGGCGCACAGCAAAGTGCAGCAACAGCAAAGCATAAATAAATGCCACGTCGTCGTCCTGCGCACTGCACACAATTCCCCACAACAATGGAAAGAGCCCCTTAGCCAGGCCACACTGTGACATCACAGCTGGCTGGGTTGTGCTGTGCTAGATGGGCAGCATGCAACCACCCCCAAAAACAGGAAACAAAGTTGAGAACATTGCAGTCCGGGAGCGTAACCAGCTGCTGCATACGCTGGCAATATACATAGCCCCATCGAGAGAGACTATTAAACTATTAACTATTTAATTTAATCTAGCTATTGATCTGTAAGCGAGTTGTCTGTAAAAGGTTAACAACCAGTAAGAGTACCTTCCAAATTTTGTTACTCTATATATACATATATATATTTATATTATGTATAAATATCCTGAAGTAAAGTCACCAGCATATTGTACTTCAAATTTGCTGACTCTAGCTTTAAAATTGTAAGAGATGTGTGGTTGTATCGATTTGCAGTTATCGATTTATCGATATCACAGTTGCCGATAAGCAGATCGAATCTTTGACAAATATATACATTCAACGTTTCAAGGAATATGCTCCAATACCTTCGTTAACAGCGTATAATAGATATACATGTGCAATTTGTGCGTGGGCGTTGCAAATGTTTCTGTTTCGTTCCGTTTTGTGCAGACTGGAAGCGATTTGGTTGCAGGAAGTATACACAAAAACAAGCCTGCTACATGCAGCTACCTGCAATCGCAGTAACAGTCGCATTCTCAGCTTGCCTGGGCCAGGCCAGCAAACATTTTCAATTGCGCAGTTTTTGTTTTTTTTTATAAATAAATGTTGTGCAAAATCGCTTTTTGCACAACAAACGAAGAAAGTAAAAATATTGAAGAAAACCGAATAAATTTGCTGAATGGCTCTCGAACTGGAGGATCATTTATTTTTTGCTTTTCTTACCCTGGTGGCTCTGGAATTCTATAGCCTGATGCATTTGCTTGCCATTTTCTTCAACACTTTTGGCATGTTGCTGACCACCATCAATCTTTGGCTACAAACCAACAACTAAGCAACAAAAACAACAACTGATAAATAGAAAAATAATAATAACAACAACAACAGGTGGGTTGCTGTGCAGTGTGCAAAAAAGCTGAACAAAGCCAGAAAGTGAAATGAGAATATAACGTGTACTATGTAAATATATATATAAAATATATATAGACTTATCATATATATATATATATATATATATATATATATAAATATATATATCAAAATATGATAAGTCTGTTCAGCTGTAGCTATTTTAAACTGCTGGCCAGCAACAAACATAATTTTCATTTTTGGCGCCCACTCGAAAGATATACAACACATGAATGTGGCCCAGTCTCGTCTACGCACACTTCAACAATTATGCACTGACAAAAAAAAAATGTGTAAGTGCGTAATGAAGGCAAAAGCATCGCTTAATCAGCATCAACATAGTTTATTACATTTTAATTTTACTTTAATTTAGCTGTTACTTCTTTATTATTTTTTATACTCTCCTAAAATTAGTTCTAGTTTTAATTCTTAACCCTATATTCAATAAATAAATACAAATTTTGTATTAAGTTGATTTTTTAGTTATATTTTGATATTTTTAATATTATGTTTTTGGTTTGTCTTATATAATTTTAATAAAACTAATTTAAATATACAAAAAATAAATAAATGATATTTTCACTTTGAATGCATAAGTGGAAATTTTAAATATCCACTTATTTTGTTCTGTGTACACACACTGTACAAACACACACATACGGTTACTGTTGTTGTGCCTGGGCTATGCCAATTTCAGTGGGTAAGGTTGGTAATAGAAACAACCAAAATGCAAGCAAAAAACAACAAAACAAAACAAAAAACATTTTTAAAGCAGTAATAGAAAAATATGATACATTTTAAATGTAAACAGGTACAGTAAACACTTGATGGTTGATACAATTCAGTGCCAAAGATCAATTGAAAACTATATTTTTAGTTTACATTTTGTTTAGGTTTTTTTAATTGCTTATTTTCGCATTATTGCACTTTCTGTTATATTTTTGCTATTTTTTTGCCAGCGATTTTTTAATGAGCTTTTGAAGGTTAATATTTAATCGGGTGTCGCCCTGACAACAGCTGATTAAAGCTGATTGTAAACAATTCTAAATTGTTGACTTTTTTATTATTATTATTATTAAATTTCTGTTTGAGATAGGCTGAAATATAATATATAAATATATTATTATATATGTATTCAAATGCTCAACATATTGCATTTGTTTTGTCAACATTCCTAAACGAACTAATTTTTGCAATTAACAATTTTTCAAGTCCAGTTGCTGCCTAATTATCAGAACAAACAGTGCTGTTGCTTTAGCCTTTTTTCGGTCAGATCTCTGATTTTTATCATGAACCAATTAAATATAGAAAAAAAGTATATAACGCTCGTAAGCATGTCCGATACCTTAAAGTATATAAATTCTACATTTGTAAAGATATAAGTTTATAGTTGATATATTATATACGTAGACATATTATTGATCAACTGTACAAATTCGATTAGGATCGGATAAGAAATGCAGATAAGAAACAACAAAATGTATTTTCAAATAACATCAAACTACTTTCTCGATAGAAATGATTTATATGATACAGAGGATTTTGGCAAACATCATTTTAATAGTTAATAGTTAGTTATTCATTCAATCATTAATAAACTTAATTTTAAAATGTGACCTGTTTTTATTATTTTCCTATTTCTATTGCCCCAAAGTCTCTATTTCGATGTTTACCTTCTTCCAATATTAATATATATTTGCAAACATTCAATCAGTTTTAGCTTTTTTTTTTATGCAATCACAACATATCCGAACAGATGGCGGGCAATGAGCAGAAAGACGCCTGGGCTCAGCGGATGAAAAGCTTTCAGACCAAACAGGTGGACATTAATCGCATAATAATGAAATATCTCATAACAGGTGGGTATAAATATACATATACATAAATATATATAAGTATAGGTCCCCCCATCAATTATACTTATCGCCTTATCGTTCAGTAGGTCATTCAAGTCCCATTATCGCTTTTTTTTCTTCTAATTTTCAACAATCAAATCTGAAATTTCAATAATTTTCCACAAATTTCTTTCTTTTCTTTTTTTTGTTTATTTTTAGTTTACGAAATTTTAAATTACAAATTTGAACAACTGAACGATGATGGGACTTGTGAGCCACAAAACGATGATAACAATTATGAACTACTTTACTATTTGGGACTCAAACCGAGAACTGAACCATGGGTTCAATAAAAGATGGAGTGGGAGACAACTCTCGAGAGGATTGAGCAGAGGTGCAAGCAATACCTAAATTTGGAATTTATATTTGACAGACGGCTACATGGGTGCAGCGCAGAGATTCGAGGCGGCGGCCAAGCTCCAAGAGGGTGGACTCCAAAACACCCCGGATCATCTGGCTAGGGTCAAGCATGCGGTGCGAGCGGGACAGTTGCAGTATGCCCTGGATCTGGCCAAGAAGCTATATCCTAAGCTGTACGAGAGCGACAACTACATGTACTTTCACATGCAACAGTTACGTCTCATCGAGCTGATTCGGGAGAGAAAGCACTTAAATGTGGGGACCAATGCCAACTCCTCCTCCTTTGTTAGCTCGGATCCCTTTCAAATGGAGCAGCAGCAGCAGCCAAGTGGATCGCAGCCCAGTTGCCGGGCTGAGCAGATTAGCAGTGAGCTGGATTGCATGGCGATGATTGAGAACGAGCAGGCCGCTTGCATGGAGCCAAAAATGATGTTTCTGGTGAAATTGATACTCTGGGCGCAGGGCAAACTCGACAAGGATGGCGTTGGCTGTGGCCTCGATCTGGAGTGCGAGGACTTTGAACTGGAGCTGAGGCGTGCATTGCAGAAGAAGAGCAATTAAATGAAATTCAACTAGAAAAACGAACGATTTTTTGATCATTGATCACAATAGGTTATGATAATATTAACTAAGGCCAAAACAACAGGACGAAATCTGGTGTCGACTGCTATACTATATAGAAATGTAAGAAAAATGTGGAATGAAAAAACCTACCTATATTTATATAAATGTATATGTGTACAAGTTACAATTTTTTTTAGATGTGCTTAAATACGATTATTAAAGTTCTTGATGTGCAACCAACTAATTTAATTGTTTTTCATTTCGGCAAAAAGACGGGTATATTCCAAGTTATATATATAGATGTAAAAGAAACATACACTTGTAGACCGGTGTCCGTCCACCTTAAATGCTATTTTAATTAGTTTTAGAAATTAGTTTTGAACCGTATATGGTATATAGTATATAAATAAATATACACTTTGCATTCGCTTATGTAATTCGCCTGGATGGGTCGGACTTTGCCATATCTCTCTGAAATTGACTGTGACTGTGACTCGTCGAGTGGATGTGGCGCTTATTCATTATGCAAGGTCGAAAATAATTATAATCTAAAACGCAAATTTCTTGCTCACGTGCCGCCATCAAAGCTATAAATACACTTTTCTTTAATTACAAACAAAACAAACGCAGATAAATAAAATACGACGAACGGATAGAAAAAAACAAATACAAAATAATAAATAAATATAAAAAAAACACCCATAAAACAAATCCACTGAGAAACAGAACATTTCAAATTGAAATGCAGCTCGCAGTTATCGTTAACTGCATTTTTCAGATAAGCAACTTAATTTTAAACAAAGTCGATTAATTCTACGGGTCTAACAAAGAAAGACTCAGGCAGGTTGAAGAATTCTTATACTCCTTGGCCAAAAGGTAGCGAGTATATTAGACTTTGAGTAGTGTTTGTGTTCGTTTGTTGCTAAATGTCAAAGTAGTTTTTATCTATCTGTCAATCAAGGACAAGAAAAATATTGGTTTTGAAAATCGGCTCGTGTAAATTAAATAATAAATCTAAAGTAATTTGATCAGTTTGATATTGTTTTTCGTTTCGTTTTCAACTAAAACTAATAAAACCAGATCGTGTCGATTAAGCAATCAGAAACCGATGAAAATTGAACAGGTTCTAATTCCATCGTCAGAACTATTGGAATTATTTATTAAAATTATTGATATCCATTATTATTAATATTTATGATAACAACTCTTTAAAGCTTCGTCTGAACAGTGCGCTTAAGGAAAATAATAATAATTAATAAATTATAGAATTTTTATTAAACAATAATAAAAGATCATTGAACTTATTAAAGGTAATTTGTTTTTGTATTTTAATTGGCGAACGAGGGCATTTCTTACGTATTTACCTTTACATTTTTGTATTCACTGATAAGGAAAACTATTTGCGTTGAGAAGTAGCAAATGTTTGATAAACGAACATTCTCAAACGAATACTAGCAACTGCTGCAACAAAGTAGCAAGCAGGCAGCCAAGACAAATATTTACGTTCAAGTTGAAACGCATTTCTCATTTATCAATTGAATTGATTGCAAACCGCTTGTCGTTTTTTATGGTTTTGTTCAAAGCGTGCAAGTTTCGCAGAGGGGCTGAGGGCTATTACGTATTTTTTTTTTTGTATTTTGCTGCTGTTTGCGGTTTTTATTTACATATCTAAATACTCTCTCACTCTCTCTCTCTTTCACAGACACATATGCACAGGCCACACTTGGTCTTCAACGCACGCACACACATGCAAAACGTATCATGTATGAAAGTTTGTTGTTATTGTTGCCGGCTAATGCTTGCGGCCTGTTTACATTCAACGTTAACAGAAAAATTTTAAGCAAAAATCCAACAGCAAAAAAAAATGTATGCAAATTTTAGAGAAATTCATTTTGCTTAGAGGCGCTTGCATAGTTTTATTTGTTTTTTAGGTGATAAGTTCACATATCTAACATTTTTAGCACAATTTAAAACCAGTGTGCAGCGAGAAGTAAACGGTAAATATTTGAGTAATGAGTTGAGGGCTGTCAAACAAATAAGTCAAGTGCGTGTCAAACAATTTGTTGTTCTAACTGCACATTGACTACACACACCCACCCACAAGCATAACCGTAACTCGAAACGAGGGCAACGCAAAGAAGCGAAGCAGAAGAGGAAGGAGAACACCCCAAAAAGTCGCACAGCATGTCAAGTAGTAGAAGAAGAATCAGCAGAAAGCCACTCAAGCATGTTGTTGTTGAGTGAAATAAGTCTCTCGAGCTCATCGATTTCTAGTAAAAGTGGAGCGGGGTACAAAACGGATTTTATATGAATATTGGGGCGCGGCACCCAAATTGTAGCGCAAGGGGTGAAGCGAATGAGGGTTGGGAAAGTATGTTGACCAGCTTAAAGTCACTGTTAAAAGTGAACTTTGAAGCGGTCACAGCATAGCAGCGATGTTAGTGCAACTGTTATTGCTATTAGTTACTGTTATTGCACGTGCACGTGCGTTTCAATACATGTGTGTATGTTATGTGCACACATACATACATGTACGTAGATAATGTCACAGTGTGGTGAACTTACCGTTGTGCCTTCCTCAAAGGCCACCGCCTCGAATGATTTTTTTTCGAAAATTTCTAATAGATCGTGTAAATCCTGCTGTGTCACATTGACCATTTCGTTTAGCGTTATGCTGCTCATTTTTGCGGCGCTGCATTTACCGTACGTTTTTTTACTCTTCTTTTTCTGCTTTTCTTTTGTGGGTGTCGCGTTCGTCTATGTAAATTATATGTTTGTGTTACGCACACTTGCACACTTTACTTTTACTCTTCTTATAATTTTTTGCACACATACACAGACACTCAAAATATATAGATAAATATGCACAGTAGATTAAAGCAATTCCAACTTGCGATTAGCTCGAATTTGATTTTTATTTTCTTTCTATTTCTTTTTGTGGTGTCTGCTTTAATCTGCTTTCAATGTTTGCTTGTCAACGCCTTTTTAGGCTCGAATGCGACGTCATCAACTTTAGCCGCGACGTCAGCAGCGACTTTGGCATCACAGCGCAACGACGACGACGACGAACAAACGAACAAGGCAAACAACAATCTGCACACGAAATGGAGCAAATTTTGTACAATTTTGATTCATTAATTACGCGCTAGCGTTTTTACTATATTTATTTAGTTTAATTACGACGTAAATAGCACACACAGCGAACCGAACACAACAAAACTCTGAATGCGTATGTGTGTTGCGTGTATGTTTATTCGACTGCTAAGCTAACATTTTGCAAACATGTTATTTAACAGCCAGTGGCAAGTTTTTTCGAATAAATACCAACACTGCTCTTGCATGCAGCTCGACAGAAAATGCGTATTTCTTGCTCTTGTATAAACAATATTTTTTATAGTTGCCGTAAAGGGGAAACTTTGAGCTGAGTTTGCTTGATAACATTGCCATAACAGAGCTTAAGCAGTGCCGCATCAGCGGCTAATGTCAAAATACTAGAGCTGACACACAGTCGATAATAATTTCGATAGCAAAACAACAGCGTGCTAACAGTGTGCCACACTCTACAACAAAATCGAGTATTTACTATGGGTAGAACAAATAAATTTATTTATCTGCATTTTGTACGACAATAACAGTTATTTTGGAATCGGGCACTAGCAGAATTTCATGGCATTTTGTGCGAACTCTTAGCATTCGCAATTCATCAGTGGGATCAATTTTGTCCATTCCACGCTCCATTCTGCCGCGCAGCTCTTGAAATAAACCAGCAAATTTTACCGAGTTCTCAAATTCCATGGTACTCTTAACCGGATGACCGAGTTCATTTATAACCACAATATCGCGAATATTTTTCTTTTCCTGAATGTGTCTGAACGCTTCTTCCACATAGCGAATTGTTCGAGGTGGCTTCAAATAATTCTTATTAAGCAATTAAACTAGTGAAATTTAATTAAATATTACCTTTGCTGGTGGGGTCTTGAACATATTTATCCAAATTAAAAGTCGGTCAAAATTTTGTAATCTAGTTTTTTTGGTTGTCATGACAAGTATCTAATGGTAACGGCTGTTTTATAGGTTTGCGGGTCAAATCATATCGTGCAGTATGACCAATACTTGGATTGCTTAAGAAATGTGGTCATTTTCAGATTTATATTTAGTAGTGTTTGAATTTCCTTTTTAAAATAATCTTATAATTTAAGCAAGTGAAGTGCTAATAAATTTCAGTAAATATAATCTTACAGCAAATACCAAATGATTGGTATTTATTTTGCGATTATTTGCGTTAATTTTAGTTTTCGCATACTGGTCACACTCCGCTATCGAACAAACAAAAGTTTATTTTCCTTTTTGCAATATAGTCATTTTGTTGACGACAAACCGAAATTCTTAGTAAAAATGGTAAGTTTGTTGAAAAAATGAATTATTACAGTTAAATCTCAAATAATATTGACAGTCTCAAGAAGTAGAAGAGACGCTGAAGCGAATCCAAAGCCACAAGGGAGTCGTCGGCACAATTGTCGTCAACAATGAAGGTGAGTGAAATACAAATTAAATAAATATATATATAGATATGCATATGGGAAAGTAACACAATGTTTGGCTTATTAGGTATTCCGGTGAAGTCGACGCTTGACAACACGACAACCGTTCAATACGCTGGCCTGATGAGTCAACTGGCAGACAAGGCGAGAAGTGTGGTGCGGGATTTGGATCCATCCAATGATATGACATTCCTGCGAGTTCGCTCCAAGAAACATGAAATAATGGTTGCTCCCGATAAGGACTTTATTCTTATTGTCATACAGAATCCAACTGATTAAATGCCCATCATTGCTTATAATTGCTGTAAACCTTGTATATTTATTAATCTTCATTATACAATGATTTCATGCATTTGGAGGAAAATTTAATTAAAGCTGTTTTTTCATAAATAACAATTGGATGTCACAGCTGTGATCTCATTGGGAGGCGTAATAGCAATAATAACATTTGCCTTATTGTTATTAGTAGTGGGCAGCACTGTTAAATCCAGTGGGCGATGAGAAACGAAAAAGTAGTATTTAAATATCGATAAGTAATTGAGCTTGTATTATTTTTTTAAAGATGAAAGCCAATTTTTAATTCGTAGAGCTAGATCATCATTCTCTCTTTTAAAGTAACCACCACACTAAATTAATGTTTTTGTTGCACTACTGTAAATAAATACTATACATGATTTGCAAATTTTAATATATCCGACAACAAATATCGATATAGTTTCCTATCGTAGAAAGCCCCATCAATTTGGAAATATCGAGAGGATGTCATCTCTGTAACCTCAGCAAGTCTGTCGACAAGTCGTGTGTGTGGTAGTGGTGAAAACTTATAAATCGGTTGGGGAAAAATGCATTTAAGAAATCGTTAAAGCAATAAATCCAATAGCCAATAGTGTAACAAATAAATACAAACATCGAATAAAACGCTCACACACAGTGTTCGCGGTGTGCCAAGCAAATCCAATAAAATAATTACAAAAATTTAACAAAGAATAAGGTAAATGTGAAATTGGGCGTGCAAGAGTAAAGAAAATGGCGTAATCACGCACTCAAACCAACAAACGGCAACCCAAACGGAATCTACGCCAGTCCCCAATCGGCCAGTCAGCATTAAATGGTCGTTCCTTCTTTCAATATTTGATAAAAAAAAAAAATCCATTAACTACACATGTGTGTGTGTACATGTGCTTATATATATATATAAATATATATGAAATTGGTGTGAGTGTGAAAAGTTTTAATAAGCTTTAAATGTGAGCAGCGTAAGCGTTTTTCAAAGCAGCTTTGTGCAGCCATATTTGTTCCGTGAAAAATGAAAATGATATGTACACACATGCATACATGCATACATACGTATATATTTATCTACATATATATAAGTGATACACGTATAAAGAATTAAATGTTAACGAACGAAATAAAAAAAAGGTATCGCTTCGTATCAGATCGTCGTCGTTGTCCCGTTGTTCGCAAACCCAAGCAATTTTCAACGTCGATACATTGTGTGTTATGTACAAATGTTCATACATACATACGTACTTTCAATATCGACGATATGGCATCACACACAAGAGCGCACACGCATACAAAACACAAACACACACAAGCAAGCACGCACGTAGTACGTAGAGAGACAATGTGTGTGTATGTATGTCTCGCCAACGGCTGGCTGGCTGACTGGCTGATGTATATAACAGAGTTGAGCACATAAGGGCTGGCTCAATTTATAAATAAGAAGCGAAGCATGTGCTGGCTGCGCAGCAACTGCGCTGCTGCTGCGACTGCATTGCAGCGCAAGGGATTTTATTACGTACAGCGTTGAGTGTTGTTTTTGTTTTTGTTGTTACTGGTTTCGTTTATATTTTTGGATATTTACATATGTATGTACATGTGGCCGTACGTGTGTGTGTGTATGTGAGTGCATCTAGGAGAGCTCCCATTTAATGCATAACGTAAAACGCGACGCCATAGAAAACAATCTAACTGTTTGCTTTAACGGTCCAATTCTCATTCTCTGCCACCCGCAACGCGTAATCCATGAATGTTTTTTCTCTCTCTTTTTTCCCATTTTGTCGCATTTCACTTGCTCACACACACAAGCAAAATTAACAAATTTACATATGTGGTGCATAAGGAAAGGAGATAAGGAAAAAAAAGTGCCGTTGCAAATATGTGGAAAGAGAGCATCTGTGATGGGAGAATAGACGGAATAATCAATATTAATTGGTGTTAAATGCAATACTATTGTGAACAGTGAACAGTGAAACCGTGAATCATATTGGAAATATAAAAATCAAAGCGAATAATAAACACCGTTTCCTCGAACTAAAATGACTGAGATATTATGACGCAAAAACTTAGGTTTTTATTTTTATTTAAGTTAGTCAGCATTGAAACGATGTTGAAAGGTTAAATTTTGTGTTGATGGGTGTAAAGGGAAGGGAAATTGGTATGAAGAAGCAGAAACATAAATTGCTATTTTTACTCGTGTCACTTGAACATTGTCATCGCTTAAAGTCCAATAATAATAATAGCAAATAGCGGCAATAGCGTAGCAAAATTCCTTTCGTATTTTGCCAATATCTTATCGCAAATAGGGTGTAAATAATGTACATAATGTCTATCTATCTATATATTATGTATTTGCACAAAACACACTACACTACGCAACTAATTAAAAGAAAAAAATATCAATCACTACAGAAGAGAATTGCGCATTGCGATTTTTTTATCGAACGCCAATATCGCAAATTTTTGTGTAATTCGATGAGCTTTCGATCTGCTGCTACAGTTGTATGTGTATATATTGATATATGTGTGTTTAAATAGTAATATTGCTGGTGTATATATTAATATATAATAATATATAAAGGAATTTTCAGTTAAATATTTTTTTAAAATTAAACTAACTTTCAATCGGCCGCAAAATAGGTTCCTCAGCTAATTGTAGTCAACGTCTAAATTGCTATACACAAAAAAAGGGAAATTTCTCATATTTAAATTTAAATTCCAAAACAAAGTACTTTTCAATTTTTTACTCGTTATTTGTGATTTGTGTACTAGCATTGTATTTAGTTTATACTCTGTGTGTGAGCCTTCATCAAAGGGTATTCCCAGAACTGCTCTCAGCAGCTGGCTGCTTTTCTGTTGCTGCACTCGCTTCTTCGATCAAAAGTGACCGACATGCGACCGACTTCTTAGCCTGCTGTCTGTCGGCGCAGCAGCCGCAGCATAAAGAAGAAAACAGCCAGCAGCAGTCGCTGGCAGAACAACCCCAAAGAGATAGGCACACACACACTCACACACTCGCAGACACACACATAGAATTACTCTCGCATAGAGGCGAATGTTGTCCCAGCAGCAGCAGCAATTTTCTTCCCTTACTCCAAAATTTTGTTGGTATTGAAACTGGTTTTCATCCCCGTTGTGCAAACTTGGTTTTTATTTCATTATTACTGCGGCATCAACTATGGCTGGAGAAATGAGTCGGAATCTGAATCTGCCACCAAATTATAAAATTGCTGCTTCCTTAAAAAAAAAAAACATTTTTCTTATTGGTTATCGATTACCAAAAAAAAGCGAACAGATCACCAAAAAATATCAATTTATTGTTATTACTATCCTTTATTGTAATAATAAAAAAACAGCAACAACAATACCAATAAAACAAAAATCGTAGATTTCCGGGTAGCTGGAAAAAGGCCAAAATGTCAGCACTGATTCGACGGAATGGTGACGCTGGCTGCGAGTCCAGCGAATACAAAGTAATCAAATTTATTAGCTAATTGGCGGAGTGAGGTGGAGGTACCGAGGAGGGTTCGTGGCTGGAAGATGGAGATTGGAGCATGTGCGTGCTCGTTCTCGTGGTGTCTATAGACCCGAATCGTTTGTCAGATGATAAAGCTCGCAGTATGCACACGTAAAATCAGCATTTTGGCCTACGTGTCTGTGTATATACTTAATATTCATACATGTGTGCGTGTATCTGTGTGTGTGTATATATTTGCAATGCGTATGTATGTACATACACACATACATTTATATATAAATTGCCGTGGCGTTATCGCTCTATGATGGTGGTCCGAAAAAAAAAACAAAATAGCAAAAATTATTTTTGGCTTCGTTTTTTTTTTTTTTGCTCGACACCATCAACAAACAACAACACGCAACGAAATTGCACAAAAATATACGATTGTGTCTATAAGGTAGATTTATGTTGACCGTTGTGCCAGGGATGCAAAAAAAAAAACCAAAAAAAGCGTAGATTCGTGGAATTTGCATTGACGAAGGATATTTTTTGATATGGGTAAACAGCAAATATTCCAAAAAATGTATTTGTCGTAAATGTTTGCTTAAATAAAATTGTAACTGGGTCAGCTTTGATTTTAAACAAACACACCAATATATATATGTATCTCAACATAACTATTTAAAAAATTTGCTGTGGTTTTTCTTGTTTATTAGTTGCGTTTCGTTTCGTTTATAGTTCAGCAAATCAACCGGTTTTCGTTTCAGGGAAGGAACGCTTGTGAATTCGCACGTTTGTTTGCGGCTGTGTTTTTGTGTTTGTGAATTGATCGAAACATGTTTTATAACAGCTGGACAAATATATGGGATCATTTAGATCCAACACCTGCCGGAACCCCAACCAACATCCAATGGCCTGTTGCGGTTAGTCCCGGAAATTATTCTGCTTCATTTCTCTGTTTCGCACAGCAACTGAACTTTGACCCAAGCCACTTGTTTTAACTGCAGCATCCTCAATGCAAAAAAAAAAAACGAAAACAAAGATGGCCGCAAAAAATACCTGCAAAGTGAAATTCGCTAAAATTCCCAAAACTACTGTGGCAAAAATTCCAAAATACGAAATGCACTTGTGTGCGTGTGCGTGTGTATACTCATGCGTGCGTGAGTGTGTATGTGTGTGTAAATGTATGTGTGATTATGCTCTCATTTTAAAAGAAACGACAAAACAAAGCAGAGCAGCGACGCTGACGACCTTTTTATTTACTTTTTGGCATAGGGAACAACAAAAAAAAAAGAAATGTAAACGGGGACTTGAAATCTGAGTACGTTGAACAGATGTTCAGAAATGTTTTTCGTGCACAAAGAAGATTTCACCAAGAAAACGATTGGAATACATGTTTATGTATCTTATTTTTTGGGATCATGCAAGTCGCAAGGAAATACATATAAACATAAGTGTTCATGTGTGTGTGCATTATGAGTGCATTTTATATAAATCGGTGTGTCTGTGTGTGTACGTGTGTATGAGAAACACAATGCAAAGTGTGAAACAAGAGTCTTTTTCACATACTCACATACCTGCTTCTTATTTTATTCCAGGTAAATCGACGTCGACGACAACTGAATACCTAAAAGCAACAATACAACAACAACAGCAAGGGGCAACATTGAAGCAGCAACAGCAGCAGCGGCACGCAGAATAAAGAAACAAGGAAACATTTGCACACAGCAAGCAGCCGAAAACAACAAAAACAACTACGCCAACACCGACAAGAAAAACCACTTCAACAAAAGAGGATAACATATTGAAAGAGCTGCGCCACACACACACATATACATATACATATATGTATATATAGGGAGCTGCTAACTTACACACACACATACACACGTGCATGTGTACGTGGGAAAGTAAACCGACATCTTTTTACGAGTTTTGCAATTGGGCAAAAGAGAGACAGCAGAGGGAGAGAGAGAGAGTGCAGAGAGAGGAGAGAGAGCTCCAGCGAGCTTAAGCAGAGCAGAGGGCTAGGGCTGCAGAGCCCTTTGATAACGCACGCACTCACACACACACACACATACATACAGACAGGCGATCGAGTGAGCGCGACTTGAAGAGAGCCGCCTGAGAGAGAGGGAGAGAGAGACTACGGCTCAGTGTTGCCCAACAACCGTTAATATACAAACGAATTTGGGAATCACAGCAATCGTGAAAGTGCGTCGACGTTGTCTTGTCGTTTTGTCATTCGTTGTGCGTGAGCGTAATTCAACACTTGGCACACGGCCAGTGTTGCCACACTGCAAACAAAGAGCAAGCAAAACCAACCAGTAACAGAGACTCACACTCACTCACTCACCTGCATTTACGTAAGACAAGTGCTGCCAGACAGCTGTCAAAGCTGCACGCAGAAGCGTGCAAGAAAAGAGAGAGAGAGAGCAAGAGCGAGAAGCAGCTAAATAAATCCTTGCAACAGACGACGCAGGCGACAACACCCAAATGAAAACGCTCGTACTCAGTCCCGACGATCTGCAGAACTTTAACAAGTTCATCTACGATCCGAAATCTGCTGCACAATTGGCCGCAAGTGCGGGCGCCATTGCTGCCGCTGCCGCCGCTCATGGACACCATCATCATCCAGGTGGGGGAGGCGGAGGAGGAGTGCAACTTGTTGCAGCAAGCAACGTTGCGTCAGCTGCAACAGTGCCCGTCACCCAAGTAGTGGGTGGCACAGTGGGCAACGCGAGCGGCGCCAACAGTGCCAATAAATTAATGGCACTACACTACTATCTAAACCATCAGGGCAACTATGTGGGCGTCCAGGCGCCAAGCCATGCAACACAGCACCAACAACAACAGCAGCAGCAACAACAGCAGCAGCAGCAACAGTTGCTGGCACAGTCGCAAACGCAGCTGAAGCAGTTGCAACTGAAACAGCCAACAATACATCAGCATCAGCAGCACATCAGCTATCATCATCATCACCCCTACTACCAACAACAGCAGCAGCAACAGCAACAACAACAACAGCAACAACAGCAACAGCACAAGGTGCAACAACAAAATCATTTGCCTGTCCATGCGTTAAATCAAAACTCTAATTTCTCGGCGGCCAGTTCGAGCACTGGCGGCACTGCATCCAGTCATGCGCCCACCCAGCAATCCAATGGCTCCAGCATCTCACCCACAATCATCAGTCATCCATCACATGTTCATCCACATGCCCATCCCCATCCCCATCCACACGCGCATCATGCACATCATGCGCATCATCAGCAAGCGGCGGGTGGAGCAACAGTTGTTGCCAGCAACAGCAATATTGCTGCCGCAGCAAATGCCTTGTTGCGTGCGACAGCTGCAGCAGCAGCAACGGCTGCCACAACAGCAACAGGAGCGGGTGCAGCAGCAACAACGTCGTCTGCCGTCTCCTCATCAGCGTCGTCATCATCCTCGTCGTCATCATCATCGGCCTCCTCATCATCGGCTGCCGGAGCATCCTCGACGGCGTCGACCACAACCGGCTCTGCCAATTGTGCCAAGAAACTGAAAACGGAACCGTTGCTCTCGCAATACAATCAAACGGAGCGACTGAATTTTGCAAACACGTACATTGTGTGGAGCGAGGAGCACTGGCGCCGTGTCGTCTTCCACGATGAGCGACGCTTCAATTTGGATGGGCCCGATGGCTTCTCCTATTACTTCCACGATCTGCGCAACTATGAGCGAACGTTGTCGCAACGGCCGCGTGGCAACTCCGTCTACATCTACCTGATGATCTGCGTCGGTGGCGCCATCCATTTGGATGTCTCCTCTGCCAAGCAGCGACCCGAATCCTGCATCGAAGCCATACTCCGCGAACGGCCCAATATCGTTAGCAAACTGGGCGGTGGTGCTGCAGGTGGAGGAGGACAGAGTGCTGAGTTTGTGCTGCAGGATCACAATTGGATGTCGCATGCGTTGCCCACCGCCCAGGAGCTGCTCAATGCCGAGGGACTCAAGACGCAAAAGTGGCCAACGATTGCCCACGATCTGAACATCATGGAGAACATTTGGGGCTGGCTGATACGCGAGGTATTCGATGGTGGTCGAAAATTCTCGCGCAAAGATGACCTCATCTTTCGCATCAAGGAGGCGTGGTCCCGGCTGCCGCTCGACCTAATCACGAACCTGTACAGCACGCTGCCCGAACGGATCACCGAGCTGTATTACACTCAAGGTGTGTACACGAATTGTTGACAACCGACGCCGCCAAAGGACGTGCGAGGGCAACAACGGGAACAGGAACGGGCACAGCAGCAGGAGCACTTATCAAACGAGGCAGGATGGGGCAGAGAAGGTGACTTCATTATCTGCTCCACACCAGCAGCAGCACTCCACCACACGTGGCAGCTGACTCTACTGTATACAACATCAACAACAACAAGAACACGCCGCATTATTATGTTCTAAAGGCAAATAATCCCAGATGGCAGAAAAATTTACCTTTTTTTCGTACATTTAACTTGACATTTTTTTTGTATGTATAGCTTTAAGATGCGTGTGTGTGTGCGTGTGTCTCTCTCTGTGCGTGTGTGTGTGTGTGAATCTGATTATGTATTTGCAATCTGCAATCTGCAATTTGTAAGCGTGTGTCCGTTTCCAGCTCTGTTTATAGTTATGTGTATTTAAGATTTAACTAACAAAACAAACAAAATGCGAGATTTGACCGCAGGCGCCGCCACAGCAGTGTGGCAACGCTGGCAACAACCTCACCACACCACACAACATAACTCACCACGCCGCAGCCAGTGTTGCCAATGCTTTGTAATTAGTGTTCTCTTATGCAGTTCTACACAAACTGCAGCAAAAATAACCCAATTTTAAATATTTAAGGCTTTAACTTTTAGTTGTCGTTTTTAAACTATAAATACAACCCCGCCCCCTCCTCCTCCCACCCCGCTTCATTATCCAACCTATTTAGTTACAAACAAAAAAAAAAAAGAAAAACCAATTTATTTTAACTTTGAAACTTAACTCATTTTGTTGATTGTTTTTAGTTATGCGAAAGTAGAAGGAGAAGTTAAGAAAAAGAAAGAAAGAAAGAAAATGGCGAACAAAATTAATGCAAAGCGAAAAGAGTAAAATAAACTTGTAACTAAAGTATTATTTGTAAGGCATAGTTTTTTGTTGTAGCAAAATACACACATACAAAAACTAAAACTAAAATCCTATCATGTAAAATTGTTTACGAACAGAAATAATAATTAAACTAATTATCAATGTAATTAATACTTATTAAAATTTAACAAAAAATATTTAAAAAAAATAATAAAAATAGAGGGGCAACAAAAGTGTTACTTTAAGGTAAAAAAAACAAATCAACTAATTTGGTAATAGCACTCAAGAGAGTAATAAAAAACAAAAGAGGGATACATTGTGAACAATTGAAAACATGCTGAACATATTTAGAAAAGTCAACTAATCATTTTTTGTCGCCTGATCGATCCTACGGAAAACGACTCGAGCAGAGGAGTCCCGCTAGTGATGACAACCTTTTTATCGATAACCGATGGCTGGCACTTCGGCCGTTTTTGTGTTTTTTGGATAAAGGGAGCATTATCGAGTACCAGGAAATACCTATATAAATATACATATATAGATATTAACAAAGTACACACAGACATATAATTACACTATACAATTTAGCATATGACGAACTGAACAAAATAAACAAATAAATGCAAAACATTCGATTGCAGGCAAACTAATCATAATACCTAAATACAAACATACAAACAAACATGAATAGAAACAAGAACTATGCAGAAAGAATAGTATTCATCCCACATCCCTCTTGGGGGAGGGGCAAACTGAAACTGAAACTGAAACTCCTCTCAACTCAACTTAGAATTCAGCAAATTATGTGATTTTCCCTTTGTTTTGCTTTTTGCAATGAACTCAAAATGTCAAACAAATAATAATAATACAAAAAAACAGCAGAAGAAAACATAAAACAAATCAACAATCTTTATACATACACTTAATACATAATATACAAAAACGGAATTATTATGATTAATTAATAATGAAAATGCAATTACCAATAAAAACTACCAGCAAATACGTAAAAATAATACAAAAATCAAGCGATCTTTTATTTATTATAAAGTTTGCATATGGGAAATATAAATGAATGGGGAATTCAATCAGATTATTGTCTCATTTCTCGTATATTGGGATTTTAAGATTTCCACCTTGCGGCGAGGGAAATTCCCTCAAAAAATTCCCAAACAAAACTGGCAATTTGCATTTAAAACATTTTATTATTTAAAGTGCGTTATAAAAATGTCGCTTAAAATCAGTTTCTACAATGCGTAGCTTATTGGCGAAATTAATACTCTGCTTTTGGAATATGCAAGCAGTCTATAAACTTGAATTGCGAGTGTGTAAATATACATACATAACTATAAAATCCATAGACTATTGGCACGGCTAAAAATCGCATTAGTGGAGTGTAAATTTCTATATATAAGTATATATATATTTAGATATTGTATTTTTATTATTGTAATGTGTAAACTTGAGGCACTTTCAAATACAGTTCAAGCAAATGGGAATTGTGCACGCTAAGAGTGTAATACATATATAGATATTTATATATCAGTTCATATTCATATTTTGTGCGTATTTGTGAAATACTGTTTTGGTTAATTTTGGGAATATTTAGGCTGGAATAACGCTTCGCACACAGGCCGGACTGCAGAAGGGCATGTTCTGTTTGACGCAGAAGCGACCGCCGATCAGCGACTTGGCGCACTCTAAGCCCGCACAGACAAAGCAATTGCTGTGCCAGTGAATGTCCGCCCAGGCGACGCCCTGATCTGACGGACCAATGGGCAGCTTGCAGCTCTTGCAGGTGCCGGCATAGAACTTGTCGTAGCACTGCAGGCACAGCGGCATATTCGACTTCTCCTCGGGTATATACTGTTGTCCGGCTAAGGGTTCGTCGCACTGCAGACAACAGAAGTGCTTGATGTGATAGGTGGCACCCTCGGCGGCGGTGTATTCCTTGGTAAAGATCAGCTCATCGCACGCCTTGCAGCGCGGTATCTTCAGCTTGATGGCCAGATCGCGACCACAGTACACCTGGCCATGGTGGAAGAAGTACACCAGATCTGCCAGTAGTTCGCGGCACGTGTGACACTTGAAGCAGCCCGGATGCCAGGCAATCTCTTTCCCAGCACGCTCCGTCTTAACGGCCACCTCACCAAACTCAATCGGCAAATTGCAGTCGCGACAATTGAAAGTGGACACAGGAGCAGCCAACGAACCCGTTGAATCTGTAAAAGTACAAGAGAAGCTAATTAGTCAGGTGCTTACTTCAATCAGAGTGCAAAGCTATCTATCAGAATATCGAGCAAAATATTTTAAGATGGGGAAAAACTTCCAATTAGTTCTGGTAGGATTAATCAGAGGGCGCAAAAAAAATCCAAAACATTCTCTGGAATGATGAAAATCACATCAATTTGTTTTGTTGACTATGCATAAAGAAGGATTAGTCAGCAATATGTAAAGAATTCTACATAAAATTAACTAAAAAAGCAGTCATGCATGGTGCTTGCCACCTATTTTAGTGTCCAGATGTGTCTATAGTTACCGATACCATGTGGATAACAACGAGGCCCACATAAATTGCATGTTGCATGCACTTGGAATTCTCAACAAATTGATGCAGTTGCTAAGATTGAAGCATACTCAAAAATAGTTTGGAGTATTTACGATTGGACAGGCTGACGGACAAGCATATTAAGCTGATCTATCATATAAACAGATGGTATCTGAGATGTCTAATTAAATGCCTTATAAAATTATAATAGCCAGATTATGTGCTTAAAATAGGCTTCAACTAATGAGCAACATTTTGCCTATTTTCAATGCCGATTTCTTGCAGTGAGCGAGCATTTCCAAGTATTCGCATACATTCGCCTACTTTTCGCAGCTTTCAATTAGTAACTTTTATATTTTTAGACTTGTTGCTCACCTGCTGGTATTTTATCGTCGCCCAGCTGGAGTTGCTGGAACTGGTCGGGCATGCCGGCGCAGCTGGGATACATGTTCATGTGCTCGATGCCCGGAATCGTTGTGAATTTGCCGAGGCTGGCGTTCAGTTCCTCGCCCGCCTGGCCCGGAGTCGTTGGCTTCGAGTAGAAGCCGGAATCGTGACTGGCCGAGTTGGGCAGCAAATCATTGCCATAGCTAATGTCGCCAGCACCGCTTGCTGCCCGCATGTCCGCAAAGAGTTTGTCGATGTCGTCCAGGAGTTGCTCATCGTTGAGCAGCCAGTCGTTGACCTGCTTGAGCGGCTCCAGCAGCTGGCATTGATCGTGGCGAATGCCCTTTTCTTGCAGCGTCTGATAGAGGCGATTGTAGTAGGGTGCATTGGCCACAGCCGACTGCAGCATCTGTTTGTCCACACCCACATGCTCAAGCTGTGCGCGGATGCTGGGCGCCAGTCCCGGCAGCTGTTGCAGATTACCAGTTGCGGCCGGCGTTGGGGCAATGATAACCGATGCTGCGGTTCGACCGGCACGCGCCTCCTGCAGCGCCTGCTTCAAGGGTTCCGCCTGCACAATTTGGGCAAAGACCGGATCCCGTTCGTAGTCGATGTGCGCAGGCATCCCGCAGTCATACAAAATGGTGGAGACGCCTCCAAATTTAACACGCCTCATCGGCGTATCCTGACGCCTGTTTTCCCCAAAGCGTGCCAGGACCGGATTCTTTGTGGGCAGTGGCGAATGGAATGGTGTGCTTGGCGAGCATTTCAATGGGGATGACGACGACGCCTGCGTCGCTGGTGGACACACCGTATTGATCTCAGCCCTGAACTGTGGATTGCTCACATATTCTTTGCGAAACTCAGCAATGGGTCCCAGTCGAGCATCGCGGGATATGTTGAGGTTCTTCTCCTGCAATTGGGCTTAGATTAAGACAAGATTGAGTCTCGAATTGTTGCTCACCTTAAGCAGACCCAGCAGCTTATCATAGATGACGCCATGGGTAACTAGACTCTGCATCTGGGCTCGATTAATGCCCAGCAATTTTAGCTTGGTCTCCGCACGCAGCGCGGGCTGCTCATCAAATTCTGTGGTGCAGTCGCTCAACGGCTCCGAGAAGGCGACCAGCAGCTTGGGCTGAGCATTCACCGCCTGCTGTGCGCTGAGCGCATGCGTCAGCTTCGGATTGGATAGCAACTCCTGCAGCGTGGCATCCACTTGCGTCGGCAAACCTAGAGCAGTCAACAGCTTGCGAACAGCAGCTGGCGGGGATGGCACTGCCTGCATGCCGATGGAGCCAATGTGTTCCACTTGGCCGTGGCCCAAGCGACCCACGCGGACAACGATGCCTTGGCCGACGCACTGCTCGCGCAGCTTCTGCACGTAGAGCTGCAGTTGTTGTGCCTCCGTTTCGCTCAGATTGTCGCACAGCGCCGCATCCAGATCGTGTGGCGGCACTTGGAATTCCAGCTGCTGTTTCCGTTTGAGTGCCGCATCACTGCCCGTGACGGGTATTTGAGCGGCACCCAGTTTGTCCATGTAATCCGTGATGACATCGGGCGATGCATTCGGTGGCACCCATTCAACCTGCACCTGCTGGTTGGCCAGTGCCTTGATCTTGATATCTGGCGTGGATTAATGATATATATTTATATGGGAGTCAAGTCAGCTTAAATGGTCTGCTTACATGCTGGCTTCGCTCGGATCTGGCCGAGAATCTCGAACTGTGCCCAGCCGGTGTCGTCATCGGTGCACAGGTGCTGATCCTTGCGGCACATGCAGTTGCGGCACACTTTCCGCCAGAAGTGCAAATCCAGTCCTGGACATTTCTCCTTGCACTCCCCGCAGGGTGCTCCGGCTCCGGATTCGTGTCCCAGTTTCGAGCGTTTCAACAATTCGCGTCGACTTTCCAGTTTCGATAGCCATTCGGGTGCGGTGGGGGTCTCCACGCACGAACCGGATTTGTCATTGCTTGACATGCTAATGACTTCAACTGCACTTTTAAATAAAAAACTAAGCAAATAAATAAAACTTTGCAAAGACAAAGCAAAAAGCAGTGTGACCAAGCACAGTAAACGCGAAAATACCAAAATGTATAATTCTGGAACTGGGACGTGGAGTTCATTTCGTTAACCATGGACACTTTCCAATTAAAATCGAAAAGTCGAACTCAGCTCTATATCGAACTTGGTCTTGCGAAAATACCATACTTTCGAGTAGCATAGTTGAGCAATGACACCAACCAGTGTGCACCTAAATCGAAAAGTGAAGAGAATGTATATCGAGTTCGAAAGCGGAGACAATAAAGTAATAAGTTCGAAAAGTACATGGTTTCGAACAGCCTGCTTAAGCAAAGACCCCAACTAGTAATAAAATAAATCGAAAAGTGTCAGTCGGAACAGTGATGTATTTCGAATTCGAAAACACTAAAATCGAAATTATTCAATTCGATAACACCATTGATTTGAACAGCAAAGACACAAACCGCAGAGGAACTAAATCGAATGTATTTCGAGTTCGAAATCACCACCATCGTTAAAGCCAGGAAGCGAACACTTGTTTTCGTTTTTAAAACTCGAAAACAAGACCATGGCTGGAATGTGAAATCGATTTCGTTGAGCTTAGACTCAAACAAGACTTTCCAGCGCATGCAAAAAGTCCCACTCAGCTGATTTTCGAATTGCGAATTGAAGTTAACTTGGCTGCAGCTCTCAGGCTCTGTGCATTGTTTTTCGCAGTTGTGCAGCCCTGGCTCTAACAACCAAAACTAAATTGCCAGCCATTGCATAAAAAAACATACCGTGCAGAAAACTTAAAAATTAAACGCCATACATTGTAACCATATATAAACGGAATATATTGTGCATATTGCTGGAATAAAAGTGTGGAGAATAAAGTGCTAAAGCGCCGTGATCACAACGCATATTTGCGAAACTCACAAGAAAAATGCAATAAATGTATGTATGTATTTGTGTATGTGCATGTGTGTGTGTGTGTGTATATATGTATAAGTAGGTGGCAGCAACTGCGTCCCACGGAAAAGTGAAAGTGCAGCAGGCGAAACAGACAGACGGACAGACTTAACTAAAGCTAAGCTGAGCTGTGCTTGAAAATTGGCAAAAAACTAAAAAATGCCCAGCTACAATTAAAGAAATCACCAGCTTTTTTTTTACCGGTCTCTCATTTTTGGGCAACAAATTGACTTTGAATTTCTCGTACGGTGGTTGTTTTTGCCCTGTGTGAGCGCGTGTGTGTGTGTGTGTGAGTGAATTGTAGGTAGGTTTGTTGCTTGTGGGAGGGGGCGATTGAGGGGGGAGCTGCAATTTGAATTTGAATGCGTTTATGAAAAGTGATTAAGAATTGGATTTATGCAGGGGTTGTTGCCGCTGAAACGACAGCTCACATTTGATGTGTGTATATTAAATATATATTTATATATATATATATACATATACATATATATCCATATTTCACAATTATTCCCTTTTAGCTGATTGTGTGTATGGGGGTCATTGATTAGTAGCCAAAATTGAAAATCGCTTGCTGATTGCCATTTAATTGACCCACAAACATGAGCGAAAAATACGACGGCAACGGCGATTATTCCACCTACAACGAGGATGAGGCCAATGAGTACGGTGGAGGCGGCGGCGGATTGGGTGGAGGAGGAGTTGGAGGCGGTAAGACGCGCGGCAAAAGTGTTGGCAACAGCGGTGGAAGTGGTGCCCACAACGGCGACAGTGGCATACACGATCATCATCATGGCGGCGCCGAGGGCAGCGGCAACAATGTCCAGCTGAACGAGAAGGCCAGCGAATACATACGCGACTGCATGGCCGAGAAGAATCGCATGGATCGCAAGTTTCCCATTGCCGAGAAGCTGCTCGAGGGTGGTAAGCCATAATCAATATAAATATCTATATAACAGACACATATACATTTGAAATCGTCTCCATTTTGGCAGAGATCGAGAAGGTGCAGACGACGGGTCGCATCCCATCGCGGGAACAGAAATATGCCGACATCTATCGGGAGAAGCCGTTGCGTATATCACAGCGGGTCTTGGTGCCCATACGCGAGCATCCCAAGGTGACTAAGAAAAACGAATAAAAATTGTATATGCAAAATGTAAAGGGATCTTCAAGGAACTCTTCGATTATACCCATTTTATATGCCTATACAAGTGTAAAATTAATCTAATCATATTGCTGTTTACAGTTCAATTTTGTGGGCAAGCTGCTAGGTCCCAAGGGCAACTCGCTGCGTCGCCTGCAGGAGGAGACGCTGTGCAAGATGACTGTGCTCGGCCGTAACTCGATGCGTGATCGTGCCAAGGAGGAGGAGCTGCGCAGCTCCAAGGATCCAAAGTATGCGCATCTGAACAGTGATCTGCATGTGGAGATATCAACAATTGCGCCCCCTGCAGAGGCATATGCGCGTATCGCGTATGCAATGGCCGAGCTGCGAAAGTATTTGATACCGGATAGCAATGATATCATACGGCAGGAGCAGTTGCGCGAACTGATGGACAGCACCAGCATCAACGATGCCGAGAACACCACTAGCAATGCCAAGAACACGTACAAGAAAGTCTCGCACATGCAGAACAGTGGCGGCAACGTTGGCGCCAATGCCATGGGTGGTACGGGTCCGGCCAATTCTGTGGCTGGTGCTGGTGGTGGTGGTGGTGGGTCGGGCATGTCCAAGAATGTGTCTCATCACGGTTACAGGTGAGTCCATATCCCTTAACCTATGCAAATTTCTGTTCAACTTGTTTTAATTGTTCATTGGCAGAGGCTCACAGCAGTCATCGTTTAGCAAAAATGTCCTGGCACCCAAACAGAAGGTCATGTCCATTTTGGAGAAGGCCAGAACTGCTATGGATGAAACTTACGGGTGAGCTTTTGCTACTTATCCCAAACTACTCACTAACCAGCTTGTCTGACTTTCTTGCAGTCGCGGCTATGACGATGGTATATCCTATGATCTGCATCAGTCCTACGATGGCTACAGCTATCCATCACATGGCGGGCATGGACATGGCCAGCATGGTCCGCCCACGAGCATCCTGGGCGGCGTTGGCAACATCAGTGGCGTTGGCGCTGGCGGCGGAGTCCGTGGCGGACACTATGAGACTCAAGATTATGAAACGGATTATTCGCGGCGTGACTACTACCAACACTCTCCGGGATATGCAGGTATCATTGATGGGCATATATAGAAATATATTGAAATGTGTATAATAATATTAATAATACTCGATTTTTATAGGTGGCGGCTCCGTATCGCAATCGAATCCAAATAACGCGGCTGGCCTAAATTCGAATCACAATCGCAATCATGTTAACAGGTGAAATTTGCTGGGGCCGAGCAACACCAGCAATAATGTAGATGGTGTGAAAGGAGGCGGCACAATTAGTGCGACAAATTCAATGCCGGATACCCACAAACCGACCGTGAAAGCCAAATCAATTGTTAAAAGGAGCAGCAGCAGCAGCAGCCGCAGGAGCAACAGGAGCAGCAGGAGAAACACTTTCAGGCCGAGCTATTATAAACACGAGTGCAGCAGCAACAAATACAACAACAATAACAACAAAAGCGACTGTTTTCAGGTAACAATTATTGAGAATTGCGCAAGCGTTCAAATAACTAATGATGAACATTTTAAGGAGCAGTATCAAATGCAACATCAACCACAAGAATCGTCGAAATTGGGACAACAACAAGAAACACAACAAGAAAAACAAAAGCAAACACAACAAAATTACCCACCGCACAACAATAACAACAGCAACAACAACAACAACAACCAAAACCACAACAACAAACACAATCACTTAATCAGGAATAAAATGAATTCCATCGATGTGACCATGACGACATTTTCAATATCCTATACACAGAACCAAACGGATTCGAAATATGGCCAAAAGAATGCTGTAGCTGCCAGCAACAACAACAACAAAGACAAGAACAATTATACATTATGCAGTAAAATCCAGAACAACATGCCAAACAAGCAGAACAACACAACAACTAGAACAACAACAACAACAGCAAATGCTACAACTGCGCCCAGTATGCTATTAGTAAGGTATTAAAAATGCAATCAAAAGAGCACACTATATCAAAATGACACTGCAACAACAACAAAAAAAACAACAACAACAACAACAATTTCACTTGTAAAGTCCAGTTCCGCACTCCTCCTTTGTTCCTTGCACAATCCAATCCAAATCCAATTTTGTCACGGCTTCTATATGGAAATGTTAATACATAGACAAATTACATGATATCTGCTTCAATATATACCATTATATATATATATATATACACATATTCAAACGTACATTTAATCATAAATTTGAAAACATCATGGACAACTATTTATTTGCATTTACAAAAGATGAAAAGCCGTCGACTTTCAGACCAGACACATTTCTCTAAATACAACTTGCATTTCTTACAGCCCTTCGCTTCATATTCGTGAGATTCCGTTCTTGCCAGTGCAGTTTTTCTAATCACATTCAAAAAATCAAACAGATACAATAACTACAACAACAGCAACAACAAGAACAAGAACAAAAACACCAACATAATAATGCTAAACAATAACAAGAAACAAACAAATCGAGAGACAACACCACAAATACTTTGTACACTAAGAGGGATGAATATTTACAAACGGAAACCTTAAGATATATACATACTTATATAAATACAAACATATACATTATATACACTTAAATATATGATATATTTTTGAGTGCAAGGAAATCGTTGGATGATAATGCAGCTGGATCTACAAATTGAAGTTTTAACTTGGGTGTTAGCTGGTGGGACGATGGACAATTTATGTCAAGGATATATTGTCCGGTTTTTTAATATATATTTACACAAAGAGCAAAAACATCTTTAAGATAATCGTATTTAAAGTGCGTGCATTAATAACTAAAATTATTAAAAGATATAACCGTTAAATAATTAGATAAGCACAGCTTCAAGCTGGCTTTGATACTTTGATATTTATAATAACAATAAACATAATACTAAATACTTATTACAAAAAAATATGCTAAAAGAACAAAATGTAAACCTTAATCGAATACACAAATATATATATATATATATACTTCTCGATCTCCAGATTTGAATTATGTTATCTTATCAAATAGTTTCAATCTAATGTATTTCCTGAATATTGAATTGTTTTATGCAAGCAATAGACTCAAATCGATTATTATTGTAAATCTATGATTTTTATTGGCATTGCAGAATCTCCTTTTTAATGACAATAGTTTTAACATTTTTATTCTGGAGATGGGATGTATATATATTAATGAACATATGTGTAACTAACGCGCAGTAGGGCTGGAAATCTATAAGATTTAATTACTCAAAACTATATAATTGGGCACACTTAAAATAAATAAATATATCTATATACATACAGAATTTAATATTTACATTCGAATAACAAAGGAATTAAATAAACGAATAACATAAAAAATATAATGATATTTATATATAAAAAATATGACTAAAATACTCATAACTTAAAGTACATATTTATATATTAATCGGAGATTGTGAGATGAAGAAATCCCTATGTGGATAATGCTGCAAATGATTACTTTATTGAAACGAACAAAAACAAAAAACAAAAAACGAAAAAGAAAACAAACTAAAATATTATAATGAAGAATTACACAATAAGATGGGGAGAGTATGGAAAAGCTCAAATATGTACTTTATTTTCAATTGTATTTTCTACTTTACTTAAGTTCTCGTATTTTAATCATTTATACTTTGTTTTTATCTCCAAATTGGAAATTTGAATGGAATTTCAAAAATATATAAAAAACAAAATCTTAAGTCTCCTGGCGGCCTGAAAAATAAATTTGAAATGATTACGTATGTTTGTGCCAAATGTAATTCACAACCGATAAATAATATTGTCAAAAAGAAACCCGTTCTTCAAATTCGGTGTTTGATCATTTTTTATACGAGTTGAAATTAAGTATTCTATGTTATCGTACTTATGAATTCCCTCTACTTTTTAAACTATAATTTTATATAACTTATGTAAGCTGAGCTCCAATGGATATGAATATAACAATTCTTATCTATTGTTAATGCAAACATAATGAAAATCCGATAAAAATGATAAATGAATATCTTGTCCAAAAAAGCAAATTGTTGCAACTAAAGAAAAACAGTAAGAGACATTTACTTATATAACAATGTGAACGTTAAATTGTTGAAAACAATTAAAATTTAGATTATAAAAGAATATCAGTAATACGAAAAAATACATTCATTTATTTCAAGTAATATTATTGTTATAAATTATACAAATTATGAAACATACATACTTAAAAGACGGTTCCCAAAACCAAATTACAGAATTTAAATTATATCTATTAATACTTAAATGGATGGTAAAAAGAAGTTTAACAAAATCACAAACCATTTCAATACAAAATATATAATATTCAATACTAAAATAAATTTCCCCGCCCTAAAAACAATAACAAATATGAAGACAAACGCGAATACAACTAAAATATTGAGATATTCTCATTAATTATTTCATGTACAATTAAATAATACAAATTATAATAAAAAATATTTTAAAGTATATGCTGAAATTGAATAGTATTTTTTATGGCTGTGAGCTTTTCCTAAAAGGGGAAAAGAGTTTATGTTTTGAAAATGTTGCTCGAATGCGAGTGATTTGAAATAATCCCATAATGGTAAATTATGTTAATCAATTTATTTCAATTTTTACTTTGTAGGGTTGCAAATGAAATGCACTTATAGATGCGAAGGGTTGAAAATCGTTGGCTATAATTGATGATCAAAATTGTCTGATGTTAATTTGCAACCCCGTGCCCGCACGTGCCCCTTTCCCCTTACACTTTTTAAATGCTACGACTGTTTTCATTGTTTTTTTAGTGTTCCTAAGCCTGCCATTGCTCGCACTTGCTACTTGCTACGACACGTGCAGCGAGGACACGAACCAAACTACTAAATATTAGTAGTTTATTAAGCAGCTTTATTGGAAAACTTTGAAATAAAAGAAATGCATATATATTCATATAATGTATACAATTTATTTATTTAATATAACTTAAATTAGTTTTTATATTGCTTCACAATAACTGACTAGAGTAAACAACCTTAAAACCTACAATTTCCATCAATTGTAGTAGCTATCCCATTTTTATATTCAGGATCCTTTTTCTCTTTTACTCACAATGAAATTGCAGTAAATTGACTAGAATGAACTCCGATAAGGTCGGATTTGAAGGATGGTGTGCCACATTATTATTTTCTTTAGGCCTGCAGCAGTCCATCGCTTTGGCCAACTAGCTTGCCCAGCAGCGCCTTGTACAGCACGGATTCGGTGGAGATGCCTTCGCTCTGCAGGAAGAGCAATGTTTCCCTGGCGCACATTGCGAATCCCAATGCCTCTGCCTCAGTGCGTCGACCAGGCGTTGAAGGTGGCCGAGGATTGGGTGAGAAGTTAACAGCTGCCACTTCGGCATTCAGATCGACTTCATCTTCGTCATCGCTATTGAGCTCACTGGCCTCACGCTCATCCAGATCGTGCTCGAATGAATCCAGCTCGGACTGCAGTTCCATAATCTTTTGCAGTGCCTCGAGTAAAATGCTATTGGGTGCAGCAGCTGCATTTTGGATTATGGATGGACTGTTACTACTATTCGACTCCTCCGGCGGTGTATCCGATCTCGCCTCCAGTTCCAAGCGATGTCTCTTCTCCGCTGTCGACTCATTGGCCAACTCTTGCTGCCGCTCCGCACGTTTGCGTTTCATAATCAGTTTTCCAGACATGGACGAAGAATCCTCTTCAGTTTTGTGTATAGTTTGGTCTTTGGGTTTAGGTCTTTCGGTAGCGCGACACAACCGTCGTTCACCTGGCGATCACAACAACTGAAATGTTGAATGCACCCCAGCGCAGGTCGAACTGTTGCAGCACAGTGCGATCCTGCTAAAACCAACCCCAAGCAGACAGCCGAGCATTAGGGGATGTGCCGAGAAACAAAAAAAAAACAGAAAGCGAACGAAAATTGTTGCAGCTGTTTGAATTTTTGTCGGCAGCTGAAGCGGGAAGGCAACAGGATACTATCGACTACTGACTACTGACTGCTGGCTAGCTGGCTGGTTGTGGCCAGGCTACAGGATATTGTGCTGCAATCGAAAATCAACCCCTGACAATCTGCTCTCTAACTGCAGCAGCCTGCTGCTATCACGTCCCCTCCTCGTTCCTCGTTCCTCGTGTACCTTTCCCTTTCCGCTTTCCTCTGCCGTTGTCTCGTGGCTGTTCCTGTTCCTTTCCGGCTACCCTCACTCTGGCATACTCTACTGTGCTAGCGGGCTATGTCGTGTAGCGCATTTGATAGTCTGTATTCTCTACAGCGAACATTTGCAGCTGGCACGCTTCACATTCGAATATCTCTTCGATTTGTGCCCCTCCAAAGTACGCTTTGACCTGCCATTGTCGTGATGATAACTGAACACCTTATGCTACACTGTTCAAAATTCTTGGCACAGTCTAACGCAAAATTAAGAAAATATATTTAAATATTAAAATTGCCGTATTTTATTTTTAATTGAAAATTTGTAAGAAAAGTCTGATGCAGTTGCGCAAAAGTATGTAACAGGCAGAAGGAAGCAGCTCTAACAGAATAATACATTTATATTCGTGATCAGCAGCCGAGTCAATCTCTCGATCAATCTCTAACCGTCTGTGTCTCCGACTCAATTGATATTACAGATTTTCCAATTTGAATTATCATTTTGCTTGTTAATGCAACACAAATTAATATACATTGTCACATTCCTGTTTATCAAATTGTACTAAATTAAAAATCAAATTAACTCATATTGATGTAAAATAAAATAACCTGCTTACAAGATTTCTTAACTGCTGCAATTTGTTTTCCTCGTAAGAATAATTACAGCATTTATTGAATTTCTTAAAGTATTACACTTTTTCAGTAATATACTTAGTTATATAGTTTACAAGATCAAACACATTTCAGTGTGAAATCACAATTTTCACATTCACCAATATTTAAGCTGCTGAATATTTCTCAGTGTACTTATATAATACACATTAATTTTTTTTGTTAAATATAGATCATGTAGTATGCATAATATATAAATGTATATATTTATGAAAGCATTTTTTTCTTATATTAATTAACAGTTTCAAAATAATTCGAATTTTAAGTAGACTCTCCCGCTTATAGGGTGTTAGCGCAATCAGGTTGTTCTCTTTGCAAAAAATATACAAATATAAGTAAAACGATCTCAGTAATCTGCTCAGAGTGAAAGATTTTAAATTGAAATTTTATAAAGTCAATTTGCAAACGATTTGAGTCCAGTTTGTGAGCAGATCGTGTGTTGAGTGCATGTAAGCGTCATGAGATGAATATCACTTAAAAGTCAAATATATAGTCACCGCAAGATATTTAATTTCTATGTAATGTGGATAATTCGTGAAAATAATAAAAGCTTGAATTGCCTGCATGCCAATAATGATAAGCCTCAGGTTATAGATTGAGATAACCCCAATTTCTCAGGAACATATATAATAAATACGTGTATGTTTTTGAATTCTTAATAAATTCACAGTTCAGATTGCCAGATTTTTATGTGTTTGCCTAGCAGATGTCTTTGAAACTAATGAACTAAGTTTTGTAACAGGTCTTAAAAGTATAAACTGGTATGCACATTGTAGAGTAATTGAGATAAAGTATTATTAGGGTATAAATACAAGTACTTACCCATGAATATAGGCATACGAAAGTCGTGTAAAATATTACCATACTCTAGGCAATGTCTGGTTTGCGATTGCCATCAATATCGACTTTAATTATGAATATTATTCTCTATATTTTAACTAAAGTAATTATTTACATTCTAGTCTCCATTATGCGGATGTGGATTTTAATCTCGTTGCTGGCTTTCAATTACACAATTAAAGCTAATCCCATCGCCGACATAAAACCGGCCCCAACTGAATTCATTATCCTGCACAATAATGATATTCACGCAAGATTTGAGCAGACGAATAAAAATGGTGGCACTTGCAGCCAAAAAGACGAGAGTAAGGATAACTGTTTCGGGGGATTCCCACGTATTGCCCATGAGTAAGTTTAAGTGTGTTTAATATGTGACATTTAACCAATTTAAATTCAATTTCAGAGTGCGAAAATATCGCGAGGATGCGAAGAATGGAGGAATTCCTGTACTATTTTTAAATGCAGGTGATATCTATAGTGGAACTACTTGGTTCTCGGTCTTCAAGGACAAAATTGCCAGCGCCTTTATCAACAAAATACAGCCAGATGCAATGGTGAGATCTTGCATCAGATATTTAGAGCCACACTTAATCCTTACCTACCATTCTTGAAGTCCCTCGGCAATCACGAATTTGATGTGGATATTAAAGGTCTGGTCCCATTCCTCAATGATGTCAGTTTCCCCGTGCTGGCCGCCAATGTGGACATTTCGCAAGAGGCCGATTTGGTTGCTACCAATAAATTAAGCAATTCGACTGTTCTGGAAGTAAACGGAACTAAAATTGGTATCATTGGTTACTTAACGCCAAAAACTAAGGAAGACTATATATTTAAAGTGGAGTTCCATGAAGAAATCGTATGCATCAAGTGAGTAACTGTGCCAGGGATTCATCTATAAGTCAAATTTCTGAAACAGCTTACAAATATTTCCAGTGCTGAAGCAAAGAAACTGAAGGAGCAGGGCATCAACATATTAATTGCCTTGGGACACTCTGGCTATCTGAAGGATCAGGAGATAGCTCGAGACTGTCCCGACATTGATATAGTCATCGGTGGTCATTCGCACACCTTCCTGGATGCCAATCAGCCCGTTGCTGACAAGGACGACACCAATCCTGAAGCCGTGCGAGGACCCTATCCCACCACAGTGGTGCAGCCAAGTGGCAAAAAGGTGCCGGTGGTGCAGGCCTTTGCCTACACAAAGTATTTGGGAAAGATACACGTGCAGGTAAGACTAAATCAACAAATATACAGATATATATAGAATATATAGATATAATAAAACCAATCAATCGATTTTCAGTTCGATGCTGAGGGCAATTTAATAGAGATTAATGGATCACCGATACTGTTGAATGCGTCCGTTCCCCAAGATCAGGATCTGTTGGACTTACTTGATGTTTATCGCCCAAATGTTACGGCTAGTGCTCAACAAGTTATCGGCCACACCAAGGTGTTTCTGGAGGGCGGCAGAATTTGCCGGCTGAGAGAATGCAATCTGGGTAATCTGATTGCCGAATCCATGGTTTATGCTCGCATGATGGAGAATAAGGGCGCCTGGACTGACTGGACAGATGCACCCATTGCTCTGATTCCTGGCGGTGGTCAGTTTAAAAGTTTATGCCACATTACGTACACTATTTAACATAAGCGATCTCTTTTTAGGTATACGTACCTCAATCTATAAGAACAACGAAGGGACGATTAGTTTCAGGGATATGGAGGAAACCATTCCGTTTGAGAACAAGTTAGTGATGACGCGTATCACGGGCAAAACATTGCTCAACGCCTTGGAGCACTCTGCGACAGTTAGGAATACGGATTCGAACGGAGGTTTCCTACAGTTTGCGGGCATTCGAGTGGAGTACGACTACGCCAAGGAGGAGGGGCAACGGGTGACATCCGCGCTAGTCCGTTGTGGCGAGTGCACTGTACCCGAGTACAGTAATCTCAATGCAACGGCCTACTACAAAGTAGTTGTACCGAACTTTATTCTAAACGGAGGCGATGGCTATACCCTTACTGAGTCCGTTGATCCTGTAACAGAGTTATTGGAAAAAGACGATAAGGGTGCACTTCAACAGTATCTGGAGAGTCACAGCGTTGTCTATCCCGAAGTAGATGGTCGTATTGTCATTAAGTAAATAGTAAATATATTTATGAATTCAATATGTAAACAAATCATCTAACAGATACTGAACCCAGCGACGAACAGCTAAAGGCTCTTCATGACGCCCCCAATAATAATCATAAATATTAATTAATTAATTTCAAGCTTTACTTAACTTTATATACGAGCAAAAAAATTAATTAATTTGTGACCTTCAGCTTTCTAAAAGTGTACTTATTTAATTAAACGATCTCTAATCGTGTTCAGTGAGACATAACTGAGTCAGAGATTATATAAACAAATCATCGCTTTTCGTTTGCAGGGTTAATAACCCAACCGGTTTGTAAGCATCTGCTCCACCCTGATCGGATAAACATATGTATATTGTTTAAGTCTACATAAGCTGAGTAATATATTGGCAGAGCGTTTTGTAATCGAAAGAAATTGATTTAAGTGACTAAAACAAAATGGCATGTGATTAAAATATATAATAAAATATTACTATGTTAAATATTGCCTTTTTCCAGATCTTGCGCAAATGTTTATTTGGAAGAGAGCCCAATAAATAAATAGTTTGCAATGTCAAAGCAGATATCTATAAATATGTATAACATAAATGATTTATGTGCCTTATTAACTGACAGATGAATCCACATTTCTTAACTGGGGTTTATTTTTTTTGTTTATTATTTACAATTGAGCAACAATACATGACTTTGTTATCATATTCATAAATAATTTTTGAATAACATCTGTTGATAGCTGAAGTGTTCTACACTTGCTGTTGTTCAAAGGAACTTGCATTTTTTGTATTTTTGGAAATGTTAGGCAACTTCAATGTGTGGCTGCCACTTATTGCGACTTTGACATATGGATTTTGACACACACAAACATATATATATATATATATATATATGTATATATATATAAACAGCACTTTTTAAAAATATTACAGTAGCAATATTATATGTATATTTATAAATGTGTTTTTGTGTTTTGTTGATATTTGCGTGGGAATATCACGTTCTGTTTGAGCAGCTGTCTGTTATATAACAAACCCTATACGATTGATGTATGTACACTTCAAAAAGAGCACATATCATTGTAAACGTATGTCCAGTTCAAATATTATAGAAACCGACTTTGCCTAAGTCATGTATTCCACACCGGATTAATATTATTTTTTCATAAATAGATTTTAATTTTGAAAGGCTTTTGAGTTGGGATTTTTCCCAATTTTAAGCACTTGTACTCTGAAAGCCTATCAATATATTTATTAAATTACGCTTTAGATTACTTGTAGTAATTTTATTAGTCATTTTAAATACACAAGTTCGTTAATCAGTCCTGATATCATCTTAAGATAAGACATAAGCAGCTTGAGTAATGAATTAAAGTATTTAAATGTAAGACTAAAACTTTGTGTACTTATTTATTAATAAAATTGTCGTTTTGAGTACTTTTAGTTGATTAAATACTTTGTGTAGTTATTTGATTAACTTTATTTTAAGTACACAAGTTCCTTAATCAATACTGATATCAACATTAGATATAATCTAAGCATCTTGAATGATGATTTAAAGTATAAAGTGGTTTTGTGGTGTTATTAACGTTCGAAATCCTTGTTAAAAATCTAGTTAACACATTTTTCGCTGAGTGCATATTTCTGCACGTGTATGTAAACGCATTATCTCCGATATGTAAAACAAATAATAATAATTCAGAAATTGCGATTACACGTAAACGTATGAATTTTTGTTGATGAGGTGTGCCGCGTGCACTTGCTGCTACCGCTTAACTCCAGATACAACGGTTCGAGATTTGGGCCGAGTGATAAGAGCAATATGTGGGTGTCCTGGTTACTGATAACAGTTCGCAATAAAGAAGAGATAATCACAAATGGCAATTAGAGCCGTACTGCTCTCGTATCTGGCAATACAATAGAGCTATTAAAAATCATTGCCATCAACTTAAACTGAGCCAAAAAAAAGAAAAAAAAAAACAAACGGAAAACAGAAAACAAAAGCATATGCAGCAAAAAAGAGACAATCACAAACCTCGCACAACTCGTATCGCTCAGCGAGACGAAAAACAAAAAACGAAAAACAAAAAGCGAAAAAATAAAACCAAAAAAAAAAAAACACAAAAGCAAAATGCGGTATTGAAGTAGTTGTATTTCGGTTATAGCCGCTGTTCCACGACGTTTTCGGGCCAGTTTGTTAGCGGATTGTGTGTCGAGAGCATCGTAAGTAGTACGAAGTAGCATTGCCTATCCAAGCGAACCGTAAACGTGTGCCGTGTTTTAGTTTGATTGTTAACCAAAAGCAATTTGTATCGCATTCTTAATACTACTTGCCAGCTGTTATCGTGCATAATGCCAACCTTTACACTTGTTCGCCTAACTAAGAAAGCGAGAGAGAGAGAGAGAGAGAGAGAGATAGAGAGAGAGATCAACTTCTTTCAGATTCACATCAGAATGTAGGAAAGAGAAACAGAGACACAGAGAAAGAGAGAGAGAGAGAGAGAGAGAGAGAGAGAGAGAGAGAGAGAGAGAGAGCGCGAGAGAAAGCGAGAGTGATTCTTCATTCTTCGTTAGCTGCTAATTGATCGGCTTAATAGTCCATAACAAAAGTAATCACATTTTTCTTTATTGACGTTAAGTGCCCGTCCGTCCACATATATTTATGTCAATTCCGAAATATGTACGTGTGATTGGAAGCACAAATAATATATATGTATTAAAAGGGACCACAAATCATTCCATGACAGATCTCTTGTATTTCAACGCAATTCGACGTACTTCGTATCTGGTACATGTGTTAGCGATATGCCAGCGATTAGATTTAGTACCTATTATAAACTCAAAAAATTGATTTGTTTTCGCTGTTAGCTGATAGCGATTCATTTGTTAATGAAACGACAAATGAATGTACAGATTGTTCCACAAATATCATATACACACTTTTCTGTAATATGATTAAGATAAAAGATACAAAAATACAATAATTATTACAGTTGCGATCAAAGATTACGAGTAAATATTTCGTATGTATTTATGCTATATACCAGTCAAGCTGTGCTAAATCGAACCATCATCAAAGGTATTAATAATTTCTGTTTGCGAAAGTGTCGCTTAGTGAAGTTATAAAATATTGTTATGGATACCAAATTGTATAGAACATTCTTAGAAAAGCTGCTAGTGCATATATATATATATATATAATTAAATATATATATATATATATAATTAAATATTTATGCATATATACACTTTGTGTATATCTTATCTGTATTGAATAACCACTCATACAATTCTAGATCAAGAATGGCTTATCAGCTGATAATCGTGGCATGCATTTTCCTGCTGAGTCAGACAATTGCCAATCCGATTCTTCAGCCTCGGGCCGTTGCCACGGAGCTGATAATCCTGCACAATAATGACATGCATGCGAGATTTGAGCAGACGAATAAGAATGGTGGCACTTGTTCCCGGGAGGATGCAAACACCGACAAATGTTACGGAGGATTCGCTCGCGTTGCCTACGAGTAAGCGAAGGGATTCGATTAACACTGGAAAATTGCATTCATTCAAATCCGATTTCAGAGTGCGCCAATATCGCGAGGAAGCAAAGAACGGAGGCACTCCCGTATTTTATTTGAATGCAGGTGATACGTATACGGGCACGGTCTGGTTCTCGGTGTTTAAGGACAAAATTGCCAGCGCTTTTCTTAATAAACTCCAGCCGGATGCCATTGTAAGTTTCAGCAAGATAATCAATTAAATTTATAACAAACTACTCAACTATTTTGCAGTCCCTTGGAAATCACGAGTTTGATAAGAACGTTGAAGGCCTGATACCGTTCCTCAATGCTGTGGATTTCCCCGTTCTGGCCTGCAATCTCGATTTGAGTGATGAACCCGATTTGGCAAATACCAAAAAGTTGGCCAACTCTGCAATTCTAGAGACAAATGGTGTTAAGATTGGTGTGATTGGTTACCTCACTCCCGATACCAAGAATCTTTCCTTCCAAAACAATGTTAAATACACAGAGGAAATCGTGTCTATCAAGTAAGTTATACTGACTGATTTATACATATGTTTTCTAAATTTATAACACCTTGCGAATATTCACAGTGCTGAAGCAAAGAAACTGAAGGAGCAGGGCATCAACATATTAATTGCCTTGGGTCACTCTGGCTACCAAAAGGATCAGGAGATAGCTCGAGACTGTCCCGACATTGATATAGTCATCGGTGGTCATTCGCACACCTTCCTGGATGCCAATCAGCCCGTTGCTGACAAGGACGACACCAATCCTGAAGCCGTGCGAGGACCATATCCCACCACAGTGGTGCAGCCAAGTGGCAAAAAGGTGCCAGTGGTGCAGGCCTATGCCTACACAAAGTATTTGGGAAAGATACACGTGCAGGTAAGACTAAATCAACAAATATACAGATATATATAGAATATATAGATATAATAAACCCAATCAATCGATTTTCAGTTCGATGCTGAGGGCAATTTAATAGAGTTTGACGGATCACCGATACTGCTGAACGCTTCAGTTACACAGGATCAGGAACTGTTGGACCTACTGGAGGTATATCGTCCAGATATCACGCATCTGGAAGAAACGATTGTTGGCTACACCAAGGTTGAACTAGAGGGCGGCAATGTGTGCCGCCTGAGGGAATGCAATCTGGGCAATCTCATTGCGGATTCCATGGTGCACGCTCGGGTTTTAGAGCTTCCTGACGGAGATTACTGGACTGATGCACCAATTGCCTTGCTGCAAGGCGGCGGTACGTTAACCTTTGTTTGTAGAACGTTATAATATTTGTAAATCTAAATGCATTTCGTTCCAATACCAGGCATTCGCAGCTCTATTGAGAAGAACTCAAATGGTTCAATTACTGGCAGCGATATACTTACAACACTTCCGTTTGAGAATAGTTTATATATAACGCGTATTACGGGAAAAACACTGCGAAACGCTTTGGAACGGTCGGCTTATGTGCGAAACTTGGACTCGAACGGAGGTTTCCTACAGTTTGCCGGTATTCGAGTGGAATACGACTACGATAAGGAGGAGGGACAACATGTGGTATCCGCGCTAGTCCGCTGTGCGGAGTGCAATGTACCCACATATAGTCATCTGAATGAATCGGAAAGCTATAAAGTAATTGTGTCGGAGTTTCTCTTGAATGGAGGCGATGGCTACAAACTGGTCGAGGATGTTGAACCGTTCACGGAACTCTTGGAGAAGAATGACCAGTCTGCCTTTAAACAGTTTTTGGAGGCGCGGCATTATGTCTATCCAGAAATCGAGGGACGTATTATTATCGGAACACCCAAAGATTCGGCAGCTAGCATTATGGGCTCTGTCGTTTTAATTATGCTGTCCTCTCTGATTACGCGATTTTTTAACTAGTTACAGCACTGTATAGCATAAATCTTGTAGCTTGAATTTACACATTTAAATGTGAAAATAAATAACCCAATGCCCTTATTAGATCTGTAGCACAAGCAAAACCATGCCTTTTGCTAGTTTCATTTCTTGATCTAAAATGATACACATGAGTTGCAAATTTCACATCTATTTGCGGCTCATGTGTGTCGTCAATATGTGTCTAGTATTTATGTGTAGCATAAGTAAATATATAGTACTGTAGGAACAGTCGCCACCGTCGTTTATGTGGTCGAGAATATTGTGAGAAGCAATCGTAAACAATCACAATAAGTGCGAAGCTTTTAAAAGTTTTTATTTGTATGTATGTAAAATATGTAAATAAAATAAATCAAAGTAAATACATTGCGGTTTATTCAAATATTAATTCTCTACAATTGTAGAGAAATCCAAAAAACAAGGTTTGATTTTTTTTGCCTCGTAAAATTCGTGAAATGCAGCGCATAAGCCGAGTGTGTGTTGATTTGGCGAGTCTGGAAATGTGTGCGGTTTAAATTAAAGTCCTTTTCACAGACACTTTACTTTAATTTCCAAGCCAATGCACTTGAGAAATGCGACGCCGTTCACTTTAATTTAAATCTCACGCACAACGACATTGATTCAAAAAAAAAAAAAATGCCAACTCGTCGGCCAGCTGCAGATACAAAAGCGCCAAATACAACAACAACAACGAGTTCATTGTATGCATAAGCATATTAGGCGATTATCTACGATCGCGTGATAACGATAACGTGATCGCAAGCGAAAGACAGACAGCATTGCAAGAGCGTATCTAAATATGCTGCACTTCTTCTATTCTCACTCCATCTCTCACTCTGTCTCTCACCCCGTCTTTCACTCCGTCCCTCACTCCATCTATCACTTCGTCTCTCACTCCGTCTCTCTTAAGCACACACTTTTACAAACAGTTGTTGGGCACTGCACTGCGGGAAGTGCAAGTGTCTAGCGAAAATCTTTTCTACTCTCTCATTCTCATTCTCAATTTTATTCGCAGCTCTCACGACTCCTCTCCTCCTTATGCGTGTGGGTGTTGCGCTCTCATTAATTGCTGCTTCAAGTGCCTAACAAAAATACGATAAGTGACAGATCAGTTCGCAGGAGAGAATCAGCGTCGCGAATTCGGATGTCGATGTTGGTGTCGGTGTCGACATATCTCTGTCCGATTCGAACATAATCCGTTTAACTGGCAGTGCGGCTGCAGACGTCGTTGGAAACGGTTGACTCGCTGGCAGGTTGTGTTTTGTGATCTTGGCAGTTGTTGTGCGTACTACGTACTAATAAAAAAAAAATGGGAACATATGCTTAAATTTTTGTGGAAGTGTGTGTGTCTCCTAAGTTTACTTAACTTGGTTTGTTGTGGCTCTGTTTCCAGGCAACTTGTCATTTTAAGGTTTTTACAATCGATTTGAATCTGCAAATTGTTACTGCTCAATTGTGGCACACTCTGCGAATGAGTGTGTGTGCATTCACACTTACTTATTTACCAGACAATAATGCATAGTGCTGACCATATATGGTATCTGCAAAAATAAACAGACTCTAGTTTTGTTGCCAATATCATTAAAATAATTGCTTGCTGTTTGCGATTGTTTATTTTCAAATTGTCATTCATTGTTGTAAAATTTGCGTACTCATTCTGAAAGTGTTTATATTCAATTATCATAATTTGCTTTAGGTTATATCTCGGTTGAATGAGTTTTCAAATTGTGCTTAATAAACAAGTAATTATAATATAAAAACTCGGGTGTTAAAAACGTGAGTTAAAATAATTTATATTTGGACGGTTTGGAATTTCAATCTGAAGTTTAATAAATATTCGCGAGTTTTTCAGCTGCTTAAAAATTTATAAACAGTTGCAGTTTAAAAAAAATGTAATTTTTTAAACAAAATTGTATATGCAGCTGAGGTGTTTTATTACCTTCTCCAAATTGAAGTCATTGACACGCACACAAAACATCTTGGGGAAAAATTTGTTATGTAAACAAAAATTGAATTTGTGAAAAACCACAGTCAACTCTTCGAAAGTCGTTTGTCGGTTCGCTTTTAAACATTGACCATCCGATACATAAATATCTGAAGATAACTCGTTTGATGGGAGAGCAAGCCAAGCACTTAATTTTATATGGAGGCACTTTGGTACCTACTTTCAAGTAATAAGCAAATCATTTCTCCAAATATATATCAGTTGTGAAGCAACCAAGCATCTTTCATTTTCGAACAAACTCCATAAGCTTAAGTAAAACCTTACATTTTTTTTATTATGTAATAAAGATTTGATTAATATTACTGTTTACTTGACTGCATTATTGTATAATTGCCGTGTCGATTGTATGTAGCTCGTTTGTTTTAACCGTCATGAATCGGAAAATCTGTCTAAGCCATATAAATGAAATAAGTGAATTCAGTTTATAAGCTAATTACCAAGAAATGATGTAAGAATGTAATATAATAGTTAATTGGTTGCTTAAGCAAAGTGTCACGTTCGCTATACAATTAAATAAACTAGAATATTTCGAGATATTCTATCAGTTTTAAATGAGTTTAACTGTCAGGCTCCAAACGCTAGACACACATGGAGGTTACCAGATACTCAGATAGTGTTTTTCCCTCATTTTGTATAATTAAAAATTGCCCTGTGCAAATCAATGTGTGAATATAAATCTTGATTTGGTCGGGCAGGCAGCTCGTTATATAATCGGAGTTAGTTGGATTGGATCGCAGTAAATAGCATTGAAATAGTTGTTTAAACATATAGCTTTTGCATATATATTCTTGATTATAATTACTACTCTGGTTCTCAAGTTATCCTAACCAAACTCATCAGTTATGCATGGCTTTATGATCCCAACATTTTGATTAAAAGGTTTAACATCAGATTACTATAACAAATAGCTCCCCTAGAAACGATTGGTGGCTTGCCAAAGATATCAACAATTATCTATACATAATAACATTATATTTAGTTACTATAATTATAATCCCTCAAAACATGCATATTTAAGATCAAATTATTTTTCCTTATTTTCCTCCTTCAGCTTCAGCTCGAAAATGATTGCGAAATGGAGAATTTTGGGCATCGTATTGCTGCTTGGAAACAGTATAGCTGCAAATCCTATAGCAGTAAAACCCGTGGTGGCTACTGAATTTATCATACTACACAATAATGATATGCATGCCCGATTCGAGCAGACGAATGCGAACAGTGAGAAATGCCCGCCTGAGGATGTCAGCAAGGATAAATGCTTTGGTGGCTTTGCACGTGTAGCCCACGAGTAAGTGAACTACGAAACCGAATTATAAATGTACCAAATGAATATTATCTCATTGCAGAGTTGGAAAATACCGATCAGACGCCAAAAATGGAGGGACTCCCGTGTTTTATTTGAATGCTGGTGATACGTATACGGGAACCGCGTGGTTTACAATCTTTAAGAATAAAATCGCCAGTGATTTTCTCAACAAACTGCAACCGGATGCTATGGTAAGACCATAAAATGTAGACTGTAATTAGCATTATTCAAAAAATAGTTTCAAAACTGTAGTCCCTGGGAAATCATGAGTTTGATGAGAAAGTCGAGGGTCTGATACCCCTCCTGAACGATGTGAATTTCCCCGTGCTCGCCTGTAATTTGGATCTTACTAATGAGCCCGAAATGGCTGCCACTAAGCATTTGGCCAATTCGACAATAATTGAAACAAATGGTACTAAAATTGCTGTAATCGGATATGTGACGCCAGATACGAAATTGCTTTCATTGAAAAACAATGTGGAATTCAAAGAAGAAATCGTTTCTATCAAGTAAGCTGGCGACTTTGATTTTGCAAACTGGTTTGATTCTTATACACTCACCTACTGTATCTTCATTATACTCACAGTGCAGAGGCGGCAAAACTGAAGGCTCAAGGCTTCAAAATAATTATTGCCTTGGGTCACTCTGGCTATAAAAAGGATTTGGACATTGCGGCAAACTGTCCGGAAGTCGACATTGTTATTGGTGGACATACAAACACCTTCCTTTTCAATGGAGAGAAACCAAGTGTGGAGAGTATTGATGGTCCATATCCCACGGTAGTTACTCAAAAGAGTGGAAAACGGGTGCCGGTAGTTCAGGCATACGCCTATACAAAGTATTTGGGCAAGTTACATGTGAAGGTTAGCGGAGATCTCATATACCAATAGAAGTGAATAACCATATATTTTGTTTTATTTTAATTGATAGTTTGATAAAGATGGTAATTTAATTGAATTCAATGGATCGCCGATACTACTCGATGCGGCTGTGCCACAAGACGAGGAAATACTTAGGCTATTGGACCAATACCGGGTGAATGTTACGGCCCTAGAGGAGTCGATTGTGGGCCATAGCAAGGTGTATCTGGAGGGACGAAAGATCGCCTGCCGTTCCGTAGAGTGCAATATGGGAAATCTAATCACCGATGCGATGATCTTCAGTCGAGTATTAGAAGATCTGGGCGGTGATTATTGGACAGACGCAGCGATTGCTCTACATCAGGGTGGAGGTAAGGCTTATTAAATGTGCATAGATAAAATTGTATAAAATGTTTCTCTTTATTCCAGGCATACGTAGCTCAATTGAAAGGAAATCCGATGGCATTATCACACAGAGCGATCTACTGACGGTCCTGCCCTTCGAGAATGATCTTTATGTGACGAGAATCACAGGCAAGGCGATTAGGAATGCCCTCGAGCATGCGGCTGCAGTTCGATATAAGGACTCCGACGGGGCATTCCTGCAGGTATCCGGTATCCATGTTGTCTACAATCCGGATATGCCCGAGGGCCATCGTGTGGTCTCCGTAGAAGTGCGTTGCGCCAGCTGTTTGGTGCCGATGTATAGCAGTTTAAATGACTCCTCCTACTACAATGTGATTGTGCCTCAGTTCATATTTGATGGTGGCGATGGCCATGTCATGATCGATGCATCCAATCCGGTGACGATGCGTATGCAGAAAACAATTCTTGAAGCTGTGCACCAGTATCTCAAGTATCACGACTTTGTCTATCCGGCAGTGGAGGGACGTATTGTGTTTAGAGGATCGGATGACTACAAATCGACAGCATCGTCCATTAGCATGATGAGCTGTGTGGCAATGATGCTCTTCTCATTGATAGTCAGTCGAGAATTTTAAGAAATCGCCATATAAATATTTCAATATTAATTGGTATTTAAATACTGAAAGCTTTTTAAAATTATTTTGAAAGAAAATGAACAAGCCATTTACATAAGCCAGTATTAATTGGTATTTGAATACTGAACTCTGTTTGTAACTATTTTTAGTTTATATGCTAAATTCCTTTTGTTCTATTGTGTGAGAAATATTTAAATCTATTTAACTCTGCAATTTCGAATTGATGACCAGTATTTTACTTATAATTTGTAATCTAATTTAATCATTTAATTTAAACAAAGTTTTTATTCGGCTTAAACCTATATTTTGAGCAGAAATACAAAATAAATTCATATTTGTATTTGAAATCATGTTATAAATATATACCAACTCGTCGGCCAGCTGCAGATATAAAAGCGCCAAAATACAACAACAACAACAACGAGTTCATTGTATGCATAAGCATATTAAGCGATTATCTACGATCGCGTGATAACGATAACGTGATCGCAAGCGAAAGACAGACAGCATTGCAAGAGCGTATCTAAATAAGTTGCACTTCTTCTATTCTGCACTCACTCCATCTCTCACTCTGTCTCTCACCCCGTCTTTCACTCCGTCCCTCACTCCATCTTTCACTCTGTCTCTCACCCCGTCTCTCTTAAGCACACACTTTTACAAACAGTTGTTGGGCACTGCACTGCGGGAAGTGCAAGTGTCTAGCGAAAATCTTTTCTACTCTCTCATTCTCAATTTCATTCGCAGCACTCACACTTCCTCTCCTCCTTATACGTGTGGGTGTTGCGCTGTAGTGCGGCTGCGGACGTCGTTGGAAACGGCTGACTCGCTGGCAGGTTGTGTTTTGTGATCTTCGCAGTTGTTGTGCGTACTACGTACTAATAAATTAAAAAATGGGAACATATGCTTAAATTTTGGATGTGTGTGTGTCTCTTAAGTTTACTTAACTTGGTTTGTTGTGGTTCTTTTTAGTTATTTTGCCTCCATCAGCTTCAGCTCGAAAATGATTGCGAAATGGAGAATTTTGGGGATCGTATTGCTGCTTGGAAACAGTATAGCTGCAAATCCTATAGCAGTAAAGCCCGTGGTGGCTACTGAATTTATCATACTACACAATAATGATATGCATGCCCGATTCGAGCAGACGAATGCGAACAGTGAGAAATGCCCGCCTGAGGATGTCAGCAAGGATAAATGCTTTGGTGGCTTTGCACGTGTAGCCCACGAGTAAGTGAACTACGAAACCGACTTATAAATATGCCAAATGAATATTATCTCATTGCAGAGTTGGAAAATACCGATCAGACGCCAAAAATGGAGGGACTCCTGTGTTTTATTTGAATGCTGGTGACACGTATACGGGAACCGCGTGGTTTACAATCTTTAAGAATAAAATCGCCAGTGATTTTCTCAACAAACTGCAACCGGATGCTATGGTAAGACCATAAAATGTAGACTGTAATTAGCATTATTCAAAAAATAGTTTCTTTAACAAAACTGTAGTCCCTGGGAAATCATGAGTTTGATGAGAAAGTCGAGGGTCTGATACCCCTCCTGAACGATGTGAATTTCCCCGTGCTCGCCTGTAATTTGGATCTTACTAATGAGCCCGAAATGGCTGCCACTAAGCATTTGGCCAATTCGACAATAATTGAAACAAATGGTACTAAAATTGCTGTAATCGGATATGTGACGCCAGATACGAAATTGCTTTCATTGAAAAACAATGTGGAATTCAAAGAAGAATCGTATCAAGTAAGTTGTCGCTTTTTTTCTATCATAGTAAATTTAATAGTCATGGATTGATGATGAAATGACGGAATTAAATATATATAAATATAAATATTTTCGACTTTGATTTATTATTTCAAACTAGTTATTGATTTATCCATTTGGATTATCACTTTCAGATAAAAAAGGGACCTACTGGTTTTCACTTTTAATTTTATACACTCCCCTTATCTTCATTATACTCACAGTGCAGAGGCGGCAAAACTGAAGGCTCAAGGCTTCAAAATAATCATTGCCTTGGGTCACTCTGGCTATAAAAAGGATTTGGACATTGCGGCAAACTGTCCGGAAGTCGACATTGTTATTGGTGGACATACAAACACCTTCCTTTTCAATGGAGAGAAACCAAGTGTGGAGAGTATTGATGGTCCATATCCCACGGTAGTTACTCAAAAGAGTGGAAAACGGGTGCCGGTAGTTCAGGCATACGCCTATACAAAGTATTTGGGCAAGTTACATGTGAAGGTTAGCGGAGATCTCATATACCAATAGAAGTGAATAACCATATATTTTGTTTTATTTTAATTGATAGTTTGATAAAGATGGTAATTTAATTGAATTCAATGGATCGCCGATACTACTCGATGCGGCTGTGCCACAAGACGAGGAAATACTTAGGCTATTGGACCAATACCGGGTGAATGTTACGGCCCTAGAGGAGTCGATTGTGGGCCATAGCAAGGTGTATCTGGAGGGACGAAAGATCGCCTGCCGTTCCGTAGAGTGCAATATGGGAAATCTAATCACCGATGCGATGATCTTCAGTCGAGTATTAGAAGATCTGGGCGGTGATTATTGGACAGACGCAGCGATTGCTCTACATCAGGGTGGAGGTAAGGCTTATTAAATGTGCATGATAAAATTGTATAAAATGTTTCTCTTTATTCCAGGCATACGTAGCTCAATTGAAAGGAAATCCGATGGCATTATCACACAGAGCGATCTACTGACGGTCCTGCCCTTCGAGAATGATCTTTATGTGACGAGAATCACAGGCAAGGCGATTAGGAATGCCCTCGAGCATGCGGCTGCAGTTCGATATAAGGACTCCGACGGGGCATTCCTGCAGGTATCCGGTATCCATGTTGTCTACAATCCGGATATGCCCGAGGGCCATCGTGTGGTCTCCGTAGAAGTGCGTTGCGCCAGCTGTTTGGTGCCGATGTATAGCAGTTTAAATGACTCCTCCTACTACAATGTGATTGTGCCTCAGTTCATATTTGATGGTGGCGATGGCCATGTCATGATCGATGCATCCAATCCGGTGACGATGCGTATGCAGAAAACAATTCTTGAAGCTGTGCACCAGTATCTCAAGTATCACGACTTTGTCTATCCGGCAGTGGAGGGACGTATTGTGTTTAGAGGATCGGATGACAGCAAATCGACGGCATCACCCATTAGCATTTAATCATTTAATTTAAACAAAGTTATTATTCGGCTTAAACCTATATTTTTCATATTTGTGTTTGTATTTGAATTCATGTCCTTTTTTCTACAATTTGCAATTGACAACTAAGCTAGCCTGGAAATTTATTTAAAAATTATTCGTATTCCAGTTTGTGCTTTAACTCAACACCTATTCGAATAAAAGTTGGTGCTCTATTAGGAAATATAATATATTTTGTAATGCGAGTCTTAATCCTGTTTCTCAGCTTACCTGTAAGAGTTATTATAAAAGGGTTATTGGTTTAGCACAAAAAGAATGGAGTCACTTTGCAAATATCGTTGGATTTGCATAATTATTTTATTATTGATAAAACGAGGAATTGGCTTTAAGTTAACCGTTGTACACAACAATGATATGCACGCTAGATATGATCCCATGAAGGGTTTCAGTGAGAATTGCCGCAAAGGAGAAGACGAGCAGGGATTGTGCTTTGGGGGCTTTGCTAGAGTAAAAACGGCGTAAGTTTCTGTCATGTTCATGAAAATACAATATGTCATAATATCTATAACTATTCCATTTGTTTTTTTTCCAGTGTGGAACAGATACGAACCGAGCGTACGACGCTGTTTCTAAACGCTGGCGATACTTTTCAGGGTACACCCTGGTATACATTGTTCAAGGGCGATTTGGCAGCCGATCTAATGAATATGCTTAACCCAGATGCAATGGTAGGTGCTCCTTGAACTTGAACTTCAATACATACTATTAACAAGGAATTCAGTCACTTGGCAATCATGAGTTCGATGACAAAGTCGAGGGCTTGCTACCATTTCTCAATAAGGTCCAGTTTCCCGTCGTTTGCGCCAATTTAGATTTAGCAAAGGTACCCAAAATGAAAGCCATCAAGAGTTTGGTAAACTCAATCATTATTACAAAATTCGAAATGAAAATTGGCATTATTGGTTACTTAACGCCCGAGACCAAAACTTTAGTTGCATTAAACGATGTGGAATTCTATCAGGAAATACCAATGATTAAGTAATTACTGTATTCAATTAGCTGTATTATTGAAATCTGATTTTATTGTATTTATGTCAAGTGGCGAAGCAAAAAAACTCACAAAACGAGGAGTCAAAATTATAATCGCTCTTGGACACTCTGGCTATCAGATGGATCAGGAAATTGCCTTGAGATGCAAGGATGTTGATCTTGTCGTCGGTGGACATTCGCATACGTTTCTTTTCACAGGAAGTCCGCCGCACAAGGAGAAATCGGCGGGCAACTATCCAACAGTGGTTATCAGATCAAATGGTCAGCAAGTTCCCGTTGTTCAGGCCTATGCCTTTACAAAATATTTAGGCGTACTCGATATGGAGGTGAGTTTTCGAAATTGATAAATGTTAATATAGAATATATCATATCTATAGAATGAGAGCAAAGCTCTCATCAAAGAATCTATTTACTGTAATATATTATTTGTTTACGAAATAGTTTGACAATGGAGGCCGCCTGCTCACATTCGATGGTGCACCCATTCTATTGGATCGCACAGTGAAACATGATTCTCAAGTCAAGGCTTTTTTGGACAGCAAGAGGCAGGCAATCGAAGAGCTTGAGGGTCAAGTGGTGGGCGTAAGTAAGGCCTACCTAGATGGCGATGGCTCTCATTGTCGGACAGGTGAATGCAATCTCGGCAACCTTATCACAGATGCCATTGTCTATGCTCGTGTTACTGAAAACTTGGGCGGTATTTATTGGACGGATGCGTCAATAGCGTTATACAACGGTGGCGGTATGTAATCCATTTTTATATGTCGTGTTGCACATGAATAATTATAAATTTGCGATAGGAATACGTGCGACTGTCGATTCGGGAGTTGAGGGAACTATTACGAGTGCGGATATTATCACGGTGTTACCATATAAGAATGAAATGATGGCCACCCGGATTATGGGCAAGGATCTCATCAAGTCACTGGAGTATTCGGCATCGTTGCGCAAAACATCAGCAAGTGGGGGATTTTTGCAAGTGTCTGGTATTCGATTTATTATCAACTACAATTATCCGAAGGGAAAACGCATTTCATCCGTCTATGTGCGGTGCTCCGAATGCAAGATTCCAAAATATGAGAATCTACATCAAGATGATTACTATTGGGTAATAGTTAGCAGCTATCTTTTGGGCGGAGGTGATGGTTACAGATATTTAAAGGACGCTAGACATCCACAGATCAGACCGCTGACACTTACCGATACCGATATATTAACCAAATATCTTCAGGAGCACAAAATTGTTTATCCCGCAGTGGAAAATCGCATAACTATTGTGGGGAAGACGCATCTCCGTAGCTCGGCAATCCAAATACAGGCTTCACTCATTCCATATGTTATGTATTCGTTATATATTCTTGCGCAAAGTCGGTTTTTGTAATTTGTGTAATATATAACTAGTGGCTACTAGTTTGGAATTATGCTCTAGAAATATATTAATATAAAAGTGCTTTCCTTCTTTTTTTTTAATTTCATGTAAGCCATTAAATTAGTAAATACCTAAAGTGGTAGATGTGAAGCTTTTAGATTTATAAAAGCTTGCAGCTTCTACTGATATTGATAATATTTGTACAGATCGTTTATATTTAGTACATGCCCGACATATCTTTAAAATTGTGATTTTTATTGCAATCGGTTAAAGCGACAAAGCTTGTGTTACTGTTCCGGAATATATATTTTATGGATCATTCAATACAGATTTCTTAGCCACTTTAAACGGGTTCTGATCTCTCTAATCTCTCCCATTTTTACCAGTAATGATCTGTTGGGACAGAGAATCTATAGCGTGTCTTTCTTTTGAAACGTTTGGACTCTTAAACGCTGCCATTAATTGACATCAATAGTTAAAGCAACGTCTAAGTAAGCATGTTTGTAATATGATCATCTTTGTCTGAGCTTTAGATCATTAGCCGTCTGATGCAGAGTTTCGCCAGCTTAACTTTTTTCCCCATTTTTCTTTATTTGTTAATTACTTTAGTCTCAGGGTCGTCGTACCGCCAGGTTGTGCATTGACCCTCCACTATATTATGGCGCCCTTGGGTGTAGACAGGTGTGTGTGAGTGTGTTTTCCTAAGCTCCACTCTGTAACTGACACGCACTGATAACTATGCTCTCCACTCTGCTCTGCTCTGCTCTGGTCTGCTAGATTAACGCTAAACTTGGCCTTCTTGGTCAGTCTTGGCCTTTGTAAGAAGTGTATGTAAAATCTGATCGGCTTGCCTAAGTAAATAATAAATCTTGGGCTCATCCTTTACAGCTCACTCGATGTGATAATGCTAACTCAGCTACATTTTCCATTAAGACAGTTCAGGATAATTTCCGTTGCAGTGCTTTGACTTCGCAACAGCTTCACATAAAATAAGTGTAGGACAATATTATTCCCTTGTTGACCGGTATTAAATGGTCGTTTCTATGAAAGCTATATGATATAGTAGTTCAATATTAAATTTTAATATAGTAATATACATATATAATAGGTATGGTTCAGGTATCTTGGTAAACAAAAAAGTTTTTCACACAAAAAATCAACTTATAATATCCTCTACAAGGGTATAAAATAAACATTCACATAATAAACGAATATTTATATAGTACATTTTAAATATTTTAAATGCATATATGCTTAAGTATATATACAAAAAATAAAGTCTGAACTCTGAACTGATAAGATTCTATTGCACTTTGGTCTCAATAATGAACACTCGTAATAATAAAAACATTTGCGAACTTTTTCAGCTAATTATTTATTATTATTTAAATGAGATAATTAATCAAATTTGAGTTGACATTTCTGTGTTGTTAATTAATCTAAAATTGATAAGCAGTTGCTATTAGTTTAGAGATTGTTTTGGCTACTGCGCACTCAACTGATCATGCCGAGGGGGCCCTTGTCAATTTGTCCCAGTGTGTATTAGAGCCGTAAGCGTTGAGTTGGGGCCCTTGTCTCAGTGTGGCTACCGGCGTGTTCCACTGATGCTGTTGTTGCTGCTGATGTCGTGAGAACTCGACATATTACATTACATATCTATATATATATATATATATTGTACATGTACACTTTGAGCTTGGGCTAAAGGCAGCAACTGATTTGGTCGTAGGCGACACTAACACAGTCAGTCAGTTTGTTAGTCAGTCAGTCTTTCTATCTAGTAGCAGGCAGCAGCCAGCAGCCACTCCAGCGGTCAATCATCATGGCCTAAGCCCCTGGCAACTGGCAACTGGCAACTGTAATTATGGCTTAAACACTGTCTCGGTACTTGATGTCAGCTGGGCTTTTGGATTCTCGCTTCTCCGTTCTTAGTTCTTTGGCTGGGCGGCGGTCAAGTGCAGAATCGGGCATTTTGCACGGCACTTTAGCTTTCAGCTATCAGTCATTCAGTTAGTCACGGTTCAAAGAGGTTCTTGAACTTACCCACACTCACATTCAAACACTCACACCCGCATTCACATTCACATTCACATACACATTCGTAATCGCATCCGCAATTCGCATTCGCATTTGTAGTCACACTCACATTGAATAGTTGGCTAAAATGCTGAGATGTTGGCGGTGGCATTTCAATTACGCAAATAGACTCGCCACTATTTATGCTAGTGTGTGTGTGTGTGTGACTACACTTAGCGAAATATGGAAATTATTGTAGGGAAATTGGATAACCAAACTCTTGAATTATAAATATTCAAAGCATATATTCAAGGGGAAAAAGAGTTAACAATTCAAGCCCGATAGTACTTGAGATTTCTCTGAGTGTACACGTATGAGTGAGTGTGTAATGACTCTGTCCGTGCAAGAAAACAGGCCTGTGCCCATCTGTCGGATCGTCAGCTTGCCACAACTAGGTATAAGAATTGTATAATCGTCTCAACTGTTTTTGCTGCCCATTTAAACGGTAAAAGGCAACTTCCGTCTTTGAATTTCGTATTTTGATATTCGCTGCACTGCAAAAAAGCCCTAATAGCCATATTAGTTTATTGCACAGCGAGAAAGAGACAGATAGAGAGAGAGAGAGAGAGAGAATCTGTGTTCTGTGCATCCATTGTGAGCCAGTTTATTCAATTTGAGACACGTTGCAGATCATGTAGTCAGTCGTGTTAAGTATACTTGGTAGTAGTATGTAGACTAACAACTAACAGTTAAGAGCGACAAATTAGTTTAAATAATCTTCATTCAACGCGATTTTCGTGTTGGCCTGTTGCAGTTGTTATTTTAGCTTGGCCTTTAGTTGTTAGTGCTGTTAGCTGTTCCTGTTGGTCGTGATTTTTGTGCCCAGTTCGCTGGAAACGCTGAATTGGCTTCACCTTTTGACATGGAATTCGAAATGACGTGAATCACACAAAGAAGAACTCAAAACTTTGTTACTGCTATTGCTATTGCTGTTGTTGTTGTTGCTGTTGTTGCTCAGACATCATCGACTTGGGCCAAATTTGCCTCGTCCTCATTCTCTTTGATTGCCAGCTAGTTTTACCAGCTTTACTGTGCAACCATAGCCCATTAGGCACCAGGCAACTATCATTGGGAATGGGGCATCGGGCATCGGGCATCGGGAATCGGGCATGCGAAAAGCTCATTTGCCTCGTTTGTGTCTTGTGTCTTTTTAGCTTGGCTTAGTGATCGAAATTATTTACCGTTGATATGGTTATGGTCAAGGCAAAAACAAAAGAAATCGCTTGCTCGCTGTCAAAGCGTTCAATAAGAATCAGCAAGATCCCAGATAATATACCCTAGCATGCAGATATAACAACCTTGTCACGTTTTTTGTAACGCATGAATAAGTGCATTTATCAACTTATGAGCTGTATACATAAAAAATACATATTGAATTAAGATAAGAAACATATCTCATATATCTATAGCTGTGGATATATAGGCAAAAAAGTAACAGATTGCAGTAAAGATTAGATACAAATATATATATATAAGTAATGCTTTTGAGAGTATTCAGCTTTGCTCAATTCAAAACTGTGTAATGTATTTAATGATCTTTTCGTTATTTAACTAAACAGATAAAATCATAATTAGATTTGAAACCATTTCGATTTACAGAAAAAAAAACATTTTCTTATGAATTCCATTCAGCCTGCTTTTTAGAGCACATCACTTATATTTATATTTAAATAAACTCATGAAAGAAGGCGATCAAAATTGGATCTGTAATTTATATCAACTCTATTCTAGTGATAGGAGTCTATATAATTTAATATCCACCTTAATATGTATCGATTGTATTTTAGTAGAATATTTTGCGGGAACAAAAGGGATTTCAGCTGATATTAGAATGATTACTTCGCAAAGTAAATTTCTGTCTATAATAAATATTTGTAAATATCTTGGTTAGGGCATCTAAACTTCGACAGCGTCAGAGTTCATATCTTTTTCGTACAGCATTGTCTGCAATTTAGTTCGAGTTAATAATTCGTTTGTTATGCTAAGCATTTATTGCAAATACTGGCCGCGATTCCGCATATTTTAATAACTTATTGCACAGAATTCGATGAGGCTGTGCATATGAATTTATGTATGAATGAACCGGAGGGTCTGTTCTGGTTTGTTTATGTGATTTTGTGGGCTTGGCCCTCACGACACGTGGCCTAAGTGCTGGCCAAGATGCAAATGCTGATGACCTTCGTGGATCAAGGACACGATAACTGAACAGCGTCCACTGGGATGGGATAGTTAGGCGAAAATAATTGTGGAACTGCTGTTGCTCTTGTCCCAAAATCAAGACATTGGATTTGAAATCATGCATGTGGAAATATGATGTGGTCTTCAGAACAGTTTCAGCTTCAACTTCAGCTCGATGTCATTCCTGATGGCAGTAAGAGATCCAGAAAGACATCCGTATTCGGTTTGGGTACACTCGAAGAAAAAATAATGGTATTCTAAATTCAAGTACAATTGGAAGAGGACAAAACTCCCCAAAAGAATTACATAGTTGATAAAAATTGGAAAATTAAATGAAATTGAATTAAATTAGTATTAAATTTAGAATATTTAATTATGCATATTATACAGGAAATTGAGTTAAACAAATCGTGGAATAATATTCAATTAAAAATAAATGTATTATTCATATTAAATTGTATAAAGCGGATTGTGCATTAGTGATTAGTGCCTTTTAAAAATATCAATAAAATAAAATAGAATTTCTACAGATTTGTATTTTAGATAGTAGGAAATACTCTTTGCAAATCATTTTGAAGCAAGTGTTAAAAGTTCAAGTTCAAAAGCTTTTATTAGTGAATAAAGCGCATTTTATGTAATTTTAAAATAATATCAAGGGTGATTATTGAGTATTTAAAATAAGTTTTAAAGTGAGTAGAAGATCTGCTTGAAATAAGATGATTTACACAAATTTTTTTTGATTATTTTTTTTATTAAATTTTTTTTATGCAAGTGTAAAATGCTTAATCCTTTGACTTCATGCGGAAAATCTACCTGCATACTATTAGTTGTTGTTTTTGTTTTTTGTTTTGCTTGAAGCCATCCCGCTGGCTTTTGAATAGGTAGCATGCCATGACCATGTCATCATCGTCATTTCTGAAGTTGACGCTAAAGTGGTTTGTGAATATACTGGATATACAGGAGCAATGCACGCACCTGAGAGATACAGATTCAAATTTTTATTTACACCAGTGTGTGTGTGCGAGTGTGTGTGTGTGTGTGTGTGTGTGTATTGGTTAGTTTGCAAAAATAAAGCGAACGTTGCCAGCTCGTTGCTTGTCTGCGTGCTGTTGCCAAAGTCCGTTTGCAAAGTCGAGGATTTCTACCAAAAGGCGAATTAAATTCCTCAATCTTGTGCCAAGTTTATTTTTAGATCCCGAACAAGTCACTGCGAAAACTAGCAATGAAATAAAGCAGAGAAAAAAGGGATACAACAGCAACAGCAACAGCAACAGCAATAACAACAGCAACAACAACAACAACGAAGATGAAGTCGAAGACGAAGACGAGCCAACAAAGCAAGCACAAACACAAATGGTGAAGATCACAAGATCAACTAGAAGCTGCAGCAGCCGTGGCAGCCGTTGCAGCCGTAAAAAAACCCAGCGAGGAAGAGCAACATGTATAGATGGATATGGATGAATGCTGTTAAGACGAAGGCCATCCAAATAGTTGCCTTTAGAGGGTAAACTCCCAGCCCCATCCAGCAGCAGCAGCTACAGCAGTAAATCCAGATAGCGAGGAGCCAACTGACGCGACGCGGCGGTCACATTAAACTGAATGCGTCGACAGGCGTCAGCGTCAGCGTCAGCAGTGGCAGCGGCAGCAACAGCGGCGTCGGCCCGGCGGCAGCTTCGACAACAGCAGCAACCAACAGCAACAACGTCAATAAACGTTACACGTAGGGCGACCCAAAATCTTGGTGCGTTCCTCGATAGAATTTTGATTGCCATACGCACGCACAGTCTCAGACATGGGTGTAGTCAGGGGTTGGAAGAGGTGGTTGCCCCTCTTGCAACCCACCACCCCCAAATCTTGAACGAAATAAGGTTTTCTAAAGCAAAGAACTCTTTGAACTTTTCAGCAAATATTTTTGGTATTCAACTTAAAGAATATATATTATTGAACTACAAATTAATCAAAGCAATTTTTTTTCAATCCAGAAAGTTTTTCTTAATCGAAGAAATTTTTAATAATGATAACCGATGATAGCCGCGAAAATTTTGTTGATTTGAACAACTAGCTAATTAATTAGAGATTATGATCATAAACTTATTCAATTATAATTGAAAACATATGATATGTTCTTTGAATTTTTACTACATTTTTTTGTTTTGTTTTTATTAGTGTAACATAACATAAAAGATGCATTTATTAGCCATTTAAAGTGGATAGTTAGATAAAGTTTATTTTTCATGACTTATGAAGTTCTTCAAAGTTTTTATGATGTACGTTGCATGTGATGGGTTGCCCAACCCCCTCCCCCAAACTACTTAAAACTCTGGGTACGCCCAAGGGCCCCAGCTAAATCTTAGGCTAAAACTTAAGCTGCTGCCACGGATTCAGTGCCAACTTTTTTTTTGCTGCTGACGCCCAGCAGCAGTCAACAGCCGCCTAGATTCAAGCTGAGGTTAAGCCACAGCCCTTTCGGACCCTACTACTAAGTACCCGTCCCACAACCATAGTCATCGCGATCGCCATCGCCATAGCCATCTCCATTGGCAGTGGTCGGCGATCGAAGGAGGGCCTGGCAAAACTGGGAAAATTAATGCATTCCATTTCCCATGACTGTTAATCACCTGGCCATTATTATATTTACTCGTATTCGCTGCTTGTATACTATAATTATACCCCACACACACACTCACCAAAACCCAGCTATCCCGACCATCCAGGCCATCCACCTATTTACCCATCCATGTGTCGAATTGGATTAGCTATTGATTAAGAAGACCCTGCGGACTATGGGACACCATGAAAGATGCCACAGTAAATAAATAATGCTAGCAAGGCGATGGTGTAATAAATTAAAACGAATAACTTGGCCCTTAACTCATCTTTTTATTTTTAGCCTTATTCCTGTTAAGCCTGAAGCGAAAAGAAAAATCGTCAACAACCTAAAGATTCTTATATATAATTATGTAATTTAAAAAGAAATGAGAAAGATTAGCCAAACTTAAAATATTCTTAATAAATTAAATGTGTATTTTCATTTAAATTAAAATAAAATAATTAAGTCATATACAATTTATTATAACTCAAAACGAAACTAGAAATAAATAATTGTTAACATAAATTATTAATTATAAAAAAAGAAACTTATTTCTTATATTAATATTAACTTGAAATTTAAATTCGTATTCTTAGCCAAATGAATTTTACATATGTAAGTAGTAGTTATGAAGGTTTAATGGACATTACCATATTATATTGCGGGGCTTTTTCGTTCTATCTTCTTGCAACTTGATGGCATTTTTGTTTGTTGGTGGGGGCACCCGCAGAATTATTGTCAAAATGCAAAAGAGAAGATGATTATTACATTTCACGCTTCCAGGCAGGGATCGTAAAAGCCGAAACCACAAACCAGTCGAAAAGACGAACGATGACTGCGACGTCGACGGCGAGTACGACTGCGACAGCGACGCTGACTGCGATAGCGTACCAAATTAATGGAACCATCGCGCAGGGCTGGAGCTGTAGCTGTAGCTGTGTTGCACGGGCAGGTGGAGTGGGGGGAGGGGAGCGGAGACAAGACCAGGTAAGAGAAGTGGGACCAGCAGAACCTAAAACCAAGCCCGACGTTGTGGGAGAAAGAATAAAACTAACAATGAACAGCGGACTGCGACTGCGGCTGCGGCTGCGACTTCGACTGCGACTCCCATTGGAATGATGGGCAGCAGCGAAGACGACGTGCAGTGTGTGTGTGTTGGTGTGTGTGTTGGCGTGTGTGTGTTGGTGTGTTTGTTGTTGTGTTTGGTATTTTGGTTTTGGCCCGCTTGTCTGTACCTTTGCAGCGATGGCAGCGTCGCGGCTTTATTGCGCTCTTTGTCTACCAGTGAGTTCTCGGGCCGCAGCGAAGAAGACCAAGAAGTCACATCAAGCCACACGATCGCAAGCACGCACACACCCAAACAAACACACACACACACACACACACTCACACACATACAAACTGATACACGCACAGCGTTCCAAACGTTCCTGGGCTGGCAATCACACATCCACGAAATGCGCAAATAGCAGTTCGGCTTTTGGGAATGGAAATGAGTTCGGGTTTGACTGTGGAATCGAGCTCGGGTTAGTTCTTGTCTTTTCTTTGCTGCTGGCCGCTACACTCAGAGAAAAAGATGTTAAACTGTGTACTTCCATCAAGCCCACACAGAGAATGCAATTTTTATTTCTAGAAGATTTTTTGTAACAACAAAATATCACTTTAAATATGTTGTTTTCTTTAAAAATATTATATATAAATTAAATACTGATAATATTTTTGATTAATGATTAAATTATCAAGAATTAAAACGTTTCACACTTCACTTTCCATTTAAGCAGCAATTGATATTTAGTATTGTAGAAAATCAGTTGGAAGTTCTATACCATTTGTTTCTCTGAGTGCACTGTCACATTTATGTTGGTGTTTGTATTCTTTGGCTTGCTGCTTTCCATTGCTAGCTCATTCATTCATGGTCACACATATATGTGATGCATATGAATTGGCCCTAAGGCCTCTGTCCGCCAATTTCCTTTTTAAGCTAACAACGTGGCCCTCTTCACGACATTTACCATTGTGTACTTGGCCAGGCAACAACCGCACTAAACTCCGAACCGAACACTATTTAGCCGAAAGACATCAAGTTCTATTTGTGTGTTCAGTTAGTGCAAGGATTCCAGACGCCTTCAAGTGTCTGTTTCTGTGTCTCTCTCCCTGTCTGTGTGTGAGTGTGTTAATTTATTTGTGAGTGTTAGTGTGTGTGCCTGTGTGTGTGTGTGTGTAAGAGTTGTTGGGTGCGAGTCATCGTCCATCGTCCATCGTCCATCGTCGTCTCAATTCGTGTCGTGCAGCGCGTATTGGAAGAGGAAGTTCACACTGTGACTGGAAACTGGAATTGGAAGTGTTGGCGTTCTGTTTCTTCTTCAGCTTCTTGACGGCTCGCGGTTGCGTGATATAGCCTGGATATCAGTCAGTTCAGTCGAAGGCTTACAGTGAACGCGTCGAAAAGTGCCAACGGTTGCTTCCTCGATCTCAACAGCTTCATCGCGTTCGTCGTTATTATAACCACTTGAAGTAACAACCATGGCCAAAATCATTTTGTTTTGTGTGCTCAGCCTTTTGGCATGCGCTGCAGGTTAGTATTAATAAATACATCAAAAGGCTAATCATAACTATTATTATTAAGAGCTTCTTCAAAAAATCGAAATTTCATTTTATTAGATTTCAGAATTTCAAATAACATTTCTTCTTTACAATTCTATATTGAAGTGACAAAGAATATTTGTATATTGCTTGATGAATGAAAAGAAGTAAACAGTTAAGAAACAATGATTTTCATATTTGGAAATTTGAGTATAATAACCAAATTACATTGATTATTATTATTATAAGAATAAATATATGACAATTTTAAAAGTTACAAGATAATTATATAATAAGGCTTAGAAAGATATTTAGATATTCACAGGGGCTCATAGACAATAGAAATGGATAAAAGAAATCACATCATTATTTTGTAGTCTTTCGAAGTGTTTTTATTTTTCTTTATTTACTTGGGAAATTTTGCAAACTTTGACTGGATTATTAACGTCTTTCAACTAGTTTTTGTATTCATTTGCTAACTTAAAGCAGTTTTCTGCTTGTTGTTTTTCATTAATGAATTTTGTTCGTTCTCTCGGACTACATCTTTAGGCGATCATTATAATAATGATTGTGAATAATCATTTTGCCTGGCAACCGGAGGGAATTTTGGTGCCAACAAATAACTAGGCTTAGCATCATTTGATTACATTTGCGCCTCGAGCTACTTAGATCAGGATCTGAGCCGAGTACAACCAGAACTGACTGCGACTCTGACACTGACTCTGAGTGCATCATTAGAGACGTGCTAGATTCGTGGTTCTATCATCTACCTGTAGCGGGATCCCCTCAGCGAATCGTAATTACCTCGAATTATAGTGCTCAAGTGGTTTTGGAGACGGCAAACTGGGAGTGCAACCAGAGAACAGTTCAATTATTGTGTTGGTCGATGGAAGTTTATGTTGTTCATTTCCAAGTCTAAGCCTCCAATTCATAGTGGCTATTTTTTGTTTTGATTTGGACTGATTAATTCAATCAGAGTTGCGAATCCATTCGAAGCAATTGCATTTCCTTATTGTAATTACTATTATTATTATGAAATTGTAAGCGAAGAGAGAATCGTTTTTTCATGATCTACGAGGCCTGTAGCATTTTTTCTAGTTTTATTTTTCGATGGTTTCTTGTGCCTTAAAAATTCGATATTTTTTTTCTCTCTTTTTCTTTACTTTTATATTAATAATAAAATAAACAAAATATTCAAGTATCGGTAGCTAGCTTAATCCTTAAACTAAGAAAAAAATAAATATCTGAATAAATTTAATACAATAATTTTAGGGAATCTGCTCTATGTCATTCTTAATTTGATAGTATATCATTTACAGTCGGTTTAATTACCAATATGAAACTGCATATTCCTTGACATATTCCACTTGACAAAAGAACGCAGACAGAAGATATACATTGTATTATTAATGTGTGTGCCTGTCAGTCCTTCGTTTACTTAATGAAATCAGAAGACTTTGACTTCGTGTGTGTCTTGCATTTAAATCGCCGGAAATAATTTCATATACAAACACTCACACACACACTTGGTCGGACATACACATACAAAAAGACAGATAGTCGGACAGACAGACAGACAGACAGAGTGGCAAACATTGGGCCCTCTGAGAGTCGATATTTAGCTACACATAAAGCATACTCGCTTACCTATCCATGACAAGTTCCATAAATAGGCAACTGTCCGCCGAGGCAGTCTTCCGTTTTAGCTGCGGGGCACCGATTCAGAATCGAAAACGAAAATGAGTATCTTCGGCATCGGAATCGGCATCAACATCGGCATCGGCAATCGTCATAGGGTGTTTGTCTTTAAGCCCAACACAAACACACACAGTGAATACGGTTTGTTGTTGTATTTGTTTAGCACGCTCCGACTGACTGGCCTAAACAGAGGACCCAAGAGAGAGAGAGAAGGAGAGAGAGAGAGAAAGAATAAGAGGGATGACCCTTCCAGCTACCTGTTGCCCCATGTCCGAAACCCAAAGCATTTAAGTCATTGTCATCTTGAAGATCGTCTTCTTAATGAAAGCATAGCGATTATATAAGATGAAGATGAAGATGGAGATGAAGATGAAGAAAAACCCCACAAATTATAAAGAAAATAAAAATCTAAGATTCAGTTACTTTCTTTCTTGGTGCCCTCTGAGCTAATTAATGTCATCAGCGCCATTATTTTTCATAGGATTTTACGTAATTAGCTTTTGTATCTTTTGCATCTGTATCCGTATCTGCTTCGGCCGGGTCAGAGACCGTTAAAGCTTCTGGTCATCATCATCATTAGCAGTGAAATGAATCATCCAGACACATGAAAACAATCAACAATGACAACAACTCCCCAACGACATTCCAGTCCAAGAGTCCAAGAGTACGGCTCTTTGCTTTTATAGACATGGTTCTGTTTTGTCATTGGTATTGCTCGTTTTGGTAATCCTATTTAATGATATTTACTTTGAATATCTTTTGTCGGCCGATTACGCATGCGATGCCGAAAACCGAAACCGTTACGGTTACAAATTGCGATTACTCAGTATTCAGAGCGGTATCTGTCTCTCTATTTGGGGGGAGTTCATTGACCACAGTAGACCCCTAGTTCCCCAATTTTCACAGTCTGAGCATTAACTAATTCTGTTTTATTATTTCTTTATTTTTGGAATTGGATTGGTCTCTTTGTTCTTCTATTCTTATATTTATACATTTTTTTTGTATTTTTTTTTTTGTTTTTGTGGTTAGGTCAACGCATTACGACCATACATCTGGATGGTGTGCAGTACTTCATTAGTCGGATGAATCCGTACTCCCCGGAGCTGAACTACTTCCTGGCGTATCAGTATTGCCGATCGCTGGGATTGCAGCTGGCCTCGTTCGAGACCAAGGAGAAGGCTGAATCGATGACCACGTATCTGAAGAATGCCGGTTATGGCAATTATGATTTCTGGACATCCGGAAATCGCTTGGGCACGGGCATGTTCCTATGGATGAGCACCGGACTACCGTTCAATGCGACCTTTGATTTCTTCGAGAATTCGGCCGATGCCATCCAGGCTGGACTGCTTGATCCCGTCGATCACAATAGCAACACTTCGCCGCAGCGTACGGCACGCGACAGGTAAGAGATCCCTGGATGTTCTCATCCTTGTTGTCATCGCATCATGTTTCAGTTTGCAGCTACTTGAGGCTACCTTAAACCATTTCATGCACTTTTTTCTTCTCTTTTCTTGTTTATGTTATTATAGCAGCAGTGGTGCCGAGAAGGGTTGCGTCATCCTGAAGCAGCCGACGCTCAAATGGATGCCCGAGGACTGCTCGGCCGTCAAGGATTTCATTTGCGAGCAGACTCGTTGCTATTATTACAACTATGGCAGCATTCCGGTCTCGTCTGCGCAGGGGTAAGGACAACTAGAGAGAGAAAGAGAGAGAGAGAGAAAGAGAGCATGAGGCGCCACTAAAAACAAACACGATTATAAAAACAAGCAACAAAAAAAAAAAAACACAAAAATCAAAATAAAAATCATATATATAAACTTAAATCAAATAACTGAATTACAATAACAATTTACCCCTTTCTTAAGTATAAACTCATAATAAATCGCTATACGAATGCTAAAGTTTCACTCTAAGCGAATGTCCTTAATTAAGATAAACAAAAACAAAAGCAAAAACAAAAAACAAACAAACACACACAAAAACGAATAAACATACATATATTTATAAACACCTAACGCAATTGAGCAAATTGATAATAATACGTGATTAATCAAAGTTAATTTAGTTGACCACAAACGAAAAAAAGAAAAAAAAACACACACACTCAAAATTACACGATTACAAAAATGGAACAAAACGCTAACGAAGCGTTCAGTTCAGAAAGTAATACAAAACTAAATCAAATAGGTGAGCTAAACCCCAAATCGTTAAACTATACAATTTACTACACACAAACACACACATATGCAGATTCTGGAAATCGGTTCAGAATCTGGATATCTGTATCTATGTTTAAATACCTAATACAGAAGACTAATGCGCAGCTATCAGCCTATTACTAACTAAAAGTTCACAACAAATCAATTCTCAAAAATAACTGAAAAAATATCACGAACAATTTTGCAAAGAAAATACAAAATGAAAACTTTGTGCAATCAGCTAGGAAAATGATGAAAATGAAAATCGACAATTTCAAATCTGTGAAACTTGAGAAAAACATAATAAACTCAAAGCAAAAATTGGTTTTAAAAATGAATTAAGACTCATTAGTTTCCTTTGCCGTTTGCACAAATATATTTTGGGGCCATTTGAGCGCCACTTTCGAGACTCCTGCTAAAAAGTGGTGGTTTGGGGCTTAGCTTTTCCATAGTTGTTGTTGTTGTTGCCAATTGCTGTTGTCACCAAGATTTGTGTTCAACTAACTAACTTTAGCTTCAGACTCGCTCTTTCGCACTAACCCAATAATGCCAAGCTCGCTGCTAGTCGATCGACATATGTGCACACATATCTAACTATACATACACTCAGAGAAAAAAACCAAGTCAATTTTGTACATCAAGTATGGAAATCGTAGACCAAAGAACGAAGTTCTAAAACTAATAAGCCAAGTAGGATTTCTCTTATTAAGCAGATGCGATGTTAACAAATGTCCAAGAATTTCTTAAATCAAGAGCTTGCTTACTTGAAATAAGTTCTTTAATTATGAAAGGTAGTCAAGTAACTCAATCATCCCAGAAATGATCTATGTTGAAAACTAAATCAAATTAAGTTTTTTTTTTTGACTTAATCTTTTAACTTTTAGGAGTTGTTCTTCTATTTTTTAATCATAAAAAAAGACATAGGAATTTGAACGTATTAAAAATGTAATTTTACTGAATTTTTAACCGTTTTTTTCTCTGAGTGTATTGTAAGTGGTAAGTGTGTGCATATAAAATAAATAAATGCCATAACACATAAGTGTCTTTAACTGAAGTCGTTCTTTGTTTCTTCGTGTATTCCTTTATCCTCATCGCCTCCGATTGTAGACGGCCCATCACCTCGACGACTCCACGCACACCCGCCGCACTCGTCAAGCTGCCGAGTACAACACCACTGCCTCTGCTCATGTCCACCAGCGGCAGTCTGTTCGCCAAGCCAAAATCATCATTGGTCGGCGACAGCTCCTCGGATGCCTCTCAGCAGCCGTCGACGGTGTGGTTCAAGCTGAATCACGATCGCTCGCTGGCCGATGCGGCTGCTGCTGCTAGTGATGTGGATGCCGATCTGGAGGCGGATGTTGAGGAGCACGACGATGCTGACGGCGATACTGATTTCGATGAACATGAGCACGAACACGAACACGAAAACGAGCACGAGCACGACAATGGCGTTGGTGGAGATTCGTCCGGTGAGCATGCGCGCGAGTTGAGCGATGGCGATGACGTCAAGGAGCACGTTTTTCCGCTGAACGACAATGAGCTGCACAACGAGATGCATTCGATTGAGGAGCTGCAGTTACAGTTGCAGCAATCGCATGATGATCACGAGGAGGACACGGCCGATGCGGATGCAGATCATGAGTCCGATGCGGAAACTGATCCTGAGACAGACTCGCACTACGAGTCGTCGGCCAGGCCAGATGCGTTGCCCAGCACCACGGAATCGCCAGCGATTGAGGTGCGTCTCAAGCAGATTGCACAGGATTTTGAGAAGATGACCAGCTCGCAGGAGCTGCAGCGTGCTGCTGTGGTCAGCAAGGATGAAATGACGCCACAATCATCGCTCTCGCTAAGTGATCTGATACGCACACTGCGTCCCAATGAGCAGCAAATCATTCCACAGATCGACTCCGACTACTCGAATGCCATGCGTGTCCTGGGCAAGACATCTGCCGTCGTCCTCAACAACAATAACAACAACGAGGATTCGCGCAAGTTCAAAGTGTTGCCAGAGCCACACAGCTTCTAAATTGAGGAGCGGGAAGATGATTGGGCCACTGTTTGTTGGGTTCCACTGAGGAATGTTCATTTCTTGGTAGGCTATTGAAATGACGCTTCTCTCTGCGGACCCCCAACAGTTTATACTATTACTCCAGACTCTCCCTGTAGAAATTAAATGATCAACTTTAGAGTGAGTGAGAGAAGGATAGTGAGAAAGAGAGCTTAAAAGAGTTAAGATACACACTTATTTACTGCTTAATTATACAAATACATATACTATATGCTTTAATTGTATGACAAAACACAAAAAAAAAACAAACAAACTCTTGATTAATAAAAACGAATTTGGTAAATGTAAAATTGAGAATTATTCTTCCTCTAGGCAGTCTGAGCACTAAAGCCAAGCTGTGATTTATTTGTACTCATCGCAGTATAGAGCCTAAAAGCCAATAACCATAAATTATGTGTTAAACTCTAAAGCGTGGCTTGTGGAATGTTGTTGTTGCATTTATTCCTGGCTTAGTTCGCCAGAGGCTGCAAACTATCATCATCATCATCATTATGATTGGGGCTTGGCTTGTGCTCGGCAAATGTGCAAATCATTTTTCTTAATTTTAAGAGGATTTCAAAGAGTTGACGCTAGCGCATTACACAATATTTTATGTGTTGCTTCATTTCATTGTTGGATGAAGGCGAGACTGAAAATGAAGACGTGACGGACCGGACACTGGACTCTGGACACTAGATAGATAGCTCACAGTGGACGGAACACATTAAACAGAAGAAGACTCTCCCACCCGCCATTAGCATTTTTCTCTGCCTTTGCCAGCATCTTCAATTTCTTCTTTTTATTGTGCTTTGGAAACAGACACAGACACAGACGAAGTCGAAGGCGTCTCTGACTTTGACTTGAAATCTGAGTTTGTTTGATGTTCGACTGACTGAGCATGTTGCTAACACACTCAGAAAAAACTAAAACTCACAAGCTTGTCTGAATGTTAAAAAGAATCACATAAAAATATCAACATTCCAGTTTATTTTCGAGTTGATTTATATTTTTCATAACTTCAGCAGTAAAGTTATCTGAAAGTTGAATTTACTTTTGTTATTTTGTATTGTATAATTGTCGACTGAAGACAATTGTTTTAGTTTTAAATAAAATATTAATGAAAAGAAAGAAAATCAAATTATTTTTACTTGTCGATTAGGAATTAAGGACAATTACCTAAAATATATTCACAGATTTATAAATTCAATTTATGATTATTATTTCTTAAAATCACAATATAGTTGTGGTTCTCAGAGCAGTTTTAGTTCCACCTCACATCTTTTTTCGAGTGCACGGAAAGTGGTTAATGAAAGGAGTCTATACAGTTTTACGGCTGTGCATATGTGTGTACACTGTGTACACACACAAATGGGGAGATACTGACACAGACAGAGAGCCACAGAGTTGAAGTTCTGAAGACAACCTTGAAAAGCAAGGTAGGGTCCAACGAACGTACATAAAAAGTTTCTCTTTTGCTGAAACGGCAATCTCAGACCACTCACAAAAAGGTAAACATTCCTCACGTACATGTTTGAAAAGCTGCAGCAGCCACAAAAACAACAATAAGAACACCAGCAACAGGTAACTGGGATAATTGAGAGCGGAACTTAAGAAGCATTTTTCATGCTTTTCACTTGTCCTACAAAGTGCGAACAAAATGTATCATAAGGTTGTTTTATGCCATAAAAGATCATATCTAATTCACCAAGAGCTAAAATGTGTGTTAAAATTCTTCTGAGCTCTGTGCATTCGATAACCTGTACATAACATAACTTTAATAATTAACTGAATATATACATAATTTTTTCAATGAAAAAAGCTTAATGCTTTAAAGTACTGTAAAATGTAATAATTCAATTATAATTTTTGAGATGACCAATAATTTGGCTCATCTCCGGTGGATTAAAGCCAACCCATTACTGAAGAGCCTCAAGAACTGAGACTCGCAGCCCGTCCTTTGATTCAACCAACTATGAGATCGATTTTGATAAATTAAATTGTCATCAATCAAAGTTACTTTCTATATATAATTAAACCTAAATATAATCAAACTTAAAGAAAAAAAAACATTAAGTAATTATAACCATACATTAAAGGTAATTAAATCTAAATAATAGTTGATTGGTTGATTAGGGACATCGCTTTATGCTCAGATCAATGAATTTTAATCGCACGTTTTAATAATATTTCATTTGAGCGTATGCGCCATCTATATATCAGTTGTGGTACTATTACTACTACTATCACCGAATTGATCGCTCATAATATGATTCATAGATGGAAATTGGTCTTTGGATTTGTAGCTGGGTATTTGCTTGTCGATCACTCTTCAGAACTCTTATTTTCAATTAACAGCTTCGTTTTCTGTGTGATATCTGAAATGCACTTTATTAAAGTATACGCATACATGATACACAATTGCGTTATAAATCAAGTGAATCAACAACAAAAGAAGTTTTGCCAGTCATAAACACAAAATCACAGCACATTGATTGATTGCCTCAATTAATAAGATATATGTATGAAATATACCTTGTGTTACCTCATGAAATAATAAGGCTACATTTTAAAATTAACATTTAGAATGATTAAAGTTAAAATAATATTTTTTTGAAACAAATTTGAATATTAAATTGCCTCCCATAATTATGTCACTCCTTCTGAATTTATTACTTAAAAGTAAGGAAATGAATATTCAAAGTTATATAATACATTACAGTATTATGAAATTAATTATCATTATTATTAAAACAGAAATCAACTGGTTGATTTTAAATACTGAACTAACTGGTAAAACTCAAATCACAAAAAATTTGATTATTCATAATCATATGAAAATTATGGACCCAATAAAAAACAGATGGAAACGAATTTTTTTTCTCTGTATAATTTTTGCATTGTATGACAATAATTAAAAAGTAATTAAATAATAACAACCAATAAATACTGAAGTCAATAAACTAGAACAACCGTTATGCGTTACGTACATGCAGAATAGACTCATGCCATCCCTTTCTTACACACGCTGATAATAGTGAGATCAATATGTTAATCCATTTTCAACTATAAGTGTGGTATTTCTTATCCGGTCTTGAGGAAATTTGTCCAGTTGATCAATAATATGTATATGTAAATCAATTAAAAGTCTCTGCCTTTAAAATTGGGGCTTTTATTGCTATCGGTAAAACGGAGTAAACAGAGGAAGTTTTCAATCAAATGAAAAAAAAATAACTTGATCTGCCCGAGGATGTTACATACGTTGGCACAAAACTATTACACCCCTTTTATCTATTTTTAATGGGTTCAGGGGAACACAAATGTGATTCCCCGTTGGATTTGAATTAATCTCAATCCAATGACATCTATGTATAAATAATTAAAACAAACAATCAAAAATTATCAAAATCGATAGCTATAAATTCCCCTTCGACTGAAACTCGCATTTTATTCGGAGATCAGAACCAGAAAGGTAAATACTGACTTAGTTTGACACACAAATATACAGTATTAAAAGGCGCTCAATAAAATTGTAAATGTGACCATTATTAATTTTACAGAACAGAATGAAACTGTTGTTTGTTGTACTCCTATGCGTGGCTGTTGCCTCAGCCCAGCTTGGTGGCCTTGGCATCTTTGGAAATGCGGCAAATAGAGTGCAGGAAGGAGCAAACCCTATACTCTCGAGTGTGCCGATTTTTGGAGACTTTTTGGTAAGCTGGAAGAGTAAATAGCTTTGAATTGAAATTGAATTTTCTTTTTTAACTCTCCCTCAGAAACAATCGACCCAAGCATTCACTGGTCTCTTAGGTGGTGGAATGCAGCAGCAGCAACAACAACAGCCGCAACAACAACAGCCGCAACAACAACAGCCGCAACAACAACAGCCACAACAAAACCAACAAATGGGATAATTGAGAGCGGAACTTGTCCTGCACAATGTAAAATCGTATTATAAGGTTGTCATATTGTTATACTCTCAACATAAATTTATTAATTAACTTAACATAACTTAATTTTAAGCCGGCTTCTGAGAGATATTCGCTTACTTCAATTGCAGTCAATGACAAAATACATTATTTAAAATCAGGTTACACACGAAGCGGAAGCTTAAAAGTACTTTGAATTTTAAGAATTAAAATAAACATTTTACACTTTCACTTTTCGGTTGCATCCGTTTACAAAGGGAAAGGGGTTTGTATAAAAGTGGAGTTTCAATGATCCACAATCATTGCAAAGTCAGCACTTGAAACGTGAGAACAACCTTCACCAAGTAATCCTCAAACCACACTTAAACAACATGAAACTAATGATCCTGTCTCTTATTGCATCCTTTGCATTTGCATCGGCTCTACCTCAGCTTGAACGAGGCTCAATATTTGCACCGAGTGGAGTAAGTTCTCTTAAATCAAATGATAGTTCTACAACAGTAAAACCTTGCTAATTCGCAGATGTTTGAGATGACCAACAACTTGGCAGCACCTCCAGTAGACTTGAGCCAACCCATTATACTACTGCCAGTGGCCACACCCATTACTGAGGAACCCCAGGAACCGAGACTCACAGCCCGTCCTTTGATTCTCCCAACTATGGCACCAACTATGAGACCAACTATGAGACCAACTATGAGAACTTAAAAAAAAATTATTCCATTATTTCATTATGTTAACTAATTTTACGAATTAAATTGCTACCACTCAAAGTTGACTTTTATATTTATTTAAACATAAGCATTATCGCTTTTACACTAAAAAGAAATAGGTAATGAACTATAACTATAGATTAAAGGCACTTAAAACTTATTTATAGTAGATTGGCTGATGAGGGCAATCGCTTTATATACTTACAATATTTATTTGTTGACGGATTTCTTAATTTAGACCAATAAACGGTTTTCAATGGCAGGCGCCATCTATATGTCAGTTCTTGTACTACAGCGACTACCACGACTCTTGCTTCTTGCTGAGCAGTTTTGTCTGGCAAATGAAAGCGAGCACCAAGATACTGTAGATGCAGTGTCCGGCTCATCGCCGGCGGTGTCGGTCATATTTGGCTGGCGTCGATTGTGGAAAACCGCATGGGATACGGCGAAGGAATCGAAGCTTGAACTCGAAATGATCTCTCAGCAGTACGGACAACAAACAAGACAAGAAAGGGCAACACACTGGGCAATAGGGCATGCAATTTTCTAGAATAAGAGTTAGGCCCGAATTTAAAATTTTGTAGATGTACAAAATCTACTTCTTATTTTGAGTATAAATATAATGTTATAATTATTACTATTTATTACATATGCTAATTATAGTGATACTGTATTACCAACTCGATTATGTCAAATTGTCAACTTTGTTGAATTTCTAATCATATTCTTTTTGCTGAACACAAACAAGTTCCCTCCGGTTATCAACGAAAATAACATAAGATGTTAGCAGATGCATATATATATATATATATATATAAATATATGTATATAGGATAAATATATTGCTACTGTGGCGCTAATTAGTGACTATAAATCCCAAAACCAGTCGAGATTTCAAATGATAAACATCCAGTTTTGTTTGTGGTATAAAATATAATCACAGTATTTGTGTCTTACATATATGCAAATATATATTTCGATGATAATGTGCGAGCCGAGAAATAAGCTTCGTATTTACATTTTTCTAATATAATTTGCATGAAAACGCAGAATTGAATTTACGACCGAGATTGCTATAAAAGCGCAGTCTCTGGCAACTCAACAAACATTGATATTGGCGGATCAGGCCGAGAAAGGTTAATACTAACATAGTATTTTCAGTGCAAGTAGTTTAAAGTGAATGTTAAACATATAAGATGTGTGAAAAAAGAACAAAAGGAGAACGCACTCAGCGAGTGTCTATGCAATTTGTTTTTGTTATTTGTCATTTTTGGATAAGCAAACAATAAGTACTTCTTGTTGTTCTAATCAAGACTTCTGTTCTAAATACAAAACAAGTTCTCTGTGGCAATCTTCAGAAAAACCATAATTGAGCAGCAAATGCGAATATATGTATAAATGTATATAGGATAAAAACAAATATATTGCTAGACATTGTGCTAATTAGTGACTATAATTCCCCAAACCAGTCGAGATTTCAAATGCTACACGTAAATTGATTACCATCCAGTTTTAATTAATCAAAGTATATGTGAATTACATATATGCAAAAATCTCGAGAATAATGTGCGATCTTTAAAGTTTAAATTGAATTTACGACTCTGACTCCGACTCTGACTTTGACTACGATTATCGCGATTGTTATAAAAACGCAGTTTTCGACAACTGAAAGTCACATTTATATTGGCGGATCAGAGCCAGAAAGGTTAATACTGGCATAGTTTGTAATACATACAAGTCGTTTAACAAATATTAATCTCACAAAGTGAATGTATATAAAACACATAACTAATACTTATAAGTGATTTAATTGACTACGTAATCTTTGCCAATTGCACTTTAAATCAAGTCATCAAGCCATCAATCACGAGTGAATTTCAGTATTTAAGCACCTAAGTTAGGCACGGGGAATATTTCATAACCTTGGAGACCGGAATTCAACTGATTGTCATTATAAATATGAAAAATCAACCGAGATTAAGTTCAAAGTATATACCTTATTGGTTCGGACAAGTATTTTTCAAAGCACAGTTCACGACAAAATTAATATACTCTCGGCAAGGGTATTTTTAATGTTTATTTGATTTGCGTTGCACGTCTTTTTTTGCTGCGTTCAGCTGAACAAAACTAACTTAATTGCATATAGTGTAAGAATATTGTTAACGAGTTTGGAGTTCCCTTTAAAAATATCACATCAAATCAATCTCAATGTTGGCTAATTTAATAACTACAGTAAAGAGGAAAATACAATTTTCTTAAGAAATATGTAAATATTATTTTTATTTATATTATTTATTTACAGATCAGAATGAAATTGGTGTTTGCTTTACTCCTATGTGTGGCTTTTGCCTCTGCCCAGTTTGGCGGCTTTCAAAATGCGGCAAACAGATTTCAGCAAGGAATAGCAAGTCTTGGAAGCAGAATACCCTCACCACCAACGCTCACCAATGTGCAGAACTTTGGTGACTTTGTGGTAAGCTGGTAGAGTTAACAGCATCGAATTACATTTTAAATCTATTTGAACTCTCCATCAGACACAATCGGGCAAAACCTATCTGAATGCGGCAGATCGGCGATTGCGCGAGGGTCTCTTCAGTGCCCGTAAATCCTTGGTTGATGCCACTAATACGGCGTTCGCTAGCGGTGCCTCCGGTTTTGAGCAGGCTGTGAATGCCTTTGCTGATCTGACGAATGCCGAGTTCCTTAAGCAGCTCACGGGATTGAGGAAGTCAGCAAGCGGCGAGTAAGTGGGGGAGCATAGATTATTAGTTCTTTTCAGCTTATCTATAAATATTAACTCCAATTAACTCATATTCCAGGCAAAGTGCGAAGGCACATCGTTTGTCACCCACAGTGCCAAAGGGAGTTCGTGTCCCGCAGTCCTTTGACTGGCGTGAGAAGGGCGGAGTGACGCCTGTTAAGTTCCAAGGTGAATGTGGCTCTTGTTGGTCCTTCGCAACAACTGGTGCCATTGAGGGTCATGTGTTCCGTAAGACGGGCAAATTACCAAATCTGTCGGAACAGAATCTGATTGATTGTGGCAAGATGGAATTGGGTCTGGCCGGTTGTGATGGTGGCTTCCAGGAATACGCATTCAATTTTGTACAAGAGCAAAATGGCATTGCCAAAGGCGATAGTTATCCCTACTTGGATAAGAAGGATACATGCAAATATAAATCGAACATTTCGGGTGCCCAAATTACTGGATTTGCTGCCATCGAACCGAAGGATGAGGCAACGATGAAAACTGTGGTTGCCACTCAGGGTCCACTTGCCTGCTCGGTGAATGGACTGGAGAGTCTGCTCCTGTATAAGCATGGCATCTACGACGATAAGGAGTGCAACAACGGTGAGGTGAATCATTCCGTCTTGGTCGTTGGCTATGGCAGCGAGAAGGGCAAAGATTTCTGGATCGTGAAGAACTCGTGGGACAAGGCCTGGGGCGAGGAGGGATATTTCCGTTTGCCACGTGGCAGTAACTTCTGCGGCATTGCCAGCGAGTGCAGTTATCCAATAATTTAATATACTTTAATGTCCAACAATACCAAGATTATTTTCATCACATGACGAGTTGTTCTGCAATTTCAATAAAAAAATTTTATTTTTAGAGTCGCCACACGTTTCAAATTTTAGTCTTCATTGAGTTAATCCCAATGTATATTTTTATATTGATTCGAGTATTAAACACGAATTTCATACAAATTTCACATCAGCCAACGCCATTTTCCAATATTTGGTTAAATATTTACGAATTCTGTAGAGTTCAGGGCTGCAACATTAGTAACTTATTATATTTACCGATTCAAATGTGCAAATAATTATATTTCAGCTGGCATGGAATGTTCGCTTACATTTTTTATTTAAGCCAAATAAAATCCTTGACCTTATTTTGACAAAACGATTAAATTTATAACTGAATTATTGTGAATGCCTTGTTGCGCGCTCATTGGCAGTGTTGTACAATTTGTTCATGAACTGAATCAGTTCACTACGTTTTTATTCTCCATGCTCACTCATTCGTGAACAGCAACACAACACTGTCTGGTGTGGGAGATAAATAAGTAAATAAAAATAAATCGCCAGCATAAACGAAATTGTTAATTTGCCAAACGGAAACGAGCAATTAATGTTGAATAAAATGTGGCAGCCATAAAAGATGACGAGTTTGCGTCGATTGGAGCGCAAATACCCAATGTTGTTCCTGCAGGTGTGTAGTTAAACAAAAAAAAACAACAAAAAAGAATTCTAATAAGATAGCAAGCAACCGGGGTACCCAACCCACTTTTTGGTAAAGTGGGCGTTGTCACCACCCCATTGTCACAAGGCTGTTCTTAATTTCGTATTCGTTTTCGTTTGCTAACCAAACCCATTGTGCCGCGTTTCGCCATTAATAATGTTGCGTCTGTTTGTAATTCCGATTCCTATTTACAGAAATGTGCTTGATAGTCTCGTGCATTGATATTAATCCAAAGAAACCACCCCCAGGGTCATATATACATATATGCATTTTACCAATACAAAGACAACAACAACCATCACCACCACCACCTAATTGTCATACCCACTTGACTAACTGTTAACCGATCCAACAAAAAAAATAAAAATTAAAACAAAAAATGGACGAAGACATTATGAATGCAGTTGAATCTCTTTTCGGGAAGGATGTGAAAATTGTTGACTGCGAAACATCGTCTTCAGTGCAGCAGGAGGAGGTGTTGCTCATCAATGGGGTGCCAGTTAAATTGGATGGGCTGCCGGCAGACGATGCCAGTGCCATTAAGAGTGCCCTGCTCGATGGCCAGATGCCGGCAGTGGAGCATCTGAATCAGTTACTCTTTCGCGCCGGATTGGCACAGCAGCCCATCGAGGTGGAAACATCGCTGACAGTCAAATCCTCGCTGACGACCACCGAGGAGGTGCTAGTCTCACGTAACGGAAAAGTGTTGGACGAACGGACCGTCGAAACCAAAGAGCACTTTAATCATCAGTCGCATCAGAAGGAGATCTGGCAGCCAGTCAGACAGGAGAACGCCTTGGCACGTGCAACGCCGGAGAATGCACTCAAATATCGCACAAGTTCGAATTCCACATTCTCGTCCCAAGGTACAACAACTGATGGGGAACCGCATGGAATTGCCGATCGTCTTGGCCGGCAATTGAATCAAACCTTTTCGAATGCCTCACTGGTGTCGAGCAGCTCAGCAATAACTGGGTCGGATCAGGTGATTGGCTCCACATCGAATGTGTCCAATGCCACAACACTGGGCGACAAGTCTTCGAATATTAGCAGCTGTGACTCGGGCCATGACGGCCTCTTCCACAGTGTCTCGATGAGTGCGCCTTATATGCAGGGACATGGACATGGACAGGGACAGGGACGTGACACCCAAACGGATTCCTTGTACTGTGACATTCTCAGCTCAGCTGACGACACAGACGATGCAGTGTCTGTCGCCAAGCTGGTAAGCCAACCATAATCATAAATTGGTAAATTCAACCGATTGGAACTCACTCAATTCATTTGCAGAGCACCATTCTACAGATCAGAGAGTCCTGTGACATTGTCAAGGATTGCCAAACCAAAGACTTGCCAGCCGCTGGTGATTTAGCCGTGCTAGTCACGCTCCTCACCAGCTGCAGCAATGAGGATATTGAGTTCACATTTCTACTCTGTGCGCGCTTATTTGTTTCGATGCGGGAGCTGTTGGCAAAGATCATCCAACAGTGCCGGGGACAAGAGGATGTCCTGCTGCGTCTGCTTAGTCACTGGCTGCGCATATGTCCCAACGATTTTCGCAACGAGACGTTGTTGCAAGAACTACGCAGGCAGCAAAGTAGCGCAGGATTAAGTGCTTTCCTCGATGGTATTCCCGACGCACTGCACCAAGTGGATGCGAACAATCGCTTGCAACTGCAGTATTTGTTGGCCAAGCAGACCTCGGCCAGCTCGCTGGGGCGACAGAGTAGTATTAAATCGCTGAAGCGTTTCGCCGTCAACGTTTACAAATCGGACAATTTGCAGAGCAAGTGCAGCAGCGCCTTTGAACTGGCCCATCAGCTGTATGCCATCGAATATGCCTATCTCTCGCAGATACGTCTCGAGGAGTTTGTCCAAATGCTAAATACGGGCGAGTTCAAAACGTGCATGACGCAAACAAAGGCGAGCACCCTCGGCTGCAGCAGCAGCTCTGGCAAGCAACCCGAAATCAGCATTGCTGCCTATGTGCAGTGGTTCAATCAGCTCTCCCATTTGACTGCCACGGAGATACTCAAGGTAAGTGCATTTAAAACCATTTTAATCTACTCATTTAACTCATTTTCTCTCCTTCAAAAGCTTTGCAAAAAGTCTCAACGTGCGCAGATGGTTGAGTTCTGGATTGAGACCGCCTTGGAGTGCTTCAATACGGGCAATTTCAACAGTCTTATGGCCATTTTGACGGCTCTAAATATGAAGGCGATATCGCGTCTTAAAAAAACGGTTAGCAGCAATCCAAAACTTATTTACTTGCTGATTGTAAATTGCCCTCTTTGATTGCAGTGGTCCAAGGTGCAGACAACCAAATTTGAGGGCTTGGAACATCAAATGGATCCCAGCTCTAATTTCCATAATTACCGCTCGACCATGAAAGCAGCCGTTTGGCGCTCCGAGCGTGAGGATGCCAACAAAATTGAGCGTGCCATTATACCGTTCTTCTCGCTGTTCCTCAAGGACTTCAGTGCCATCAATGAGAGTCACACAACCAGGCAAGCATCTTTGAGCATACTGCATATTATAATACTTATTGATTTCTGTTCCGACTTAGACTCGCCAACGGATACTTTAATTTTGAAAAGTGTTCGCTTCTGGGCGCCCAGCTGCGAATCTTTAATAAATGCCAACGATTGGATTGTCCGTACGAGCAATTGGCCAGCGTTGTGACCTATTTGCAGAAGGCAGAAGTTTTCACCGAGGATCTGCTGATGAAATCTTCCTATGAGTGCGAGTCGCCGGATGGTGCTGACGAGAAGGATCATTACAAAGCAATGAAAGCTGCTACAAAATAATCGAACACACATTATTCGAATCATACAATAAGATTAATTTTTTTATTTTGGGCAGAAATTTGAATCGAGCCTCGCACAAACTTCCATAAGAGTTTGTACACAAATGTTTTCTGTTGTTACTTCCATTTGCATTTGCATCGCAATAACGATAATAATTTTAACTCTAAAAAAACACAATCGTATTTGTTAATTTGTACTTAAGTCTCTAGGATTATATATACAATACACAATATATTCAACTGATTGTAATCGATAGGTTGCCATTCAATTTGAAAATCCAATAAATTTGCAAACAACATTAACAAGCGCGGTATACATTGGGGTGTGGTCGGGTCTAACTTCGCCAAACAATTGAAATACAATGCCTTTTTTTAAACAGAAAATTAGTCATAAATCGGCCATATCCGTGCGGATTCTGTCGAGTGCTGTGTCAAACGATTTTTTTGATGATGGATACCAGCCAGCAATCAAATCGTCTGCGATTTCCGCAAAAAAAACTGACTTTCTGATTTGGACTGAATTCTGCATACCCTCAGACCGAAATTTTTATAAGATGACCCCATAATTCTTGAATTCAATTCGATAGAGTTGCTCATTGCGATTCAAACACACCTTATCCTTCGAAAATCGGTACGGATATGGCCGAGTTCGAGCTACATTTCTGAAAAGCAATTGCCATAGCCTACTGACCCAACCAAAAAGTATGCTTTAATAATATTGTATTTCTGCGAGTAGGCATTTATAGTACAGCCCGCAAGTATGCTTTTTATTTAATATTACGCATGATTTTCATTTTACAAAGTTAACCTTAGATTATTCTATTTACAAATATTACCGAAAATTCCACAGAATATTTGTATTTCAGAAAACTTAATTTAAGTACACAATAGAGACAAATTGAGGATGTATAATTGCTAGTTAACCTATTTGTACACATATTTAATTAACGTATGGTAGCAAATTTTTGGAAGTCAACAGAACCGAATTTGCCAAATAGCTCCAAAGGATAATGTTTGCCCTCGCCGCCACAGGGGGCGTGGACACGAATCTGTCGCATGTGTGTGTCCCGACCGTTCTGATGATTCGAAATGACGGCAATCTGGAGCATGAAGGTGCGCAGGGATTTCACATTGCCATCCTTGATGGGTATTTGGACCCAACCGTTCGGCTCGGTCAGATCAATTACTTGCAGCTCCTGCAGATCATTGAAGTTCGTCCCGGATCGTATGGAGATGCGAGAAGGTGTGTAACTCTCGTCCAGCTTGTAATCGGTGTATATATATATCTGGCTGATGTTCGTTCGCTTGTGAAATTGTATGTTGACCAAATGTGGCAATTGACCATCCGACTGCCAGTATGTATCCATTATGTTGTCTCGCAATCGCTCAACGCCAAAGCCTGAGAAGTTGGAGTAGGATTAGATAAATAACATGCAATCTTTATTGTTTACTTGCCTGGCTTGCAGGAGGACAAGCTCCAAACGGCCTGCGCGCCAACTTCTCGCACATAGCCGAGTCGCTCCTCTCCAAGTGGATCCTCTTCGTTCGTAACGGCTGTCTTCGCTGTGGATTCCTCCTCTACGGTTGCCGCCATAGCGCTTTAAACAAAATCTCACAAAAATAATTTACAATTGCGCTCGAATTATTTTAGCCAGCTCGATTTGATTCAGCTTACAACACTGTGTCGAACAGCTGCGAGCGCATTGTCAACAAACGACGCACGAACGCTTTCCAACACTCGCACATAACAACGCACATGTGCAAGTCTAATTTAGAAAATAATAATAAAATAAAATACGATTATGGTGCGTAAGCTGAAATATCATGAGCAGAAATTGCTCAAGAAGGTCGATTTCATCACATGGAAAGTGGACAACAGCAGCAAAGAGAACAAAATCCTGCGACGCTATCACATACAAAAGCGGGAGGACTACACAAAGTGAGTTCCTAGTCGTCATATAAATATTAAATGCCAATACTAAAGTAGATTCTTTGTTTAGATACAACAAATTGGCTCGTGAAATTCGACAGCTGGCGGAGAAAATAGCTAAACTTGACGCAACGGATCCATTTAAGGCCGAAGCTTCAGCGATGCTCATGAATAAATTGCATGCGTTGGGAGTTGCCAATGATCATCTTACTTTGGAGACAGCCAGCAAAATGTCAGCAAGCAACTTTTGTCGTCGCCGCTTGCCCGTCATCGTGGTCAAATGTAAGTACAAAGAAGATATTATGTGGATAAGCGGAGCCTAATCATATATATTCTTTTAGTGCGAATGTCGGAGAATCTAAAACATGCCACCAATCTCATTGAGCAGGGACATGTCCGTGTCGGCCCCGAAATGGTTAAGGATCCTGCTTTCCTTGTCTCCCGCAACTTGCAAGACTTTGTCACCTGGGTGGATGGATCCAAAATTAAGGAGCATGTACTTCGCTATAATGACATGCGCGATGATTTCCAAATGTAAACGACAATTACAATTAAATTATCCTTTTTTTTAGTACACACAATTTGAACTGAGTTTTAACAATTGTAAAGGTGGCAATTTGTGATTTGTTAAATTATCATTTTTAATAACTTTATTACATTTCATATAATAATGTTTAGAATGCATTAATATAATTCATTAATGTTTGGGAGCCTTTCACGCCAAGGGCGCCTTGGGGCCACCACACATAAATATAGTACATACATATATAAATTTGTTCTTTAGAATCAACCCTTTCACTTTTCCCTTTGCCATTTGCCCGAAGCCGAAAATAATCATTTTACTTATGGCGGTAAACACATTTTTGATTCCTTATTAGTTTCTTCACATATATTATTATATTAGCTCTATTATTGATTGAAGGCCTTTGCAAAAATAATATCATTAAAACGAAGAATGTAATAAAACAGCCACTAAAAGAACTCAGTTAAAATTATAATACGGATAAAGGAGTTAAAAAAAGTTTGGTTTTTATTCATGTATATGCATGTATGTCAATAAAAAAACAGGATGAGTGTCAATTAGGGTCTAAGGTGCACGGTTGAGCGGTCTAAAAAGTGTATAAGTTTTAAAACAGAGCATATAGACAATAAATTCTATAGTTCGATTGATGGCAGTTTTACGCTAACATGGTGAAATATCTGCGATTTCGAGGTCCTACCGCTACACTTGCAAGATTCCCTGGCCACAGGCACAAGGAGGTTGTGGAAGCCAATCCCAAAAAAATAAATATATAAAATACATTTGAAAAAACGACTTAAAATGAAGTGTTTTGAAAATATTTAGTGTGTTTTTGATCAGTGTAATACAACTTTTAGAGTCCGATTGCATTTTTCATTGGAGCATCTGACTGTATTTAATATTGTTAAATAAGTAAAATAAAATATATTAAAAAAAACACACACAATTTTGTGTTTCCATAGAATTTGTACAACAAAGACAGCTTAAAATGTCAGCCAGTTAAAAGTCTTTTTTTCAGTTTGTTGCATAGGTATATATGTATGTATCTCTGTTTAAATATTAGTTGTATTATTTCTTTTTAAACTCGCATAAAAAGTAAATATTAATTAGTCTTACAAATAAATAGCTAGTGGCGTTAAAATTAGTGTCGACTGGCGAAATTAGTTGTGGGCCCTTGGCCCCTGACAGCGGCCCTCTCACAATATCCGCATCTGCCAAAGGGTAGCCAAGATTTCGCATAAAAAACTTCATAACAATTTAAAACAAATTAATAAAATAAAGATTTTCTACAATATCTGTGTTGTTCCGTTTCTTTGAATTTCGTGTGTGTATTGTGGGAGTGTGACAAAAATGATTAAGTTATCCGCTGGATATTATTTTGGCTTTTGTGTCGGGAGTTATCTATTGAGTTTGTTTTCGTTTATTTTTTGTTGTTTTCTTCTTTTTTCTAGCTTTCTTCTTATGTTGGATACATTCCAAATCGCATTGTTATAATCAATACTATATATATCTATATATATGTTTTTTTTTTTTTAAATTCCAATTTGTTTACTGTCGCTCAAACGTGTGCAGTTAGTTATTAAGCCATAATATGCTGTACCCTGCCCAAAACCCAAGTACAGCAATCACTCGGTGCCGTTTAAAAAAACTCTTTTTAATTCGCAGTTGACTTTTAGAAGATCGCTGATTTTCAGTTTTCAGCTATGCGCAGTTGTTGCTCGATACTCTTGGACTTAAATCACAAGTGCCATATCCTTTTTACTGGGCAACTGCACCCGCTTGCCCTGCCACAGCGAATTGTGTATTGTGAAGGCGTCTATCGTGACGGTCAGATGCTTTGTGTGCACCTGTGAGAAGCATTTGCCACCTGAGTTGTATCTGCAAGCGGGCGAGATTAATGTTAGAATTGCCAAAATATACAATTGAAATGTAATTGGGATACTCACTTGAAGAACTTATCGAACATGACTTCGTCGACTTGACTAGGTCCCGTGCCGTACAGCTTTGTCACTTGATCCGTCTCGGGCATATAGCTGTAGAGGGCGCGGAATTGGCAGCCCGCGTCACGGAAGAGTACGAGGAAGTGTTTGGCCTCCGAGCGTGCAATCTTTTCCAGCACTTTCTGTTTCGCCTCACGGTTGACGGCGCCGGGAAAAACGCAATACTCGACGGCGTTTAATATAATGCCGCGATTCGATTTGGCCGCTGGTTGCTTATATAGCTTTGGACCTGTCGATTAACACAATTCAATGAGTTATGTTCAATCTTTGGTTTAATTGAGTTGATTGTGAATTTCTACTCAGTGTTAATGGCAAGCTTCTTAACTTCTGTTAAACAATAAAAATGGATTTGAACTCTTTTCGTTATGCAAACTGGAGGCTACGTGCAATTTGAGCATACATTATATCAACACAGATATTAAGACTTGAGCGAAAGCTACAGGTTACACTGAGCGAATTTCAATCTTGCCAATTCTTCGTTGAACCTGCAGCATTCGAGGGTACTTCAAAGTGTAATAGGTCCATTTTCGAAGTTGATAAGCTTGCTAGACGAATTACGCTAAGAATTACCCCCCTCAAGCGCCGAATTAATTATATGTATGCAAGTACTTACATTTTCAACTAGCTAATCTTAATTGACTACTAAATGCGAAACATTCCAAAAAAAATTACAAATTAAAACATAATTTCAACAAAATTATATAGAAAAAAACTTAGAAATAAATTGCTTGCAATTTTGGATTTGATTTAAATAATTTTTGTTGTTAAAGTCTGCAAATATTTGAAGCGGTTAATTGTGCCAATCTGGGGGTTAAGTTGAATTTTTTTTTATTTATTTGTTTTTGTTTTTTTAGTGGTATTTAAAAATACTACTTGTATATGGGAGACACATCTCCGGTTTGACTATCGAAGTCGCGGATTTGACGGCGCAACGGAAGAACGAATGGATTGTTGCAATTGCATGTTGAAATCCCTATGTACACAATACACATATGCAGAAAAACGGAAAAATCATATATATGTACGAAGGACTTATGTAGTTGATAAAAAAAACCATAATAAATGTAGATCAAACGAATACCAATTGGTATGATCGAAAAAAAAGAACACTGAACTCAACTGAGGAATGAATAAACAGAGAACTAAAAAGAGACAATACGTGACATAATTCGTATGAGGCGTTCCAAGTGATGTATATATGTATGAAGAACCAATATGTATATATATGGTGTTTGTATGTACGATTATGATGATGGTTGTTTTGTTTGTTGGTTGGTTGGTTGTTGTTTGTTGTGGATGTATAACTGAGGATTCTGATTGGAACTAAGTACAAACCCGAGTATTCCATGATTGCATTCGCAGTTAAAGAGAAATCGCTTGATCCATCATCAAATCCGCGACGCTTCGATAACAAACCTGGCGGCAAAGAGCCTGGTCCAGAGGGTGATGGCATATGCCTACCTGTCGCCGTCATTCCTGGTGACGGTGCGCGCCGTGGTGGAGTTGCTCGTCCCAGTCCCGAATCTGTGTCTAACCGGTAAGCGGGGATATCGAGGCGGTCAACATCAATCATCATCAATCACGCATCATCATGCATCAACACAGCCACATAAAAGCAGAGCACCAACAACCAGAGAGACACCAGATACCGACCAGGCAGAGAGACACAGAGAGAGAGAGCGGGGCAACCCAGTTTCAGAGTTGCCAGCCATGCGGTAAGTTCATTCGGTTGATGTGGTTGCATTATTGATGATTATTTGTTAGTCGCCACCGGATGACGTCGATGGGAGCGATCGAGCGATGAGTGGTGTTAAGGTATTATATTTTTTGTTATCGAGTTTGGTTATTACATTTCGTTTCACATTTGTTGTTAATCAATCAATCAATCAATCAAGAGTTCGGGGGTTTTTTTGTACACAAGTTTTTGAATTGAAAGAAACGAGAAAAAAGAAGAGAATGTGTGCATTGAATTTAGTTAAACAATTTTCTTTTTAAATCGTTCAAAATGTGATAAAGTTACTTAAGGCCTAAATATATGAGCTGAATCTGAATTGTGCGTGTGTATGTGGTGTGTGTGTGTGTGGGTGGTTGTGAGTGTGCATATTTGTGTGCGAGTATGTGTGCGTGTCTGAGTTAATTCACAATTGAGGAAAAAACAAAGAATGGCAATCCTGTTTCCCAAAAAAGCGGACAGTACATGACGAAAGCAAACCAGAACCACTTCCGAATTATTGGACAAGTTTGCAAACTTGGCCAACAGCCAGTTTAACAAATACGGCCCAGAAATACGGCTAGAAATACCGCTACCGCTTCCTTTTTTTTTATCATAGTCATAACGAATTAGTCAGCAAAGAAAAAATTAATTAATAGAAAAATTAGAACCATAAAACCTAATATATCAAGTACAACTAAAAACTAGTTAACAAAAATTTAACTTTAATTAGCAAATTGTTTTTGAAATATTGTATATTTATATATAGGCAAAGGAATTCATTGATATTATTAATTTTACTGTATTGAAATTCAAATTTAGCATTATAAATATGAATATATTTATACAAAAAATTACTGGCAGAATTGTATACAATTTAAACAAGAGTAATGCAGATAATACTATATATTAATATGTCGAGTTTATTTTTTTAATAATTGATTTCATAGCGAATGAAGAAAAGCTAAGGTGATATATTTCTTCTGCATCACTCTTAAGCTAAGAATAATAAAGTTATAGAAAAATAAATAACTAAAAAGAATACAAAAAACTGCCACCAGCGAAATATAAATTGAGATACGCAACTAAAGATAAAGTTTGATTGAAAATAAAATAAATGCAAATATTTCAACAACTCAGACTAATTAAATAATAAAAGAGAGACAGAAAAAAGTGAATCTGCCACCAAATGCAGTAAAGAGACAAAGACAAAGCAAAATTACTGAGACCAAAACCAACAGACAAAAAAATATAATATATATATTATATTTAAACTATTACACAAATTAAACATGAAGTAGCAGGAATCGAGTAATGATAGATAATAGAGTAAAAGTAAAAGGCAAGCAGCTGTTTTTTTTTTGTAATTTGTTTTAGCTGTGAAACGCTTCTTACCGCACAAATTCATTAGCGAATTGGACTTTCGGCCACGGAAATTAAGGGTGCTCCCCTTAGCAACTGATATACGCGACAGGGTGCGGCCCCTTTCGACAGCAGGCTCTGTAAAAATTGGCACCACGGGAGACACGCAAGAGCCGCAAGTGCATAATACGATATATATATTGATCAAGTTCAGTTTCTTACAAAAGTTCATCATGAGTCACAAACACAAAATATATATATATATGAATATGCAATTGAAGAGAATTTATATGTTGACCCCAAAACCAACAAGTGTTAAAATATAATCAAAAATTAGAAATAAATATCCAGAAAAACCTGCCCTTTTCACCCACAGCGTTTACCAAAACTCACTGGCAATTTTCCCCAGTGCATATGCTTAGCAAAAATGTGCGTTGGCAATTAGTATAATTAATATTTAATTTATGTTAAGTATGCGTTTTGTTTATAACTAGTTTTAGTTCGGGTGATTTATAGCGTGATTTTCTAGCGCTAAGCACGCGTTAATTGATAATTATTTAAAAAAAAAACAACAAAAAATAATAATTAAAAGTTGTGTATTAATTGAGCCACAAAGAAATCCAAGCCAAAAATCAAGTTTTTTTGTGGCTTTTTTTTTTTTTTTGGGTTGTTGTTAAACACAAACTAACCGATAAAAGCAAGAGTAGAAAAACCAAAGAAAAGAAAAAAAAAACTAAAGAATGCTTAGTACTTGTTACCCAGCACCAACCTCTGGAAGTTTTGTAAGATCCCCGTCGTCCAATCGGAGTTGAACTTGTGCTGGGATAGTCGTCGGGTGACTCTGTTGAACGAGATTAGTAGTTATGACTTAATGTAATACAATTCTTCTTCTTCATTGCAATCACTACTGTATTAGTTAAATATAATTAATTAACTAAATCATATCCAAACCATAATGCCCCCAAACCAAAAACGTGATAATTATAATAATAATTACTAATAATACCAGTTAACGCATGCTTAAAACAAAACCATTAACAAAATGATATTAATAAATGGTAATCAAAAGATGAAAACAATGAGAACAATTCAAACAGAAATTACCTTTAACAGTGAGGGAGTCTTGCGAGCCCCTATAAAAATCTCTTTTCATTGAGTTTGAGCTTAGTTGACCGTAGCCTGGACATATTTATGGGGCAACCAGGTTTAAAACAAAAACGAAAAATTCAACAAATTAGCAACACAAATACAAAAGTAAAATACGCTTAAGAAAACAAGAGCACAAAATTAATTAAATAAACAGAGCAGCACAGCAAGTTCGACAATGCCGAAAATACACACACACACACATTATACACAATTTGAAAGATATCTTTGGTAAACATATACCACAATTTTGAGAAAATAACATATCGGCAATCCAGACTTTGTTTCGAGTTCTTTTCTGGATAGCGCACGAGTGAAATCAATTGAACACTTGATCATACAAAAGAATATAATAATATATATAAATTAAAGGGAATATTATCAGCTAGTTGCTTGGTTATCAGTTAAAAAGCGGACGAACAATATATCTTAGTTACAGATTGAATATATATTATATTCCGAAGATGTGTCCTTTGAATGTTTCAAGACTTCATTAACAATAATGCAGTACAAGCAGTTGTACTATCTAGTAGATTTTTAAACATTTTTTTTAACATTAAGAACACGTTAGTATTTTTAAAGAAATATTCCAAAGAGTTCAACACATGTGAATATTGTTGATGTGTGTACAAATTCGAGAAGTGGCCGAGTTTAACCGAGCGCTCACCGGTTAGATTTGAACTTGAGCCTTTCTTGCCCCGACTGGAGAGGCTTGAAGCCTCACTGATATCCACGCTGGCATCGTCGACGTGAATAGTTTTGGGGCGTGGCCTCGTCACACGCTGCTGTCTTAGACGTGGCGTGGACGCGTTCGATGACTGCGGCTGCAGTTTCACATGTAGATCGGGCCGATCCAGAACTTTACCCTGCAATACAACAATACACAATATGGATTAGTATTTGCAACTGTTGATCATCAAAATTGTGACTCACTTCTCGCTCGGCCTCTTCGATGGCTTTCTTTAGTCTATGTTGTTCCAATATGGCCGCACGTCGTGCCACCTGCTCCTCCTTTTTGCGCGCACGTTCCTCCTCCTTTTCGCGCTCCTTTTCTCGCTTCTGCGAGCCCTCGATCTCCTTGCGCGCTTTCGCCTCCTCCTGCTGCTGCCGGCGCTGCAACGACAGCAACATTATCTTCTCCTTGCGTCGCTCCATTTCGTCCACAGAATCCTGCAACCAATAAATATGTTTAGCTGATCTGTGAATCTCTTACATGTCAAGGTTCTTACCGGATCCAGATTGGCCGTATCGACGCCGATGACCAGCGCTTTGTTCTTGGCTGCCTCGGCGCTGCTGCTGCTGTGCTCGGCCCTGAGTCTGGAGGGGGAGAGCGGCTGCTGCTGCAATTGTTGTTGTTGCTGTGGCTGATTGGTGAGGTCCTCAAGATGCCGACGCTCGGATGCCATGCCTGCTGGCTCGGCCGCTGATACGGCCATTTGGCGCAGCTGGATTGGCGGCTCGTCAGTGTATTTGTTGTAGGTGGCATTACCGGGCGTAACGCCGGCGGCGAAGGCGTTGTTGTTGTTGATGTTGTGCAGTTGACTTAGCGACTCACGCTTGAAGACAACTTGGTTGTCGACAAGATCGCGGCCTGGTTCCTTTTTGGGCGATTTCTTGGCGCGCAGCGGCGGTTTCGGTCGCTTCGGTTGATCGTTGTCGAAGGATATGTAGAAGCCCTTCTCGGCCTGCTGCTCCTCACCGCTGCCACCAGAACCACCACCACCGCCGCCACGCGGATCCTGAAAACTGTTGGCCTGAATGGAGGGGCGCGACGGCGACGGTATGCGGTAAGTGAGATTCCCGCTGGTTATATTTAGTTTATTGGAAATCAGCTCGCCACTATCGTAATCCTCGGAGCTGCTGCCACGTCCGCTGTGCGCCGCTGGCATCTGTTGCTGCTGCTGCTGTTGATGCAATCGTTGCTGCTGCTGCACCACAAAATCGGAGATGCGTGTCGACTGCATCGATTCGATAATGTTGCGCTCCAGCTCGTCCACATCCTCCTCGTCGCCAATGAAGCATATGCTCTGTGGCGCCATCATATCCTCATGCTGCCCCATCGCCATTGCCATTGCCTGCTGCTGCTGTTGCTGCCCCATTTGCCCCATATTCGCACCCTTGGGCGAGCGATTGTCGCGCAGATTCGTTAGGGATTGCTGACGCTGAACACCGTTGGAGTTGCCGCTGACGGACTGCATGCGTTGCACGTGTTGCGGCGACGATTGCATTTGGAATAGATGCTGCAACTCGCCACCACCGCCGCCACCACCTCCACCACCATTTTGATGGAGCACAAAGCCCTGAGAGGCGCCAGCGCTGGAGGGCGGTCGATTTGGCCAATTTGGCTGCTGTTGCTGCTGCTGTTGATGCATCTTCTTTTGTGTTTGCCAGGCATTCACATCCAAGAGTGGCTGTTGTTGCTGCTGCTGCTGCTGCTCGTAGGCTGCAGCTGCCGCCGAATGCGCCCAGGTGCGTCGCTGCGGATGCGAATGCTGCGGCGGTGGCTGTTGCGGCGATTCATGCAGGTAAAAGTGATTCGCCGGCTGACCGTACTCATCATAGACACTATTCCTTTGCGGATGCTGTTGATACTGCGGCTGGGGCGGAGCAGCTCCATATGGGGAGTGATTGTAGGGCGCTCCATTGTCGCTGTAGAGGCTCTGAGGCTGCATGTAATGAGCGGGCGGCGACATATACTGGCCATGCTCGTTGACATACTGCATCGGCGGCATTTGCATGGGTTGTGGATGATGATGCTGTTGTTGCTGCTGCTGCTGTTGCTGGTAGGGATCACGACTGGGCGGACGGGAATTGTAGGCGCTGACTGGCGCATTGAAGGCCTGCGGAAGATGCGGTGATGAGCCAAAGCTTTGCTGCATGGGTCGCTGCTGATAGTGATGATCAGCCAGATGCTGTTGCGAGCCATATGTTTGCTGCTGTTGCGCAAGTGGTTGCGGATGCGGTTAGAGCGAGCGGGTGAGGGGAAGAGGAGGAATCACACAGAAATTCATTCATTAAACATACAATTAGTCAAACAACAAATAAACAAATATTTACAAAACGCAGACGAGATATAAACAAAACAACAAAAAAATGGAACAAAGCCAAAATTATTAATTTCTGTTAGTTTTTGTTTGGTAATTTTGAGTGAGTGGACAGGCGGCGGCTGCGGCGGCGGCGCGGCGGATGGTGTGCGTCGTGGTGGGGTGTGCTGGGGTGGTTTTTGGTTTTTGGTGGGTGCGCGCTTACCTGATTCAGCATGTTGGCGATTTGCTGAGCCTGCATTAGTTGCTGGGCTTGCAAGTGCTGCGCCTGCATTTGACTTTGCTGGGTGGCCAGGCGGTGGATATCCTGCTGGATATCCTGCAGATTCATGTTCATAATGGCGATGCTTTGCTGTTGTTTTTATTTTTGTTTTTTTTTTTTTTTGTCATCCACACATCCAATGACCAGTGTTTAGTGGGTGTGTGTTAATGTGTGTGTTGGTAGTTGTGTGTCAATATGTTTTGTGTACAATTTGTTATGTTTGTGTTTTTTTTGTTTGTTTTTTTTTTTTGTGTCAAAGCGACCACGAACACAATGAAGGGGGAAGGCGGTGGGGGCGGGTAGAGTATAAAACGAGAGAGACAAGCGAATTAACATTTATCCGAGGGTTAAGACAATATCAAGCTTTTGCGATGGCAGAGACACATTCGAGTTGCACACAGATTCTGTGTGTGGATGCAGCGTGGGGGCGGGGAACTCACTTGGTATTTATCCATGTCAGCTGGATCGATTTCGGGCGTGCGCTTCGATTCATTGCTCATCGTCTCCCACTTCAAGACGTCCGGGCACGATTCCAAGTCCTCCTGAATATGCGACAAGAACAGCGATATTAATACATATATTTTATTATAATTTATTGTTATCCCAAACGATGATACAACCTGGCAGACCTTCTCCTGATGCCGCTGCACAGCCATTTCAATTTTGCGCTTATCCTGCTCAATGCGACGTCGTCGCTCCTCCAGTTTCATGCGCATCGTCGACAACTTGGTGGCATTTTCGATGGAGCGCAAATCATCGTCACAGATCTCGAGTTGCCAAGCGGCCGGGCTCGCTGGCATGCTGCTGGTCGATGATTTACGCACGGGCGTACTCTCCGGATCGTAACCAGTGGATCTGGCGTCATTGAAGTGCTCGTGTGCATGGCTGTAATCCCTATCGATGGAATGTTGCTTGTTACGCGCCGGCAACGGACTGCCCGCATTCGATAGATTATGTGCCGAAACCGTGGGCACATTATCCGCACTGCTAATTAAGTGAAATTCCGGCGTTAGTAGAATGCTTCAAATTGATTAACTGGACAAGGCTACTCACCTTGCCTGTCGACGCATTGAATACTTTTCCGTTTCGCGATCCTGTTTCTCGGAACCCGAATCCGTATCGTAGCCCAACTGCAGCGTGCCACGAGCATCTGCCACAGAGGAGCGCACTGCCACAGCAGGCTCTGCAAATAGTAGAAATAGTTGAATATTAACTGCTTAGTTAAAAGATGTTGATGTTGAGTGTTGTACTAACCCACACTTGTGTTGGACAGTTTGCGTTCCCTGTCCCGTTCGCGTTCGTAGCGCGTGCCCAGCGTATTTAGTTGATCCTGCGAGCCGCCAAAGTTCTCAATCGTCAACTGTGAATCTTCGCTGGAGGAGTTGCGTCGCGAGCGACGACCTGAAACATCATAAGCCATAATTAGTTGAGCAAATTAATGGGAAAACTACTCGCATTGGATAGCTAGTTGGTTAACATAATCTTGGGCACATTCACATCACACACAGACATACGTTGCACACGGGAAATGGAAAACAGCGACTGTAGAGATTTGTAGCATACCTGCAAAACTTGGACGCCGGCTCTGTTCCCAGTTACTCGGTCGACCCGCAGCGACAAAATCGCCTGTTTCGATTGTTGATTTGTGAATAAAACGAATAGCATAAACAAATATAAGATATAAGTAAGCTAGACAACAAATTAAAACACGCCAAAGAAAATGAAAAGATGAAGTTACAAACACAAAAGTGATTATGCGAAACCAAAAAAGAAAAAGTTCATGCAAAGCACTGCACTTTAACAATATCTCTCTAATCCTACAAAATACATTTCTTTCCACAAGCGAGATCTAAACAATTATTGTGTAGTCGTGTGTAATAAAAATTAATCATACATTCGTATGACATATAAAGTAAGCACACTTTAATCATTATCTTTACTCTATCAAAATGTTGGATCCTATAGAAAATAGTTGATGGCTGAGCTGAGTCGATTGTTCAGAAAACGTGTTTAGTATTTTGAAAAGCTTGTTAAACGACTCCCTTAACAGCTTTTGCCCTCTCAGACGGCTGAGTTTAGTTGTGAGCATTTCGCATATGCTTTTCAATTCAATTAGATACAGTTATTAAACAAGTCTGCAGCGCAGCGTTGCAAGCTTTCTGACTACGTGTGATGAGCAGATTAACAGTAAAAATTGCAGTAATCTTACTTGTTATCTGGCAAACGGAATACGATTATTTTTTCGTTGTTAATGGAACTAAATAGAAACAATTTCACAGATAAAACTGCATTATTATGCATGAAACTTAATTAAGACGATCTGAGGAGGATTTGGCGGTGAGTGGGTGAGTAGGTGAGCAGGTGGAGCAACAACAAAATAAATGAAATATGCGTTTTAAAGAGTGGCAGCGAAACCAAACCTCTCTCGTCTGCCTTCGATTCGACATTGTTCTTTTCTTTAGCCTGACGCAAACGAGCTGGAACCAATGGCTCCTGTTGCTGTTGTTGTGACTGTTGCTGATACTGCTGCTGTTGTTGCTGCTGATGTTGCTGCTGCTGCTGTTGCTGTTGCGAGTGCATGGATGAGAGTGTGGTAATGCCACGCGACTTGTGCACGACGAACGCTGCTGGCCACATGCCACATGCCACATGCGAATCGAGCGAGTGATGGCGATGCCGATGGCGAGACGTCGAGGTGAGGCGTGGTTGGTGGTTGTGGATTTGGGAGTCAGTTGGGCGGAAAGGCGCGCATTTACAATTGTTGGTTGTGGTTTCGGTTTTTTGTTATTTTTTTTTTTACGTTGGTGAGTGGTTTTTGAGCATGTGTGTGCGGGTCGAGTTCGGTGGTTGCGAGAATAAGAAAGAAACAAAAGGAAAAAACATAAGTAAAGAAATATATATTTGTTTTTTGATTTTTTTTACGGGTTTTAGGGCTTGCAAATTAAAAGATTCAAGTGCAGCAGAAAAACAAATGTACAAAAAATAGAAGTGTTTCAATTGTTAACATTAATTACCTTCGCCTGGATTGCCATCAAAATGATTTGATTGCATCGTTTGATATTCGGTGGGCGGAGTTGTTCTGCGATTTAAGCCGCCGCTAAATGAATTTGTGGGCGGAACTAAAAATACAAAAGATAATTCAAAAACAAAACATATAAAACACAGTCCCATAAATCATAAAATAAAAGCATCACGCAACATCAAATAAGCATATTAAAATTGTGAAAGCAAAAATGTATATACAAAAAAACAGACAGTAAATTCGACTTTCGTTGGGGTTTAAATTATATTTTATGGTAAGCAGAACTGGTGCAAAATTTTAGTAAAAAAATGTATTTCATTCAGTCTTAAGAAAACTAATAAAAATAAATAAACGATTTATTTAAATCGGAAAACTATTTGAAATGTTCATTTATAAATTATCTACTTGATATAAGGTTATAACTATTTGCTAACCTTTCAGTTGCCTTCCGTTACCTGAGCACCCATTAAACTGGTATGTAATCAAGTCATGCAAACTGAACTAAATGGCAGAAGAAAGCATCTCCGATCTCGGACATTATATATATTGCTGATCAGCATCAAAATATGCGTCTTTCTGTCGAGTACTGAGACTATAAGAACTGGAGACTTCAAATTTGGTATATAAATTCTTGAATACCACACACAAATCAAGTTTATTTTCTTTTGTTGATTACTTTCTCCATTTTGCGTCATTTCGATACAAATCGATTAGCGATAGCAATAAAAACCCCAATTTTAAGATATATCCTTCTAATCGAGTACTTCTATATCTTGCTATAATATGGACCATAATATTTCCCCAGGGCTTATAAGGTATATAAGAATAAAAATCCGATTAGATTAAGTCTCTCAGCTAATTTCACAGACAAAAGTTATCTTTTTCATTGTTTTGCTCATCTATATTTATTTACTATTTATTATATTTTAATCAGTTAGATTGGGTTCAAAAGGGTGCAGAAAGTGCAGCGGGATATTTTTGAAAACAATGTCGAGATGTGTGCCACAAGTGTAAGCAACATTCAATTCAAACTATTTGCAGGTGAAGATTCTTTTCTAGGGTGAAATTATCATCATAATACGATGTTGCAGATGCACAGATCTGCGTTGTTAGTAAAACTTAAGTGCTACAGTTATCGATTTGCGTTTTTGTTTAGTACATAATTGCAAGAACAAAGCGGCAGCAGAGTGTGTAGGGGGGTGGTGGGTGGTTGTCAATCATGAGAACAGGCAAACGAACGAACTAACAATTATAAACAATCAACAAACAAACAATGAAAATGCAAAACGTTCACGTTAAGAAACAAGGAAACAACAAACAAATGGAATTGAAGAGGGGAAAAGTAGGTTTGAGGGTGGCATTTGGGGCGGGCACACACAGAAAAAAAAAAAAATTACACACAGACACACAAAAATCTGTGGATTTCTGGTAAGAGTCCGAATGAAAAATTAGCAATTAAGAAGAATTGAAGAAGTTAAACCTTGAAACGGCGGCCGATTTGAGGGGGAGCCAATGGGCGGCTGGTCAAGATCGCTCCGTAAATCGGGTATGGGCGTTACGGGCGGCATTGTGAGCCCACGTCGATGACAGATTCCGTGCTCATTGGCGCCCAGGTGCCGCCTGGCGATGACTTCTACATATATATATGCATATATATATATATATATATATATACGTGAATCAGGTGCGTGAAAACAGATCGGTCAAAAGATACAAAGTTGTTGTTGTTGTCGTTGTTGTTGTAGTCGTGGGTGGTTGTTGTTGTGGTTGCATGTGTGTGTATATATATAGAGAGAGAAAGAGCATAGTGTTAAGACCCCATTTCAGTTGTGGCAATTTGTGGTTTTGGTTTGCACAAAGCGTTTTGGCACATAAACAAAGAAAGAGAATCAAGTTTTAAAAATCGATTTTATTAACTTAACTACTTTGTATTGCACAGTTATGATGATCAAAATTAAATGAGTGCGCATCAAATTGATCGATGGCGATTGACGATGATTCAGTGATTTTTAATAATTTTTTTGTGATGCGAGGGCAACCGCTGATTTATTGGGAGTTGAAGGTGAATTCGATTTAAACTGTTTGCATTACTCTAATTTCTCACTGCTTTTCTACTACTATTGCTGAGTGTGCGCTGCTTGAAAGCAAATTGAGTGGTGTCTTCGAATAATTGTGTATTGATATATTATAACCTACACTTCGATAATAGGAATCATAGTCATCAGTTCTTAACAAGCAGTGAGTTTATCCTCTTACCTAACATTGCTTATATGCTCCTCAAAGGATACTCAACTACAGTTTGTTTGTTTGTTCTTGGGTAAAACTCAAAAAGTTTGTTCGAATTATTTGTACAAAATTCCTATTGATAATGAGGCAGCCAAATAGAAAACAATATTTGCAGCGTAAAGAAACAAAAAGAGTAAACGTAAAAAGATGCAAAAGCAAATCAAAGGCGAAAGATGCTTGTGGCAAATTTATATTCACAGCGAAGACGACGACTACGATGACGACGACGACGACGACGACGACGATGAAGACGACTAATAATAAACATGCCCTGGATGGAAACACACAACAAGGGCCAAGGGATGTGGATACTTGGTAGAAAGAGGTCGATTGGAATGCGATGCGGTGCATTGTTTGGAATGTTCGAATATGGACTGTGCTACTTACCCTGCCCATCCATGCCCGGATAGCAGACACATTTCGCCGGATGTATCTCGAACAGATTGAACAAATCCGTCAGCAGCAAGACCAGATTCAGTTTCATTGAGCTGTCGAAAGCGAAACAGAAAGTTAAATATCAAACAACAATATAAATTTCGATTTGGGGGAATGCCATTTCAACTCACCCTCGCATATAGGTGATGTCCTCGGGCGTCATGTGGAAGACACCGTATGGCAAATGCTTTTGTGAAAAACTGCTCACCAGCAGTATATTGTGTATGGAGTCCTCCACTGCCGGCAGATAATTGATGCGCACACTTGTCCACGGCACCACCTTGGGACAGTAGTAGGAGATGAGCAGCGCCAAACAGATGCCATCGCACAGATCCTGAAAATCACGCACGGGCGGTATATCCGGCGTCTGCAGACGCGTACCCTGCGAAAATTAACAAATCAAATAACTAATTACTCAGGTAACCTTTTCACGTTCATGATTTAACAACACAATTATTTGAAAACAAGTTTTAAATTACGATTATTTAATTTGAAGCAAACGTTTTTGAAATTAGCATTTCTGGTTTCTATTCGAATACACACTTCTTTAAGACATCTAAAAATAATTCTTACGATTTCATCCGGCACACTTGACTCTAGCTCCTTGACAATGCGCTTCTTTAAGGAAGCGCACGCGTGCGATATCCAGGCGAGTAGGCCATGCTCATAGTTCTGGCCCGGAGGCACCTGATAGTTGCTACCAGATATTCTGTAAATAAAACAGAGCCTTAGTCAAGTAATGTATATAAAGAGTATTCTGACTGCTCACCTTCGAATAGCTGACGTGACGCGGTCGCCCGATGATATTTCCTTTGCATACAGAACCATCAGCGATTCTATCACAGACATGTGGGCGTTCTATGAAATGATTTCAATTTAGTTTGGTTTTGACTTTCGTTAAGTTGATTATTATTTGACTTACAATTCGCAACGGATTCGTTTGAATTAATACCGTTTCGGTAATGGGCATATCCGAGGACTCGGCAACGGGGACACCCTTGCGCGCTAGCGTCTGTAATATTGACCAGTGATTTAAGCTTTGGTAGTTGGGATCGGAGTACAGATTGGACAGCGTCTGACAATAAATTGTCGCATTGCCCAAATCGACAACGATCTGCGGCTTGAGGCGCTCCTGGTTCTCGTGATCGCGATAGAACGGCTCCTTCAGGTTGTCCGGCACGCGATTGTTGAACGCCTTCGACAGCAGCCATTTGACGGAAGCACGTTGACGAGCCTGCCAAATGAGACAGAAACGGGGTGTTTTAGTGGATGTGTCTATTTTGTTGTCTAATAAACATAGAGAGAAATGAGAGACCATTGTTTTGACAGCTATTCACATCAATCCTGACCCAAATAGGCCATGACTTGAAATGATGTGAACCAAATCTAGGATTTTAAGCAGCGAATTTCGGTTCCATTGCAATCTGATTATTTGGCTTAACGATTTCGATTTGATTCCCTGATTTCATCATTCAAAAATCGTAACAAAAGCAATATTTTTTAAATACATGTTAAAATTAGTTGCATTGAACAATTTGCGTCCAAATTTATAACTCTATTTTCTTGCTGTTTTAATGATTTGATTAGCAAACAAAATTAAAGCTATAATTGCTGTTAAAAAACAGCGCAATTTGGTTGAGCATGCTGCATTCAATTTAACATCCGGCCAAAAGCACATTTTTTGTCTGTAAGAAATTACAATCGCTGTGGAGTAGCCAAAGTCGAAGAGAAATAAACCTTCCAGTGCATTTTAATATTGTAGCAATTAAGTTGTGCACTCTGCAGTTTAGTCTGAGTATCTGTATGTGGATCTGTTGAATTGTATCTGTATCTAAGTATCTGTGCTGCATCTATGTGTGTGTGTGTGTGAAGCCATGCGTACAATCTTCAATATGAGTTCGATAAACTCGCTGTGTGTTTGGCTCTTGGCGTGCGCCGTTTCTTCAATGTGTCTGTCTGTCTGTCAGTTAGTCTGCCTATCCGTCTGTCTGTCTGTCGGCTTCAACTGTTTGGATGGTCACTCAGCATGAAAAAGAAGAGGGAATGGCCAGACCGAAGGCATAGTTGCTGTTGTTGCAACTTTTAGAATCTCAAGTGCAACAGCAGAAGCAGAAGCAGAAGCAGCAGCAACAAAATGCATCGTCAGTCGGCAGAGTGATTTCAATTTGCAACTGCATTTTCCACTAATCATTTCGACACACCACAGTCTTCACATTCTCTCTGCCACACAGAGCAATCGGTGCCCATTTTCGTAGAAGCAACTTGAGAATAGCCGCTTATTAGTTTTTATTTAAGGCTCCTTGTTCTCCAGCGTTTCGTTCAATTTTGTAATTCATCATGGCATCTTATTGGTGTGGGGAACACAAGAAACAATCTGACAGACAGGTTGAACGAGGGAGAAAAACGACGATCAGTTAATTCACAAGACTTTGGCAGCCAAAAGTGCCGCTCAGATAAGAGCCAAAATTCCTTAACTGTGTTTCTATTAGTCGTCGTCTTATCGCCCAAATGAATCAATTTTTTCTTTCTTTTGTACATACACATGTTTATAGCTTGATGTTATGTTTGGAATGTGGCGACGACTGATAAGTAAAGTGTAAATTGTGTTTACTTTCGCTTTTGGACAATTTATACAAATTGTATTTAATTAGGCATTAAATTTGAGGACGACATCTTATCAACGTTTGGTCTGATCAATTTCAAATAATATATAAAGGAAAGGAAAATAGATAGAGACAGATTTTTAAAACATCTTATCTTTTTTTTCTGATAGGCATGTAAAAGTGCCTAAAAGCTACATTATAAGATAATAAAGCTTTTTAGGACTTTTAAACGACAACTAAGCGAACAAGAAGAAAAGAAAGTAGTTGAGTGATTCATATATATATAAATGTATATTATCTTTCAAAGCTTTTCTATGAACAGTTGTAAATATTTGTATTTTGATAAAACTCGAATTGTACAAGGCAGGCGAGTGTGTCAACCTCAGATTCATGATATCGAAACTATAATCGGAGAGAAACATTTCCTGTTTATCTTTTCACATTTTTGTTTTTGTAATAAAAACTATTTTAACATTTTTCGCTCGGATTCGAGCATATTTAGGTAAGCAACAAGGTCAATTTATATTGACAATAGATGTTAATGTATTCCGAACTAAATCAATTCTGAATTTAACTTTGAAAAAGCCAAATTCCTTACAATTTTAAAATATGCAGCTTTGACGATTGATTTAAAAATTGGACATGCAGTAGCTAATGATCGATATTAAGCATAAGTATTTAAAAAAAAAAAAAATCCAAAAATGAAAAATCGATAGATATGAAGTGAGTTGAGTTGTCGAGCAACAGGTTAACATTAACGTGTCAAATATGTTTGTTGGCGTAGGTCGCAGACCGTTGTCGAACTCTGCGAATTGGCCAATACCAGTGGGCAGAGATAGAGAGACTTATTGGACAGGTGGACAGATGGACACACTTCCTGCGCAACCAGTTTCTCTTCTCATGCACTTTCCAACACACAGTACACGGCGCACCGCCAACGACAAACTGCACTTTTTTTAGTTGTTGTTGTATATGTGTTGTTTTTATTTTTGTTTTGTGTGTGTGTGTAAGAGTTACATAAATACTCGTAACTCAAATTTCGAAAACGTAAACATTTCAGGCTAGAGCAGCAGCAGCAAGAGCAACAACAACAATAACGACAACAGCTATAAACAGTGGTAATAAATCGCTTCTGATTTGGACACCCACATGGATGGCATAGTTTTTAAGTTGAGTGTCGCTTCACACACATATTTTTGTATGTATACATACATATAAGTGCATGTACATAAGTGCTAATGTGTGCGTCTGTGTGTGAGTGTGTGTATTTTTGAGCACATGCACGTTTCATATGGGAATGCTCACAATTCAAAAATTGCGGCTTGGCGCTATTTATGACTTTTTTTCTATTTTGTCATTATCTGGCATGCCAGACAAATGCGACGATGGGCTAAATTTAAATGCAAAAGGAGCACAAAAAAATTCGGAGCTTCGCGGAATGAAGACAACGTGCGCCTGCGAGAGAGGGAGAGAGAGCGAGAGAACGCCAGCAATCGTTTGAAGCTGTCGATTAAATTTGATATTGGTTTCTTTTTCTTTTTCTTTGTGTTTTTGAAAGCCCATAATGCGCTAATTGCTTAAAGAGCTTAGCAGAAACAGCAGCAGCAACAACAATAAAAACAAGAACAACAAACGGAATGGCAGCTAGATAAACATTTGGAAACATAGTCGATTGTGTGCTGCTGCTGCTTGTGAGGCGTTTAACTTTCTAGGCACTTTTTTCAAAATTCATTTGTGAACGAAGGGGCGTACAAGCAGAGGGGGAGGGGCGGCCAATACACGCACGCAAGCACACACACCCTGCTATATACAGTGTCTCACAGTTTAAAAGACGCAGTGTCTAGCCAAAAATTTAATTGCCTGCCATAAACTAATTATTCAATATTTTGGATATGTTTTCAGTTTTAGACTAATTTTAATTAATTAACTAATATTTTAATAAAAACTAAAGTTAATTTTTCAAACGTGATATAACATAAAACAAATTGGCATTTAAACATTTTGCGTTTGTTTCTTTGTTTAAACCTTATAGCACTTTAAATTTTTTGCTAGGCACTGCGTCTTTTGAACTGTGAGACACTGTATGTGTGTCTTTTTTGTATGCATGTGTTAAGCCGAGAACCTCCGAAGGTTGCCAAATTGTCAAAGAGTCAAACAACAGTCAGAGTTAATCAGTTACATTTTTGTCTCTCTTTCGTGCGTTAAACATGCACACAAACATACACATACTCATTCACATATACATATTCAAATATGAATTTAGTACAGTGGTGATTCGCAAATAATTCAAATGTTTGGGTGCGCCAAACTTTCTATTAAATAAATATGCATATTATTTATTATCGTACTTAACATTTTTCTCCTTCATTTTTTAATTTAAATTTAATAATTTTTATGGACAGACTTCAAAGTTGTTAATATTTGAGCGATCACTGTACACTGTGTTTTATAAACATAGCGATTAGGTCATGCAACAGCAGTTCAACAACAACAGCAATTTACGCAAAGTGGCAAAAGCGAGAACATTTTTTCAAGCATTTTCCGGCTGTGAGACCAATTCATGAATGGAGTTTTAAAGTTGATTGAACAGCAGCTGAAGCAGGCAGCGGGGGGTTGCCTATAAAAATAAAACGCAGCAGCTGGCCACACTGATAGCTCTGGCACTGTTGCTGCTGCTGTTATTTTGTTGTTTGCATTGGCTTTTAAAAAACCAGTCAAACGGTAAGTAGGTGTCGGTCGCATATTAAGGCGCTTTAAAGCACTTGGCCGGTCAGTGGGAGCGGCGACGACGACGTCGGTTACCTCAGCACACCATTTTGGCGAAAGAGTAGGTGGCTTGAGCAGCGAAGTCAGCGTCGTCAAAAGCCGTTACGCCTATGGCCTTTGGCAGAGACGCTGGCAGCGTTTGATGAGCGCATTTGCAAAGGCGTTAAAGCAAACTTGAACGGCGACGGCGACGACGTCAACGTCAGCGTCGCAGTCGCTGCAGGAATTTTAATGAGCGCGATTTTTAGTTTGAGAGCACACACACGTACATACAAACAAACTTTGTTAGAAGCATGTATTTGGGCATGTGTGTGGGGAGCGGGGAGTAATGACTTAAAATATATATTTAGATGTTTACCTGTCGTATTTCCTGTGTTTCGGCATCCATGTTGCAGATGACACGATGACACTGCACTTTACTACAGTTTTACCACGGCGTAGAGGCTTTTTTGACTAAAGTGTTGTTGCAGTTTACAGTTGCAGGCCGACGTCGGACGGGATGACAGTTGACGGTTGACAACACTGGCTGTCCGACGCCCAGTCTCCGCTGCACTTGCAGTTCACTTTTCTTTCTTCGCTGGCCAAGCGCGCTTTTCTTGTTGTTGTATTTTCCACACTTTCCTTATTATGTCTCGCTCTCTCTCTCTCTTCTCCTTCTTTCTCTCTTTTTATCTTTTTCTCGAGCTTGGAATTTTCACTTCAGCCGTTGAGCAGCCTAAAATCACGAACACACACATTTATAAATATATATTTACAGCAGTCAATGCATAAATATTTATAAGCACTGTTACAATTTTCGAATTTTTTTTATTTTTTGCAAATTAATTGCGCGCACGCATTTGCCAACAACTCGCGCAGCGCACAGCGAACAACAACAACAAAAACAAAAATTCACATAAAAAAGCATAGAAGAGAAGAAAAAAGAAAAACTAGCAAAAGAAAAATGTGAATCATTCACTGGGCGAACTTTGCAGTGGGCGGCAACAGGGGTGAGGGGGGACAGCTTGGAACTGTGCTTGGCACAATAAGAGAATAACAGAAGCAGTGCAGCAGCAACGGAGGGCCAGCGGCAGAGAGGTGACAATGATTTTTTTCTTTTTTTGTTGCCTGGCCACACAGCATCAGCTGTTGCAATTTGGGGTCACTGTTGACAGAGAAATGCAATTTTTGGTTAGGTCGCGTCAGCAATCGGCTAATTAGTGCACAATTATTGCCGTGGCAATTGCGGTTTTTTGCAATTTTCCACTTTTCCGCGATGACAGGCAGTATAAAATATGAAAACATTTTTCTTTTGACTTCGTTGTTGTTGCTGTTGCGCTCACCATTGTCTCTCTCTCTTTTATGCACAATATGCCGTCAAATTGGTAGACACTGTTATGCTCTTCGCTCTCATTGACGACAAGGCGTATGATGACGATGACGGCGACGTAGGCAGCGACGCCAACGTTGACGTCAGTTTGTGAGCAGCAGCGAAATGGGGACCGAAAAATCTAACAATGTGTGCGTGGTGCACACGCACATTCTTCTTAATCTATGCATTTGCTTTACCGCCTGATTTCATACAAATGCATTTTACACGCTCCGCGCTCGCTTTGTAGTTGATTTTACACAATTCTATTTGTTTCAAATGCACGAAAGATCGAATAACAACTAGCTTCTTCTCTTCCAAAATTTTCTCTGTGCGCGAGTATTGAACAACGGCGAGAGGCAGCGTATGCTAACACTGAAATTTATCAGTTCGCTATCGGCCAACCGCCGCAAACTATCAGAACTATATGGCTAAAATATCGAATCATGTGAATAAATCACAATCGTATATTTGATTCAAGTTTCAATTTGAGTTCAGCGATATATTTGAATAAATTTGAACCAGTTGCACTTCCCTTTAATATTTTTTAGTTATTCATATTTTAAAATTAATTTGCTTATTGTGTAGTTTAGTAAGAATTGTTGTTTAAAAACATTATTTTATTTGCTATACAATGATGAGAAACGTGACTAAAATTCGTGTGGGTTAATAAACTTTGCGCTTTTGCTAATACTTTCTCCGAGGCTGCACTTGACGCAGGTGTGCCCAAAATTCTGCAACTGAGCGGATACAAGAGCGGAAAGTTGTCTTTGTGGAAATACCACCAATTGAGAACGTTGTAACCATCGCAAAGTGGCACTTGAAGATCGGAATATCTGCGTATTTCCTTAAGGATCATATCCTCGGGCGTGTGCGCGGTTACAAAATCAGAGAAGAGGTCATCTTCCACCTCCTGCTTGACGGTCGCTAACGTATCACAATTTTGGCTGCTCTCTTGGGGACAGAAGCGTTTCATTAACATCCTGCATTTCTCAATTGTCTGATTTCTTTCGGTCCGTGTACATTGAAGCAATTGATTAGTTGGCGGAAACAGAAACATGGCCATCTTATGAAATTCGACAATATGATTTTGCACCAGTGATTCCAGGAGATCCATCAGTTTGAGCTTCATATTGGACTCAACTGTAGTTTGACTCGGTTGGCTGCATTGTTTTCGCAGTCGGTGCAAATGTGGTATGACCAAATGCAAAGTTGGCAAATTTTCATCCTCCAAGGTTCGGCAGCATTTCTCAAAGTGTCCAAGAAGATTGACAACCGAAGAAATTTCCTGTTGGTTATGACCACTTATATCACCGCATAAATTGATAAGCTCGGTCCAATGGGACTCGATAGACTTTAGCATGTGGTAAATGCTTTTCCATTCGTTTGGCGAGTAGTTGACCAATGGCGTCTCCAAGTTCAAGAATGCACCAGAGTTTTCCATATATTTAACCAGCTCCTTGGCTTGATTTAACATATCCTTCAGAGCGTCGACTTCCTTAAATGCAGATTCAATGACATTGCCCAACATTTTGCTAATGCAATTCACTTGCCCTTCTCCGATGATGGCATCTCGGATAGACTCACTCGATGTCACAAAAATGGGTTTATCTTCCTCCCACACGCACTGGAAATCACTCAAAATTGTATTGATTTGTGTTTTCAATAGAGAACCTGCGATAAAATTTTGATTAGATATAATGTGAGATATTCTTCAAATATATTCAATCGAATTATTATAGATTCAATTTGAAATCATTGTTAAAAATTAATTTAAATGTAAGTCATAGATTCAATTTGAAATGATAGTTAAAAACCGATTTGAGTGCACACAATTCAAATATTGAGTTAAAAATCTGATTCATTAAGTAAAAGGTCAACGTTTTTGTTCGAATCAATGAGCAATAATTCTGTTTGAGTTATTTAATTTTGATAATTACCTGTGCAGGACTCCGCATCCTGGCTGGCAACTGTGAGCAGACGACTGAATAGCTTACCATCCTTGATGTAGTGCATCGTCAGGCAAAGCTGCGTATTCTCCATGGAATTATCTGTTCGGGTGTTGCATGTGATGCTGAATCCATTTATCCTTGCCACACACACATCCCGGCGCACCTTCTCCAATTTGTCTTGATAGCAGTTGTATATATTCGCAGTTATGGCCGCTGTCTGCGGCATGAGATCATCCACTTTGATTTGGGTACCAAAATAAGCGCCCAGTTCAATAAATAATGCTGCTAGCTTCCTTAATCCGGTGTCCTCGAAAATATCCAAGGCTCGGCAATTCTCGACGGCCCACTCGGCGAGGGCTTGTGCAAGTTTCCCCTTTGTGTCCTCATCATCCAGCAATGCGTCGGAACTCTTCACTTCATCCAGTGGATCTAAATCAACGCCATAATCCTGATCTTCAGTGCTCATTTCAAGATCACTGGATATTCGCTTATTCCCATCAGAGCCTGTTTGGCCAAAATCAATGGCATTTCTGTAGCACTTGTGCCTAACCAAATTCGAAGTGCTGCCGTGGAACTTGAAGATACTCGGACATGATCGGCAAACCACATTCCTGAGTTCCGTTCCATTTTTATCCACAACCCGGGAAAATACATTCCACACTCGACTTCGACTTCGCTTGGAAATCACCTTAAATTCGCCAGTTTCGATTTTTGATCGAACTGTTGCCGTGCTGTAGCAAATCGACTGTGTTTTCATTATGTGCTTGATTCTTGAAATATTTAAATATTTATTAAACATGTGTGATTAAATGAATTGTATAATTGCGCTCACCATATACCTATATATATATAAATGAGTCATTTACATTTTATCAAGTGTGTGGCTGTTCTAAACACGATTATTTGCAGACTATCAGGTAACAGCTATCAATGATATTTAATATCATAAGTATCCGCGTTCACACAGAAGTAATATTAAGGATTAAAATAAACAGCAGCTGGTAGTGTGATTCTTAATAAAGATTTGTCAGTGATCTATCGGCCGACTACCACTTGTTATCGGTGCTTGGGCTCATTTGAATCATTCAGAAATCACACAACAGCTATATGACAATAATATCGAAAAATAAAAACTATCATTTATTTAGTGTTCTCCATATATTAAGAGAGATTTAATTTCTTAGCTCTATAATCATCATAACTTATTTTTTAATTATTTATTTAATGGTCAACTTAATTTATCTAATGGTCAACTCAATGGCCTGTGACGTCACAGTCGCTTGCTGCGAACTATGCCAGTGGTGTAAATTTTCGCATATTTGTTGGTGCATCGTGCTTTACAACACGGTTTTGTGCGTGACTAAAAATCGTGACATGCGTGTCGCAAAGTAGTTTTTACATTTTGGGTTTTACATATTATTTGTTGATTTGATAGGAATTTGACGACAACAATGCATGTCGAAAAGAAATCGGAGCTGAGAAGTCTTCTGAAATCGGGTGACAAGCGCTGTAAGCTGGTCGAGCCACGAAATGCAAAGAGTTGTGTTTGGCGTTTCTTTAACCTGGTCTCCTGTGATGATCGCATTGAGCCATATGCCTGCTGTAAAACCTGTGGCGATCTCTTGTCGTACAGCGGCAAAACCGGGACCGGCAGCCTTTTGCGCCATAGATGCTTGCACACGACTAACGGTAAGTTTTGGATCTGATATTCACGCACGCCCCCTCACACTGCCACGCGTGTTCAGAGAGCGGGCTGCGTTGTTGTTGTCATCGCCACAATTTCTGCTGGTTTGTGTGTGTGTCCTAATAGTGTTGTAGTCCACGTTAACGGGATGCTGAATAATTTCGGGTATTGCTGGCACTGGATTTTAAAAAAAATTGCACCTCCTACTTTTTGGGTGTTAATAAAAATCGAGAATCGTCAGCTGTGCGTGTGTTCACAAGATGCAAATAGGAATAGCAAGGTCGCCACCCAATAATAAAAAGAATCGAAATATAATAATAGATATATGCTAAAATACAAATCATTTTATCGTTTGGCTGCAAAAAATTTTTGATTTAGTTAATTTGTGGTTAATAAATAATTTGTTTTTTTTCCCCTTTGTTTTGTTCGATGAGACATTGTGCAACACTGTTTTGCCCCAGAGTTTTCCAACACGGTCAGCCAGCAACGCTAACATCGCTATTGCGTTTTTGGTGGAAAAAATCTGTAATTGTAATTGTGCAAAGTAATTTTGTAGATAAAACGCAATAAAAATGCCTAAAGGTCGCGTTAGCAGTGTGTGGCAGCATTATGATATCAATGAGGAGTGCGAAAACTTTGCGGTCTGCCGCTATTGTGGCAATAATATATCGCGTGGCGGCATGGCCAGCAATCTGAAGGGCAACAATACAACCAATCTGTGGACGCACTTGAGGCACAAGCATTCCGACGAGGTTATTGTCAATCCTATACAGCAACGGCCCCTTAGCCGAAACGCGGTCATTACGCTAAAGAAAGGTATGTGCACACAACAAAAAGGCGAAAAAATGGCGGGCTTATCGCAACACACAATTATTGACCTATTGACGAACCTATCGATCCCGAGCGACTCTTCACAAACTTTGGAAACTATCGGTAAATTGACGCCCAGCCCTGCATCACAGCTGGCTATGGCGCCGGCAATAACATAAATATATATTGACATCTGACTTATCGCATAGCAATAGCATAGCTCAACCGATATTCAATTTACATTTTGCTTATTTATTGCAGAGAAAACATCGCGCATTGCCAAGGCAAAGGTGGTGCGCGAACCGATTCGGGTTGCGAAACCAAAGATCGATGTGCACGCATCGATTACGGGTGCATTGCCCCAGAAGTGGGAGGAGTACGAGCAGAACGAGGAGGTCAGCGAGGATATCAAGGACATTATCTACAGTGAAGATCCGCTTTGCTACAGTCCCATCCAAGTGGTCGAGGATGAGATGCTCGAATCCGGCGAAAAAGTCACACTGATGAGCAGCGGCAGCAACAGGACAACCACAGTGCCAGTTGTCGCCACTGTCGTCTCGGGAACCACAAGTGCGGCAAAAACGTTGAAAAACAACTTGGAAACATCGATTGAACGCCTGACCACCGTCAGCGAACAGTTGAGCTATGTCATTCAGCAGCAGCAGGAGCAGCAGCTCAAGGATGATGACTACTATTTTGCACTGAGCCTGGTGCCTGTTATGCGACAATTGTCGGTTAGCCGCAAGATGTACGTGCGCTCCAAAATTCATGAGTTACTGTACAAAGAGAGTGAGGAGACTACGACTAAAATTGAATAGTAGAACAAGCATAAACTACACATGATTATTCATCATTTCAAATTTACCCAACAAAATGGGAGGAAAACAAAAAAAAAAAAAGGAAAAAAACAGAAAAAGTAACATGTACTATCTTATCAACGATTTATTCATGTAGGCTACAAATGTTTATGTTTACTTATGCTAACGTACAGCATTCTTAGGTAGGAACAATAAATTTAAGCACACATTAATGTGGATATTCATATATATATATATAAATATATACAAATATATATATATGTTTATATACATATACATAAACTTAGAATGTACGTCAAATATTTAATGCAAAACTCTTACAGACCGCTAATAAATTTACCTAAGAATTCCGAAGTTGTCATTGATGTCCTAGATTCTATGGATTCCATACAGTGAACATTCAAATCTATAAAAAGTCTGGGGAAGGATCATAGCATACTTTTAGGATGATGCAATAAGCTAAAACGAATGTGTCACGGAAATTACTTTAACTGAGCTAAATCTTAACAGATTTTGGGAGGACATGGTGCGTTAGAATCGCAAGGAGCCCAAGAACGAATGTGCATAAAAAAAATTAGCCCTAGCTCGGCCAAATCCTGACAGATTTTCGAAGGTGATGGTGCATTAGAATCGTAATGACCAACTCTAAACTGTCTGCAATCCCAGCACTTACTTGATTTTACCCGATTATCTAATATGTAAATAATTGTAAGAAATACCTTGAGAATGGTATTAGTTTATGTATGTTTTAAATAAATTTTATTTAAATAACTTGTTGAGATTTACAAAACAGAGAGTATTACTAGAATTATAATTTACAAATCGATATCTGGAGCTAATTTGTATGGCTTATGCAATGCTTAGAAACTAGAAATATTTCTTTTGTATCATTAATGCAATATTATTAATATTTTTTGCTTCTATATAGCTTTCAATAAATGTATGTGTCTCTAGCAATATGCATATATAATACAATATCAATTACAATAAACCCTACAGATCGAGTAATAAACAATAATCTTACTATGTATATGCACCCCCAAATATCGTCTATATATATATACTTGTCATATGTATATTTATATGTTTACGCTTAAGCTCTAGTCAACAAATGTTGGGCATTTAATCGTTAGTTGATTAATCTTCGATTTTGAATAGCGGATGTGTTAGTTATTGGAGTCTAGACTAAATGATGTATGAATTTTAAATATGAATGTGTGTGTGTGTGTGTGTAGTTGTAGGTGTGTGCTTATATGTTCTGATGGGATCGACTAAGTGCACGATATGTCTGCCAAAATCTTTGATAAGTATCCCTTATGTTAAGTTAATTAATTTATTAAATACAGTGCAATCGGCTGGATATAATTGGGTATAATTAGCTAGCCCAACCTTTTCTTCTTTGCATTTTATTTGTTTATTTGTTTAATGTTTTTATTTAGGTATATATCATTTTGATTATGGTTTTTTTCTACTCTGTCAGTTCGACATCGTTTTCGGCAATACCAAAAAAATAATGCGTATTTATCAAAATTTTGTTCGTATAACTTTTGGAAAATGATATGAGATATGATAAATATATAATTTGTTAATGGATCTCCGAAAAATGTCACGATGTATTGTTTTGTATATATGTTTTTGTTTTTTTATTTATTTTTTGGTATTTAATTTTCGTATACAAGCATTTAGATATATCCAAAAATTGATTTAAGTTTATTCTGTTTTTGTATAATATTATTTTCGTATTACTTTCAGATCATCATATGGTAGTTATGTAAATTGGTATAATTTGTTCTATTCACAGTTCCGATTATTATATCCAATAAATATTTGAGATATATATATATTTATGTACATATATCGATTAATCAAGCAAATCTGAAGTGTGCTAGAAACCGACCCGCCTGAAAATTTAATTCCGGTTTCGATTATAGACACTGCATTATCTTAGATCTTAGTTTAGAGCCCACGATATGATATGCGTTTGCTTTTTGTTTTTCATATGTATTCAGTTATTTGTGATATGGACTTAAAAACTTATTTTTTGGGTTGTGAATTTTCAATAATTTACAAGGACATTTATAAAAAGTAATCAATCAAAAATAAACAGCGGTTTGTTTTCTTTCGTTTTTTTTTTTTTTTTTCATTTTGCATATTTATACAATAAATAGATGAATGTATATTTTAAATATTTTTTGTTTTGAATTTGGGGAAACATTTGCATCGCTTATTGCACTTTCGAGCGTCTTTTTTTGTTCATTTGATTTGATTCATTGGTTAATTTGCTGGCGATCAACGACAACAACCACGGGGGCGGGTTCAAGGATACAAGGATCGTCACGGTCCTTGGGGCATCGGCGCAGCGGAAACAAGAGCAGTGGCCAATAGCCTCATTTAATAATAATATTATTTGGTTGATGTCACCAGCTGACTGGTGCTGTAGCCCTGTGTATTGCAGGTGGGCAGGGCAAATGGATTGAAGCTCAAGCTGCTGACCCCTGAAACGATAAGATTGAAATAGCAAATCGTTAAAATCGAATTAATTTAATTAATGAATATTGATGTATGTAAGTTTATACAATCCATAAACACTAATGATTCGGAGATCTAGTATTTTTCTGATTGAAAAATGTTCAGTGTCTGAAGCCACGGCTTGAAATAATTAAATAACTTTTCCAAGATATTATAAACTTGTATGTGAAATGAAAGCTTTGGCAAAATGATCTATATACGAATTAAAAGTGGGTTGGATTGTATTTGCTTAGTTCGTTTAAATACTTGATAAGTAATATTCGATAAGTAATTCCGAACTTAACCTAAATTTATTTCGTTGTCTATTTTATCCATTTCTATTTGCAATATTATAAGATAAAAATTAATCATAAACTTCGCGCAAGAATCTTGTTTCAAAACTTTTAACTATTACCCAAACATAATAATATTATAATATATTTAGTATATAATAATATATATAAACATAATTAATTAGTACTTTTTTTTTTAAATGAATTTGATCCAAAAGAGTGTTTCTAGATTTAAATGCAATCACACTCTAAAATGCCCTTCAATTACTGTAAAACTGTTCAGTTTTAATATATGCATATATATATATACATATATATAAATATCTGTGGGAAGTTGCTACATGTCCCTAAAAGTTTTGGTTCTAACTCTTTGTCAACCATCTTGAAAACTTAGTTAAAAACTTAGAACAACAAATTTCGCAACTTATATTAAAAAAATGTTGAAAAGAAATTATAAATACCGTTGAATTTTGTTTTAGTTGTGTGTTGATGTTGTTGCTGTTGTTGTTGTTGTTGTGGTGAATGTGTTTTGTTCTTTTTTTTTATGACCGACACAACTCGACGAAAGCACACACACATACATACACATACACACACACACACACACACATACACACACACACACCCACTCACCGTAGTCGTTATCGCTGGAGTTGGTTGAGTGCAGCATTGCTATCAGTGAACTCTTCTTGCCCAATGTCAACAGGCGCCACGCGATGAGATTGTTTCGCCGTTGTTGTTGTTGTTGTTGCCACATTTGGGGGCGTCGCTGCCCGATAAGCTAGTGCTCTATGAGTGTGCGTGTGTGTGATGTGTGTGTATGTGTGTGTGTGTGTGTTGTGTGGGCGTGTTAGCTGCTCCAATGTTGCATGCTGCTCCTGATCCATAATGATATACTGTTGTTGTTACTGCTGCTGCTGCTGCTGCCTCTGCTTCTGCTGTTGCACTTAAACTGCGGCCGCTGTCGCTGCTGTAACGGCAGGATTGTGCCAGGGCTGATGCGGATGCGGATAGTGATGCGGGTGGGTGGAGGCGGCGGCGACATGATGATGCTGCACAAGAGCTGAATGCCAAGGCGTCGACATGGACACTGTTAGGGATTAATGGCGAAAATGCACTTGCTGAGCAATTTTGTTTCACTTGGATTTTTTTTTGTTTTTGTTTGGCGGGGGCGTTGGGGGGTGTTTAAGTTAGTAGTATTTTGAGTAAGTTGTTTTGTTTGGTTTATTTCTTTTTTTGTTTTCCTTTGAGTGGTTAACTAATAAGCAAAAATAAAATAAATACATACATATATAGACTCTATGGAGTGGGGGCTAAATAAAATAAGAACTTAAGAGTGTTAAATAAAACATAAATCATCTACAAATAATAAAAAACAATATATATTTTCGATAAAACGATTTAAAATCAGCATTCTAATCTTTTTTTTTTAATTATTTGTTTAGTTAGAATATAGTTCCAACGGTTTTATGTATATGTAAATATATAATTTTTTATTTTCATGCAATTTTGATTTTAAAATTGAATAATTCAAAGTAAATAAAAAGAGATATTCTCGGAGCAAGTACATGATGCTGATCACAAGCATTTTTGTACTTTAAATGAAAATAAAACGTTCCTAAATTCTAAATTCAAGCTCATTTATTAAGCAGTATTGAGTCTACTGGATTTGAGTACACATTATATATTTTTTCCTGAGTGCACTTAGCCTTTGAAATGTGCAAAACTAGTTTAGCAAATTTGTATAAATTTTATATTTTTTATAGACTGAGGGAAAACAGACGACAAGGTTGTTGCTGGACTTACTTGATGTGGAGTTGAAGACGCTGCCGGGTGAGGAGGAGAGCGTTCCCATATTCGGTGCAGGCGCATAACCATTCGCAGTGCCTGCAACGCTGGCGGTGGTTGCTGTGGCCCCGTAGGAGCCACCCGAACTGTGGGGCGTTGAGGCGCTGCTGCAGTAGCCACCACGTGGACTGACACTGCTCGACTGGGCGCGCTGATAGTCATCCTCTGTCCACTGGCCGGAGCCATCCTGTACGCTCACCGCCAGCTGACCAGCATACGAATTGAAGCTAGTGGAGCCGCCGGGCGATCTGCTGCAGCAACGGGCACAAGGATTAGAGGATGCTGTCGCAAGGCGCCGAGTGCTTTAGGCTGAGACGCTTACCTGGGCATGGAGTAGAGAGCCTCAACGAGATCAGCGGCCCGCTTGAGTATGATCTCCTTTTGCAGTTTCTCGGGATCGCCGGGATGCCGTGGGATGAGCTTCTGCAGACGCTGGAAGCCATAGTCGATTGTGGGTTCGTTGAGTGCTGCTTGAGGCGAAACGGAAAGCTTAGACATGTTAACACCTGGACACGTGGCTGTCTCACAGTCACTACTTACAGACGTAGACAAAGCGACCGGGTGATCCTTTGCAGAACTGTTTGCTCTTGTAGGAGAGCGTCACCTCAACCACACCGGGGATGTGTCTGGGCGGTGTTTGGACCCGTATCGCATGCGATGTGATTAGTTCGCTCCACACCAGCATGGTGCCGAACACCACCTGCAAACCATCGAAGAAATTATCGCCCACAATGATCACGGTGGCGCCACCTGTTGTCCAGCCCTCGCTGGGCGATATCGCCTTGATACAGGGCGTGGCCACGGGCAGCGGTGGGTAGAGGCCTAAAAGTGGGTCAGCATTAGAAATGTTGTTAGTTGAGTGGGTCAGTGGGTTGCAGTGGTTGGGAGTTGTACACTTGGAAAAATATCTATGCCCGAGAATTTGGAAAATCGCCCTCTTTGAAATAAATATTGCTTAAAAAGAAAATTTGCGTTAAAATAAAGTTTTTGAAATTTTCAAATAGACGCTTTGCATTGCATAAATATCTAAATAATTTATGAGATATCATTGTTATTTCTAGGTCGATTTTTTAACTACTTGGGCATATTTTTTTGTAGAGTGCACAATAAATGAAGAAATGGGTTTGAGTTTGCCAATTGCTACAGAATCGATAAGAAAATCATAGAGGAAATATAAAAAAGAACAAAACAAAAAAAAAAAGGAAATCGTTTCGCGTAAACGAAAGTATAAAGAAAGAAACTAACTAAACTAAACTAAACGGATCGAATTAATTTGGAATTTAGTTACAGACCATCGTAGGTACTGTCGGGCGCTAGGGGGTGACCGGAAATGGACAGGGATGAGTTGCCTGTACCTTCCGTTGTGTCCAATCGCTTAGCGCGTCTGCCATGCTTGGAATTATTGTGCACAAACATATTATCCGAGATGGCCAGCAGTGGTCCATCAACGGCCACTTGGGTGGATATGACAACCTTTGCAGGGAGAAATAGAGAAAATATAAAATTAGAAAAATTATAGAAGATCTCTTTCATTTTAATATCGACAACTTGATTTCAATTGTAAGTTATTATATTTTGTCTTCAGGTATTCAATTTGATTGAGACACACCTGAAATCTTCTCATGTCCCGCGGATTGCCAGCATTCTTGAGGCAATTTTGATTGCACTTCAAGAAGAATTTGAGAAAAAAGCTGCAAGCACACAGAATGAAAAGGCATTAATTAATAATTGCTGAAATATATAGAGTTTTATGTCTCACTCATAAAAAAGAAGTTTAAGATTTACGATCCAGTTAATCAGATATAGATACAGATACAGTTTGAGGCTAGCGCTTCTTGTTCTTTATGAGCTGCTAATGATCGGTTGCGCCTTTTGCAGTTGTTGCTGCTGGTGCTGCTGCCACACAATCATTTTGCAGCAGATGTGTCTGGCCTCGGGGCCTGAGTCAATCCACTTGCTCTCGCTGCTGCTACTCTCCCTTCTCTACCCTCCCCACACCCGACCCGCCGGTCCAGTTGTTGCCTCGGGCGCGACAGCGCAGCGTGTGATAAGCGCTTGGACTTGGGGGTGACAGTTATGCGAATGGAATGTCCTGCAGGCAGGACATATATATATACATTCGAAATTGACACCCGTGTGTCGCGCATTTAAATGGTAAAATATACCCACAGCCCTTTTGCCACATCCCCGCCCGACACTCCATGTTGATTTTATTTGCTGAAATAATATTTGGCTGCTGTTGCCACAGCAGGCGGCAATATTCAGTACTCAGTCTCTATGTGTATTTTTTTTGGTGGCATTTTTGTTGTTTTCTCACTCGACAAATTGGACAAATTAGTGCAGGAGGCGTGTCACTCGATTCGGTATTCGAATTTGGGGCAAGGGGAACATAACAGGATCACAACAGGAACACAACAGGAACAGGCCAGAGGCGCACATCTGCATATGCGCATATTGACGGTTAATGTGTCATAAATTTGTTTATTGTCGTTATTGTGAAGTGCTCCTCAAGAGGATGTCCTCTTGAGTGATGTGAGAGATGTGTTGAAAGGTGCACCAAAAATATGCATATATTTTAGACAAGTTGGAAAATACTATTATTCAGACTACCTCAGCAAGACTAGATGAAGTGTTAAATAATTAAAAATATTTAAGGTTGAAAACATATCAATCAAATTGGATTGAGATTGGAGTACGATTGAATACGTTCAAATCCCAGTTGTGACATTGAATTTTGTAGTTTCGGAAGACCAGAGTTTGATGAACTTATATTTAATAATATTTAATTAGACTCCATGCCGAAATATCTTTTATACAACTACCTCAACAGCTTTTTCTTACAAATTATAAATATACTGTAATGAACTTTAATTATAAATTTAGTTTAAATTATTTTAGATCTCATTAAAAATAATGTTCGATCTTTATATTAAATAGTAAAAATTAAGCTATTCTTATGCGTCGAAGCTAGCCAAAAATCGAATGTCGAATAGGAATATCTGCATTTTATACAAGTTTGTTGACTTCTTACATTTCTTTGCGATACTCATGCATTAAATATTACATAATAAATAAATAAAAAACAAATTTTTGGCGATAGCACGCAAAAAGATATTTTTGGAAATGCTCAATATGGGAAATTTCAAGTGAATATTCGATAAAAACACAAAAGCCAAATTTTGGCTTATCAGTCAATTTAAGTGAAGGCGAAATTAAATGTGAGCTTTATACATAAATGTACATATATAAATATATATATGTATATATTTTTTACTTATATACAGCAACGCGTGCTGAGTTGTGAGCTGATTGTGAACTTGTTAAAAGTCTGAGTTTGACTTCGACAGCGGACTGGGAATGAAACCAGATGTGTGTTTCTATTTTTCTTTTTTATCCACTGTAGAAGCAGCAACAACAACACTAGCAGCAGCAACAACAACAACAACAACAAAAGCAACAACAGCATCGACAACAAACATCATTAACACGGCCATCGGTTGTCCCTCAAGGGACTGGAGCGCCGTGTATCTGTCAGATGCAATATCGAGTTACATACATACGTATATTGTGGCAGATACCCTCACAGATGCAACTGCAACTGAAATTTGAATACGTATCGAGTGGATATATATACATATATATATTGAGAGCAGCTTAGGTTAACTCTATTACGGATCATTCATGGTACTAATTTCACTTGCAACCACCCTCAATATCTGTCGCTGTGTGTGCATCTTTAGGGGCAGCTAATTGACTTTCTCGGAAGTATCTCGAGTCGCACGCTTGAATTACAATGTTTTCAAATATGCTGACAGGACGCATAAATTCCCAGACTCCTCGAATGTACAACGCTTGCAGCATAAATCGTTTTTAGGATTTTTTTTTTCACTTTGCATAGCAATGACTCTGTGAGAATCCTTGCTGATTCAATTTAATCTGACAGGATTTTTGGGGCAACTCGGACCTTTAAGCGATTTGTGTGTGCAATTAAAAATTCAGCTCGCGTCCTGCCAATAAATCAAAGTGTCTCCATCTTTGTCTTTTTGACTGCGGCAGCAGCAGCAGCAACAAAGTTTCCGTTGCCTTCTTTATGTGCTCGCCCTCGTCTTTGTTGTCCTGACACTCCTCTCTCGATTGCCAGCCACGCGAAAATTTTTCATTTAATGAAAAGCTACGCATCATCAAACGCCCGCACATGACATTCTGTCCATGGCCAGCTAAATGGCCAAGAATAGCGTCCATTGAGCCCATTGGCAACTGGAGCACGTAGACCCAACGAACTGCATAATTGGTCATTCATATTTGCCTGGAGAGGGAGAGAGAGAGAGTGAGAGGAGGTGTGGTGTCCTGTGGGTGTGGGTGGGTGAGGGGGTGAAGACGTGGCCGCGGGCTCTGCCAATCGCTATTCAACATTTTTAAGTACCTGCCACGGCTTTAAATGTTGAGTTCGATTCGGATTGAGATACAGTACGCGAAATGGCGAACATAATTTGTATAAGGTTATAATAATTATTAAAATATAATTAACATTCAGAAAAAAACCTAGTAATATATTTCAAGCATTTAGATTAGTCTTTCGGACATATTTTCCTGAATAACAACTTCTTTCTTGGATTAAACACCTCGTTTGAGTTATGTTTTGGTTGAGTTATGATGATTGAAATACACTTAACAAATCGATTTTCACTTGTCCAAATTGAGATAATTATAGACATATTTATAATATATAAATATTCGCCTTTCACAGCGCTCTCAATTGAAATAAAAAACAAACAAGTTAACAAGCTTCTGGCGATTTGTGTTGAATTTCCATGAAATGTTTCAACGATTAACTGTGAATTTGTGAATCAACAACAACAGCAACAGCACCAATGAAATTAACAACAAGAACAACAACAACAACAATGATAGCAACAAGAGCAACAAAAACAGGCATTATCTTTGCATCGCTCGCACAACAATTTAATGATGAATACGCAGGCACATAAATCGCTTTGGGTTGCCAGTTCTTTGGCTTCGAGCTGTCGAGTGGCGATGTTATCTCGCAGCCATTGTGGGAGCTGAAGATGGCGTTAACAGAATGTGGCCCAAAGCGTTTCTGGCGCACGCCATTTGCGCCATCGCCCAGGTGAGAAACAGCTACCACAATTTCTGTCTGTCTGTCAGTCTTTACTGTCTGTCTGTCTCTCTGCCTGCCTCTCTGTCTGTCTATCTGTCTGTCTGTATATGTGTATTTTAGCTGCGGGCAACTTGGCGCTAATTTTTCACTAACGATAATATTCAAAATTTTCAACTTTATTGCCGCATAAACTCAATGACTATGGCAGGCAACGAACGCAGAAGGACGTGTACACTCAGAGAAATAAAATTGCCCTGAAAACTATATACAAGTTTTTGGTTTTTAAAACGAACTTTGAAATTGATGAAATACAGTTTGTTGAAGTTGTGATCTAATACCTTAATTAATTATTTGAATAATATATTATTTATTTTTACTCTTAAACTGCTTGTCAAAAAATTAGGAATTAATTTTTACTGAAAAGGGAGTAGACGAAGAAATTGTTCCTTTCTTATATCTTTCTATTTTTTTTTTTTATTTTTAGAAAAGTTATGCGCAACTCTCCAATATTTCAAAAGGCTAACAGGAGCAATAAATATATATAGATATATTCATTTGAGGACTTTGCATTTCGAAATTTTAGCTAAAGTAGAAAAAACGATTAGTTTGCGTATTTCAAATACAATTTTTAAAAATCACTCCAGCTACTTGTTTGTATATAATTTTTCTAAGTGCACACAGGGACACTGGCGCCCAAAACTGTGAAAACTTACTTTGGCGCCATTTCCATGGCATTTTCACGCACACACCAACACCCATCCACACACACACACACACATACACAGTCAAAAGATGGCGTCGAACGTCACCATTTTGTTGAGGTTCAGTTTCAGGTTCAGGTTCAGGGCTGATGATGTTGCTGCTGCTGCTGCTGCTGCTGCTGCTGCTGCTGTTTCTGTTTCTGTTGCTGTTTTCTATTGTCGTTGGAACTTTTATTTATTTATGCTCTTTCTCGACTTAACGCTGCACGCTTCGCGGCGCACGCACAGAAATGAACAGCCCGCAGGACCCCAATCTCTATGAACATGCCCCCCCGCCCCTGGCTCAGCGAGCAACAGCAAGCGAAAACCCAAAAACCCGTAAGCAGTTGTAAAGATTTCCTTGCCACCCAACCACCAGCACCGCCCCCCCTCAATGTCGCGTCGTCACACAATCCTTATCAAAATCGCACTTGGACTTGAACGTCTTCGTCCTCGTTGCTGTTGTCGCTGTTGTTGTTGTCGTTGAGAGTTCATAGCTTTTGGGGTCTTTGCATTGTAATATAGACTTTGAGGGCGGTTTTCTACTTATGCTCTGTTTGTGTGTGTGTGTGTGTGTGTGTGTGTTTTCTTGTGTTTTGTGTTTTGTATTTTGTGTTTTGTTACGCTTTCGCTTTCGCCTGTGGTTCATCCTTTATTTTTTTTTTTTTATATATATATATTTTTTTTTTTTTGCCGGAAGAGCGCAAAAAACAAGCAAAGAAAGATTTGTAAGGGAACTTGTTGAAAACACTTGCGCTTAATCCTGCTCACAGACTCTGAGAGCGAAAGCGAAAGTGAGTCACAATTTTGTGAGTCATAATTGTTGAGTGAG